CCAAGAGGTTAGCAGCAAAAAAAAAAAAAAAAAAAAAAGCAAAAAAAACCACGCAACTTGTTTGGGGTGCTGTCTGCTCGCTAAAATACAACAACGAACAACGTACCCTTGCAATACCCCGTTCCGACCAACCAACGACGACATACCCCTGTATCATGTTGCCTGGTGTTGTTTCCATCCCGCGTTGACACCGAACGGGAGAAAACCACTTTGTTTGGCTATGAAAAGGCTAGGCTTTGCCTGAAAAGACAACAAAATGGGCACGGGACACGGGATACGGGAGGGTCTTGGAGAGTGTTGTATTCTATTTCTCCCTTGTCTCACCGGGGACCCAGTCGTCTAGCATTCAGACGCCCATCCTGCTTCTTTTCTATCGTCTGACCCTCGTATTGTCGGTCGGCTTTGGGGCTTCCTTCGAGGGGATCGTTCTGTCAGTTGAGGCGAGAGAAACATAGCGAATGCAAACCACAAGAGAAAGAGCTCGCCTCTGCGACATGCCTCGTACTTGGCAGGGCTTGGCCAAGAGGAGATGTCTAGACACTTTGTGCAAGTGGCCTCGACGGGTCAACAGTGAGGAACTTTTGACGAATTACAGAGGCGTTTAGTTTAGATGACGGGCGACCGAGAAATGTGCACCAATAAGATTACAATCTCAACGTCGTCGGTTTTCCAGCGCCTCGGATGCTCTATTTCTCAGAGTATCTTACCTGTGCCGCATGCGCCTTTGCAATACATCAGATGCATCGCCCGGCAATGGAATTGGCTTCCTTTATCTATGGCTTTTAGGGCAAAGAGGAAGAACAAGCCAAGTAGAACAAGGCAACGGTGGCTTTCGCAAAATGTATACTTTGCCATTTATACACCATTCACCGAGTATACTGGTGCGTTGGCAAAAGCTGACGACAAAGAGCTACTTGTCAATACAGTCCTTCGTACGCACTAACACCGCCATCAGTGCGCTCGTCTCGTCGGTTTGCATGACGTGTTGGTCTCTAGCGGCAAGGTCGCCATGGCCGACCGACTTCGCGGACTCCGGTTTCGCCATCAACTATCTCAACTACTGCTTTCCGTCACATTGTCTTTTCTAATATGTTTTTGCCATATGACTGGATGCTTTCCTCGTATTCCGAATCAAACATGTATTATTACTGAGTACGTACGTTGCGTCGTTCATGTAACAAACAGAAACGATCCAACAATATAGATATTTGCTCAGCCGTGGCAACCGGCGTGAATGGAATGCAGCGGGAATGACACTTCTTGCCGCATCATAATTAGTGGCACAATGGGCTTATTAGATATCCAGTGAGCCAGTCCACCCCAGACTTAGCAGAGTGCTGGGCTTCCTTGGTTGTAATTAGAATGCTTGCCATCACCCAAGATTGGCGGGATCAGCGGGAGGGGATGTTGAATCGAGCTGACTACACACGAGTTTTTGTTCTGTCGAGGCAAATCGGAAGCTTCCGGTGGGCTTGCAAACGGCGCTTGGTGACAAACTAGTCCTTTCTCTACGATGTATGTACTCTGTATTTCAATTCATCTCCTGTGCTTCCCGATTTCTTATGGCAATACGGCACACTCCTGCCTTTTCATCTTCTTGTCGTCGTCGACACATCCTTGTGACCGGAATGTTTAACGACGGTGATTTATTTATTCAAAGATTTTGTCTGCAAAACTAGATTTGGGTGCGGCCTCTCATTTTGGTAAGGTACCTTTTGCCTACACGGGATTCCCTGTGAATATCTACCCGTAGTTTGCATGTTTCGGCACGGTTGAGAGACAAAACCGATTCTCGTCTCCATCCAGCACTGACAGATGGCTATTCCCGGCAATACGACGGACTAACAGACGATCATAGTAATCTGCCACAGAGCGTATCGCCTACGAGGAACCACCTGTAGACCTCACGATCGATGGCCGTAATCTAAATCATATCAGCGCCATTGGCGATTTGTACCTTTTTCAACCGTGTTCATCTCTTCTGAGTCCTTAATGCCCCTGGAGTTCCAATATCCAACCTGTGGGATGAGAAGGAGAGTAGCCACGAGACGAACGAAAAGGGGCCAGGTCTTTTGATGGAGTAATACAACATACGACGTACTCCTTACGCAGCACAGACTTACTCTTGTACATACGATACGGCATGCAATATGCCGCTAATGGACCCCAGACTGTATTGGATTTTGTCTGTTTTGTCTCACACTCCATTCTTTCGCCGCTCTTCTCTTCTTTCTCTCTTTCTGCTGTCTAATACTTAGTCTATTCAAGAGAGAAAAGCTGACTTGAAACAAGGCTATGATCGTAATAGCAAAGAGACAGTTTTTGCGATCTGAATCAATGGCTAAACAGCAATATTGTCGATATGCCCATTTAGATAAGATCTTTGCCCCAACGACAGCTAGCCAGCAGTAGCGGACCAACCAGTAAGAGTAGGCTCGTTGGCAAAGAACACAAGGCCGAGCCCTCTCCGACGGCCGCTTCTTCTCTTCGCGTTGGTCAACGACATACATGTGAATAGAAAAACTGGGCCGGCGAAAAATACGTCGTACGTCTTCTCAGTGTTCCTACAGCCGTAAATGGTCCGCCCTGCCATGGACTGGCCAGGCCCACCTGCCGACTATCCATTCAATTATGTTTTTTTCTTTCCAGTGGTTCACAGCAGGAGCGTCTCGTAGTGCTTTCCCCAAAAGAGCGAAAAGTGGACCGACCAAAACAGTTGCCAAAGTAGAAGCACGGAAGGAAGGAAAACAGGGCGAAGGCAAAATGAGGAAGGTACAGACCGGGGAGGGTTTGCAAATTGACTCGTGTCTGCACTCTTACCACATTGGTTGTAAGATTATCTCTCTTTCGAGTGCAACACAGAAAATGAAATAAACTGAATGTAGACGCTTTTTGTTTTTATTGCAGGTGTCGAAATCGCCGTCTTTGAGATGATGAAGACGCCACTAGCCTAAACTGGGATAGGACTGCCTTCAGTGCCCTAACAGGACAAGCGGAGCGAGGGGTTCTTCTTAGGGAAAGGGGAGGGGGGGGGGGGGACAACGGGCGAACAGAGAGCGACGGCATCAGGTGTGAAATTCGGAAGGCGGGATGGGACAGTCGGATTGGCCAGGCCAGCAGGCCTCACCCAGCGCTCCCCTCTAGTGCGATTCGGGCGTCGAGAGAGTAAAATGGTCGCCTCACTCATTACGAACGGTGATTGGCGCCCTCGTCGACGTTAAAAAAGCTCGATGTTGGGATATTCCCATTCCTATGCCTATCTTGTCCATCCTGTCGTTCCGGTCCTGTATTAGTTGTTTTAACACAATAAAAAACAGTTTGCTCATCACATTCGGCAGATTGTCTGTTTTTCGATCGCCTTGACTTTCACTTTCCCTTCTTCTTCTTCTTCTTTTTGTAAATGGCGGACGTAATCCCACTATGGTGGAGTAATACCAAGCAGGACGTAGAGCACAGTAACACTTCAGTAAGGAATTCTGTCCTCTACAGCTTACAGAACCACAATGTGCACAGCGAGAGACAGGTGGAAAGTGGCCTGAAGAATACGACGTACCAAGACTTCATATTATGGGGGCCCAACCAACGGGTGTCCGTACCGGACAAGGCAGGCGCGAAAGCAGGGGGAAGGGGCTGCTAAAGGGAAACTGATTGGTGTGGGTGGGTGCCGTGCCACTCGCTCCTTTCACTGGTCCCAGAAAAGAACGCCAGGCTGATGAAATAGAAAGTGCTTCAGTTTTGATGACCATCAGACAGATATTTTGAGTGCAGGGTACGCGGGTCAATGCGGGCTTCACTGGGGCGAGGTATTGTATCCGGTACTCCGTACTCCGGCTTGATACAGCACAAATACGTGCGGCTTTCTGTTGTTCCTTCTCTCCCTGCCCGTCTGTCTCGCCGCTTCCTCTTCAGCCAAGCGAGAAAAAATGGGGAAAGCGGTTGCGAGACGAGGAAACGAATAGTTTGGCAATGCCCGACAAAAAAAACACCGGAAGGTTCCATCAGTATTTTTGGAGACCATCATCGAGAGGCAACTTCTTTCGCGGAGAGGGTAAGACTCTTGCATGTTTTGTGAGTTCAAGTCTCCAGTGTCTGGGGCTAAGACGGGCAGCCCTGTCTGCTCTTTCCATTTTTGTGGAGACCGGTGTCGTTCTTTCCCGGTCTTTTCACCTCCACTCGCCCTTGCCTTGTTCAAAATTCACCTTTTGCTGCCACTTTGCCCATGTCTCTACTTTTGGTTTGTCTTTCATTATTAAGGGCGTCGCCTTCATTCTGGCCTCAACCCCAAGCATGGCATTCCTTGTCCTTTGGGTCACAGCTCAAACACTTTTGCCGGACGAGGTACAACTTCTATCGTACTTATTGGCCCCTTGCGTTGTCCCTCGGCCTTCTGCTTCTGGCCCAGAGGGACTTTGGAGCCAAAAGACAAATCATATCTAAAAGTGGGTTCCGCTTGGATGAAAGCAGCGCGGGATCAACACCCTATAGTCAAAAGGAGAAAGAGCCAAGAGGCACCAAAATTTCACTACAGTAAGACAAAAAGGCGGGCAAAAAGCACGGATACAAAGGGCCTCCAAACGCCCTCCTCATCCACCAACAAAGACTGTTGTGGTGGGCGCGGATACTGTGGCAGTAACGCATCAGCGTGGCCCGAAGTCAGATGGGCACGCACTTTAATCTTTTACGGGCCACATTTTATATCGTACAGTGGGAATATCATCTGACGCTCGTGCAATGAGTGCAGTTCAGGCGCAGAAGCCAACGCCGATCCACTTTTCATTAGGCCTGATTTCGATGCCATTATTCGCTCGCTCCTGTTTGTTTCCCTGTTGTATTCTCTTGCCCATCTTTCCTTCATTCTCAGCCTCTTTCTCACTTCCATCTCTCCCTTTCTGTCCTTACTTTCAGGTTTTGTCCGCTTGCCCGCTTGCACTGTTCTTCCTCCCATTTACGTCACAATTCTGGCAAGACACAGCCAGGGACCCCATCGGCGCCTTTCAGCCATGGTGCGCACATACCCAAACGCGATGATTTCTCCTCGCCGACCTTTGTGTGTCCCAGAAAGAGGTAGCGTTTTTATGTCCCTTCCCTGTCTTCCCTGTTCTGCGTGTCGCTTGGTTGCATCCTTGCGCACCTCCCCTCCCCTCCCATTAATACCGACGGGGAGTCGCAAAGATACAAATTGTGTTCGACATTGGTTTTCGGGCAACCGACGGGGACGGTCCATCTCCTTCCCGCTTCATGGTACGTGGACAGAAAGCAGAAACGCAACAGCCAGACGGTAAAGTAGCATTGTTATGTTACCTGCGCCACCAGAAAACGAACGTCGAAACAGAGCGGCGAAGAACAGTTTGGCGATGGGACCATTTTGCTCAGGAAGACGAGCAACCTCGTCTCGTACTCGTAATGCGGTGGCTTGCAACTGGCGTATAGTATACTATTCCTACACTGCTGCGACGTGAAGGAAGTCTTTGCGGTTTGCTTATTTTAGATGGATGTGACAAGGGACACCCACAAGGGAGAGCCTGCGCCGCCCATCGTCACTCCGCCCCGCCTCAGCTTCCAGCTGCGTCGTAATTGGCAATGAGGGCCCTGCTTTTTGTTGCCAGCTTGGCCCAGAGCCCCAGAACTGGCATGGCATGGCCCAGCATACCATGGCCAGGCCCCAGTTTTATCTCAGAGCGACCGACCGGCCGGTCTTAGCTGGGTGGTGGGTTCTTCTTCGGAATACGATTCCTGCTTGGTGGCGCGGACTGCGTTGTCTTCAAGGACCTTTCGGTGCGTTTGAAAGGACAGCAGAACGACGGGGTTTGGCCATCGTTTTCTAGCAAGTGCGAGTGGCAGCTCGTGCTGCCTCATTCCCTCTTCCTGCTTTACGTCCCCTCCCTCTTTCGTCCAAGGTCAGGAAAGGTGGCAGGGGCAACCGGGCTAAATGTTGTTGTGCAACACCTTCGTACAGATTGTTGTGCATTTCAAATGCATTCGCTGCTCGGCATGGATGGACCTTACCACGCCCTTTCCGTCTTTCCCAAAAGTCACATTCACAATGGTAGGTGCAGGGTTGCTCTTTCTCTGCGACACCCACACAATGAACTCCTTTGCCATGGTCTCGTCGAAGGTTCCTTCCCACTCATCCGTAGGTGATCCCATTTCCATTTGCATTCCTGCCTTGTGTTGCCATGCCCAGGAAACTGTCAGACTGTGTAGACGCTCGCTTTTTTCTTTCTCACAGAGCAATGCCTGCGTGTTCAATTTGTGTTTCGTAACTGGCAATTTCCTGTTTGCTGGTCTTGTCGCCTGGGCGAAGAGCAATCCATCAAAATCCTTGTCAGGTTTTCTCGTCGTTCTGTGTTCGGTCCCTGTCTCTCATTTGCTTCTTGCGTGTCTCCCCTGCTTGGACACCAGGCCGCACCTTCCTTCTGATTCGCCTGCCAGTCCTCGAAACGACTTCGGGAAAGCTCCCCACCTCTCTCCTGCCTTCCTTCCCCCTCCGCTTGTGGACTGGACATACGACGTGCGTCGCAGTCGCCGGCGCCCTGTCTTTCGCCAGCCCGCTACCAACCGCACCAATGGCCTCCTCGCCGCACACCAAGTGGCGCTACACAGGCTACAGCAGCACTACAGGTGTACCATTCACGCACTACGACCGGCTACGAGGTACCTTCCACATGGCGGATTCTGCCACAAAGCTCAATGTATCTTGACGCTTTTTCGTACCTTTTCCCGTCTTTTTGTCTTTTACACGCCCCTCTCGTATATTGGCTGCCTTACTTACACGCTTGCCCATCTCTGTCTTTGTCGTTGTTGACCTCCACAAACCTCCACATCATCCACCACCTCCACCACTACGCAAACTAATTACAGAATCGAGGGAGAGACTTCCATGCGACGGGGGGGCAGTACGACGATTGTCGGAGGCGAGCATCACTCCTTCAATATTATTGTCTGTCTGCTTTCCTTTTCACCTTTTTGTTTTTCACATTTTCCTTTAATAGCTCTTGCCTCATGCATCGTACATTGTTCTCCTGTTCTTTCCTTTTTCATCTCGACATACTACCGATTCGTTCCTTCCTGATCTGGACTGGCAGCTTTGCACCGACCTCTTTTAACTCGCTCTCAAGTCCTCCTTGACCTCATCTTTGTTTTACGACCACGTCGGTTTACCTCTGCAGCCTCGCTGTTGCAGCCCTCTGGTCTCTTGTTTTCATCCACCATACCCGTCGCGTATATCCCAGGCCTTGTTACCTTTTGGAGAACAACATACACGGCCGCAGGCTCTTTCGCCTTTTGCCATTGCTCCCACCCGCGTGGACGGCATATCTTGGTCCCAGTTCCCATTGCAACGACGTCTATTTCGCTTCTATTACGATCTTTACTTGCTCGCCCTACGCTTCGTTGGAAGACTTGGAGCGACCATTGGCGACAACAACAATGGGCACTGAATATACTTAGGTTCCCGCCAACGACGAAATATCGCCTCGATATCTCGAGTTCTCCCGACGTGTCTTTTGTTTGCACTCTTGGACTTTGTCATTTTCGACGGCAAGGTGAATGGCAATACATCGTGCTCCAAACTAACTTAGGCCGATACGTTCTGAATAAGAGTTGTTTGGCCGTTGGTCACTGACATTCGCCAAACGACAACGATCCTGCACCAAGCTTAATGGTCCAAGTTTGGTCCATCTTGCCTCCAACAGGATTGACTGTGACTATCTCCGTACATCATCTCATCGATTTGCGGGAACAACCGAAATATCGCCTCTAAGGGATACATATCGCTGGCCACACATCACCATTCACACCTGGTATATCCCTACCGCGGCTGGCCTCGACGAGACAGCTGTCGCTGCCTTGGTCTCCTTCCTCCATCCCCCGTTATCAGCCGCAAATGTATTCGGCCGCCGCATCATTCAGTCTACCACCACCGCCGACTTCTCCATTGCGTACATCATCACTATCCACGAACTCGGCAGTGGCACGACGTCTTCCTCTACCTCGCGAACCTTCCAGACTCCTCCATCCACTCCAGCCTCCGGCTTTCTATCCCAGAACGACGTCTACGGCATCCAAACAGCAGGCGTCGTCCTACGCTCCGAGCGGTCTTCGCACACCACCGGGCGACGACCACTACGGCGCTATGGGCAGCCTCACGCATCACAACCTGCACCTCCATTCAGCTGGTCTGGCCGACTACGAGGGTCGGCACCATGTTAGCTCCTCATCACACGCCGCCGACGCCGACCGCAGACGAGCCATCCTCAGCGAAGCGCACTCCGCTCTGACTCTCGGCCCATCACCACCCACAGTGAACGACTACAACAGCGTCGCCCGCTCCGTGAACCACGAGGTCGAAGCGCTCCAGGCCCAGCAGGTCCAGTCACAGCAAACATACCATCAGCAGCAGCCAGCAGTTGCCCGTTTTTCCTCGACCTACCTGACACCACCAGACGCGGTTCCATTGGGCTCTCGGCAAGCTACTATAGAGAACGAGATGCTGTCCGACAACGGAGTTCTTAGCCAGCCGACGGCCTCCTTGAACGCCGTCCCCACGACCACAAATGGCGGCACAGGCACCAGCGCAGGAAACCCGCCGCGACACCAGAAAGCAACATCCATCACGGAGAAGGACTCGTTAGCGATGGTGATGCACAGCCCGGAGGTGCCCAGGTGCATCAACCCCCAGGGCGGGAGCATATCAGACTTTACTGCAGAGGTGCGTAGGCTCCGCAACATAAACGATGCTCCTTTTGTGCCAAACCAACCAGAACCCGACCCAACATGTTCATTTGAGACCTTGTCGCCGCTGACCAGTCCTCTCACTTTAGATGACCTGTTTGTTTTGGTTTGAGACGCCCAGCGTCTTTATCCAAGCAAGCAAAATCGACGCGCTGCCCGCTGACGCGTGGATACCCCGACTGAGCAGTAATGGCTTCCCTACAGAACCGTTTCGGTCCTGGGTGAACCGCATGATCAACACAACACAAGTCACGCAGAATGTTATTTTGCTTGCTCTGCTTTTTATCTACCGTCTTAAATCGCTCAACGTCATTGTCCGGGGAAAGCCAGGCAGCGAATTTCGTCTTCTGACTGTTGCCCTCATGTTGGGAAACAAGTGTACGTTTTGAGTTGATGTTTTGCCGAAATACATATTACTGATGACTAATCATTTTATGCATATAACAGTTCTCGACGACAACACGTACACGAACAAGACGTGGTCTGATGTATCGGGCCTACATGTGAAGGAAATCCACGTCATGGAAGTCGAGTTTCTGAGCAACATGCGGTACAGCCTGCTCGTCTCCAAAGATGAGTGGGAGGACTGGATTGGCAAGCTGGCCAAGTTCCGCATGTACTATGAGCGTGCGTCTACGTCGACAACGTCGCCCCCTAGCCTTGCAGTTGCAAGGCCCGCTGCTTCACCGCTGTCGTCACCTGCATCATACCATCAGCAGCCGGTAGCAAGCAACATGAACTTGTCTCCTACTGCGGGGGCTGGTGCCCTCCAGATGCCGTCCTACTCGCCGTCGACCCGCCCGAATTTTGCCGCACCTCCTGTTGCATTGGGTCAACTCCCGGCCTGGCCTGGCCAACTGCCTACACCACAGGTTGATCCTTCTATGAACGGACGGAACGGAAACTCGAAGCGGTCCTTGTCCTTTGAGGACATTACGGAGCCTCCGCCGAAGCGGTCGTCTCGATATGTCTCCCCGGGGTCCACGCTTCCGCCACCAATTCCTTCACAAGCACGATCCCAGGCAAGCTCAGGCTTTTCGTCCATGGCCCCTGTTGCAGAGTTTGAGAGTGTACCTGCAAATGTCGTTGCGTCAACTGCAGAGTCTCGGCGGTTGCCCGCTCCGCAGCTCACGCTCAACACAGCCGCAGCGCAGATGCAGCATCCGGTCCAGCAGCACCTCCAAAACAGCACAATTGCCAATTATCCGCCCACCACAGGCATGCAAGCTCCTCAGCAGCAGCATCAGCAGCATCAGCAGCATCAGCAGCATCAGCAGCATCAGCAGCAGCAGATGGCTGCACTGTCCCAGGCACAGGCCCCAGTTGCTCTGCCACCTCTTCTTGCACACGGCGTGCGTGCCATGGCGACTGTATACCCGCCCAACGCCGGTTCCAGTGGAGTCGCACTTCCGTCTGCTGCACCCTCAACTCAGACGGTCTCGACGACCTTGGCACCCGCAACAGGCCTCGCGTCCCAGCTTTCCATGCAGCAGCCTACAAGCGGCCCTGTCACAGGCAGTAGCTCGGCTGTGCCATCATACCCGCCGCCACAGACGTTCAGTACGCCTACGAAACGGATGAGCCCGAGCAACGTTCTGACGCCGAACGCTGCGTCCGTGTACGCCGCTGCCACCAACTCTTCGCCGCTGGCCGAGAGCTTCCCCCATCTTGCCAGCGGTGTGCACACGCCACTTACGCACTCCCCGTCGGTCTATCTGCAACAGCGTGCGAGCCCGTACCGGCCTATTCGCAATGTGCATATGCTGCTAAACCCGCCTCCGACGTCGAGCCTGCAGGATTACCAGACACTGGGCCCGATTCTGATTCCGCCCACGCAAATGTACTACCAGCCACTCGGTCGCCCCAACGACCTGCGGTCGGGTATTGTCCCCGAGTTCCAGGGCATGCAGCAGTACGGCGTTGGTCCGATGCGTCACGGTGCATCGCTGACGCCGATCCATGCTCTCCAGCAGCACCAGCAACAACAGCAGCAGGCGATGCAGATGCCGCTGCGCGATGCACGGGTCAAGCAGGCCCAACAAGCGCAACAGCAGGCCCAACAGGTGCAGCAGATTCAGCAGCAGCAGCAGCAGCAGCAACTCCAAGCTCAAGCTCAGGTGCAAGCACAAGCACAAGCACAAGCCCAGGCTCAGGCTCAGGCCCAGGCCCAGGCTCAGGCTCAGGCTCAGGCTCAGGCTCAGGCTCAGGCTCAGGCTCAGGCTCAGGCTCAGGCTCAGGCTCAGGCTCAGGCTCAGGCTCAGGCCCAGGCTCGGGCATATGCCAACCAGCAGTCTCAATACAATAACTAGGCGATATGGCAAGATATGCAGCCATGTATGGCTTACTGAACAGCCGACATGCCTGTTTTCTGTCGTTCTTGGCCCTCCCAACTACCAACACATCTCACTTATTCGCATTAGCTTCAGCCTTACTTTGAACGCTCGCCCATGAGTGCTTCTGTATTATAGTTATACTCTATTTTTTTTGTTTCTATTTCTTTGATCTGCTCGTCTTGTTTCTGCGGGATGGGTCCAGGGGCACTCTACTTCATCTAGCATATTAGCGGCGTTTTGCTTATCTTTTGTTGCTTTTCTCATTGTTTGCAAAGGAGGGCATGGCCCATTACGTTTCATAGCATAAGGCATCATCACGGAATCGGGAAGGAAAGTTGGGGTATAATATTATTTGAGCGCGCCGACGCTCTGTCGTTGCTTTCCATAACGTCTTTATTGCCTTGCGTGTTGCGTACTGTGTAGACATGGTGTTCTGCAGTCGCCCAACACCTCTGCGGAAAAATGCAGTCTCCAATACTCATCCACGAGGCACGAGATTGTCTTTTACCGAAGTGTGTCAGCGCAGGCGAGACGCGTTTTTCTGCGAAGCATTGCGAAGTGCAACCGTAGATACGAAAATGAACCTTTGAGCAAAAGGGTGCTTCACTTTGAACCGTGGAAGTTTCATCAAATGGGTCCAAGGAAAATAAGATGGCAAATGCAGACATTTTGCCCATTGTGAAAAAATGATCAGAAATTGTCCCCAGACAAAAAGTGTTCGACGAAATGCCGCCGGTGGTGCGTCATTCAGATTGCGTGCTGTCGCGGTGTGATGTCATCTTCGCGGGCCGCGCTGCCTGGTGCGGGGCGGACACCATCGGCGTCAATTAGCGCTTCCGTGTATACTAAGTCCACTGGGGTATCTGGGTATGTCCCCTCAAAGCGTAATGCTCATCATCCTCCTCGCTTACGCGACATCGGCTACATCTGGTGACACGTCAAGGCCCTCATGCCCCTTTTCTTCTCGTTCCATTTCTCCTGAGCAAACACACCTGTTGGGCGACTTTAATAACATTCACATTCATCGCCACGGGACTACAAGTTGCCTTGCCAGTTTTATTCGCTTTTCTATACGCCGTACGGTACAAGCATAATGGCATCTGACACCAGAGCCTCGTCCGACGCGGTGGCGGCCGAGCAGCAGCCTCTCCTGGGCCCAACATCCAACGGCAACAACGACAGCAATGCGTCCACATCTGCTCCTGTTTCTGCTGGCTCGGCGCCTGCCTTTCGCCGAAACTTGGGCGCCCTTGAGGCGTTTGCCATTGTTATTAGCATTGTCATTGGCAGCGGCATCTTTACGTCACCCGGCGCCGTCGACACCAACGTCCCGTCACCGGGCGCTGCGCTGGGCGTCTGGCTCGTAGGCGGCGTGCTGGCCTGGACCGGCGCCGCTACGCTTGCAGAGCTCGGCACGGCCATCCCAGGCGAGGGCGGCGTGCAGCCGTATCTGCAGTACATCTATGGCGACATTGTCGGGTTCCTGGCCGCTTGGACGTGGCTCGTTGCCGTGATGCCGGCGACGCTGGCCATTCTGTCGATTGTCTTTGTGGAGAGCCTGTCGACGGCGACCACGGGTGCGAGCGGCAACGGTGTCGACGGCCAGTCTCTTGCACACAAGCTCCTGTCGATTGCTGTTCTGGCGGCTGTCAGCCTCGCCAACTCCATCAGCACGCGCGTCAGTGCACGCCTCAACAACTTTTTCGTCGGCACCAAGTTTGTCGCCATCGGCGCCGTCGTCGTCGCTGCTCTTGCCGTGGCCATTGTGCAGACGACGTCCATCAAGCCCGGCGAGTCGCTGCCGGGTGGGCACGACTGGACAAGCAACTGGTTCGCCTACCGGCCGACGCTCAACCCAGACGGCTCCCTCACGGACTGGACGCAGCTCTCGAGCTGGGCACTGCTCGGCCACGTCTCTGCCGCCTTGTACGGCGCCCTCTGGGCCTACTCGGGCTGGGACAAGGCGGTGTACGTGTCGGCCGAGCTGCGCGAGCCGGCCCGCCAGCTGCCTCTCGCCATCCACGCCGCGCTGCCCACCATCGTGCTGTGCTTCCTCGCAGCCAATGCCGCCTACTATGTTCTCCTGCCCTGGAACGTCGTGTCCACCACGGACAGCATCGCCGTGACGGCATTTGCCCGCCTGCTTGGCCCCGCCGCTGGGTTTGCCGCTGCCGTCCTTGTGTGCCTTGTGGTGGCCGGCTCGCTGCTGGGCAACTCGTTTGTCGCCGGCCGCATGGCCGTCGCCGCGTCCAACAAGAATTGGATCCCGCGCCCCTTTTCCGTCCTGGGACGGCTCGGGCGTGCGCCCGCCAAGGACAGCACCGCCGGGGACGCCCCCATCAACGCCCTCGTCCTGGCCGCCGCCATCGGCTCCATTTACATACTGCTGGGCAACTTCCGTGCTCTGCTCACCTTCAACGGCCTCGGCGAGTTTACCTTTTTTTTCTTGACCGTCCTCGGCGCCATTGTCCTGCGCCTCCGTGAGCCCGACCTGCCCCGCCCCTACAAGCCTCTGATTCTGGCGCCCATTGCCTTTTTGCTCGTCAGCGGCTTCGTCGTCGCGCGCGGCGCGGCCTTTGCCCCGGTACAGGCGCTCGTGTTGCTTGTGCTGTGGCTGCTGGGCGTCGGCTACTACTACTTGCGGCGGTGGCTGCAGCAGCAGCATGCGGTCGTCTCCCACGACGAGTAGACAAGGGGAGATGTGGTTGGAGGCAAGGGAGCCTCGGGTCCGGATGGCTTGTGTTGTCAAAGTAAATAATTGGATGGTTTGGATAACAGTTAGACGCTTTAGGTACTGGATGTTTTTTTCTTTTTTTTTTTTTTGTCTTCTCATATATGTGCATCGACGGCGTTTTGGGTCGCGCCTGCCCAATTCATTATTTATCCAAGTCTCTCCTTCTTTCGTTCGCTCTTTCCTAATTTTGAAGTCGCATGCCAATCATGTTTTCATTGCTCTTTCCTTCTTCGTCTCTTGTCCCTTCTTCTTCCAGCGCTGTCAAGCTTTCCCCTTTAAACATGCCATCATTCTACATCCTAACGCATCTGTTAATTACATATCGTTTTGTCTCGTCACTCGCGAAAGCCACTTCACCAACGTTCGGCAATTCGGCATGGAGGCGGAACAGCAGCCGCCGCTGTGATCAGATAAACCCCCGACCCATCATCGACACACCCACCTCCAGTTCTACAAGGTTTGAGAGGCCTTGCGAATATCGCCTTTTTGCTCCGAACCCAGGGGTTAGGTTTCTTCCACAGTAAGTATGTCCATAATTGCAGAGTTAATGGCAAGAATCCAAGCGGCTACTTGTCTATGGCCTTTACCGAGCCTCCACCCTGGACAAGAAAACGCAATCTGGGCGGATAAATCGAGCGTTTCCCCACGGAACTTGAACCAGCTCGAATCCAACGTTGCGCACATTTTCCCACGTAATGCCCTTCCCGGCGACCGAGAGACTCCCTGGTATCATGTGAGATCTGTCACTTTCAAGTGTCGACAACGGCAAATGAGCACGCCCAAATGTCTACCAGGCCGACGCAAGATCGAGGGAAGTACCTGACATACTCACTTGATTCTTTCTCAACGACCATGCATCCAAGTGGCGAGGCAATTCTTTGCAAGGCGTTCAAAATACGGTCCTGGGCATTAACCAGCATACACAAGACCGCACTAGAAACAAATGATGTCAGGCAGCACCAGTGTACAGTATTTGACCTCCGCGATATATTGCCTCTCGACCGGACAAACGCGCAGTGGACTATCATACACTACTACCAAGGGCACTGGAAGTCTGGTTTTCTGCCGTATCAGTATATTTGATCCCTTCCGGACTTATTGTGCCTTGGCTTCTATCCACAGACGCAAATGCTCCCTTTTGCCTTCTTGTCTCCGATGGAAAATAAACCAAACAAGGTCGATGGATGGGCATGCCCGCTTCGAGCCATCTCTTGAAGACCATAATCCCGCCAGGTTGCCGTCTTTCAGATGTTTGCGAAAGTCTCAACCACTTGTCCTTTTATTTCCTCGACTTAATTTTCCTCGTCACTCCAGTGTTCCTTGGCTTCCTGTTCATTCTGGCCTCTCGTTACTCCTCTATTTCCCCTAACATAATTACTGGTATCATGTTACTGCTCCAGTGAGAGCCCTGATTCCCGTTCCCAATTCAGCCCTTCAACGACTTTGATAGTTCGGAAACTCAGTTTCTTTCCACACACACACGCCGGGAGGACAATATTTCGTCACTATTCGAGCTCGCGACATAATATATCCTGATCCGCAAGTACGGAAACGGGGAGCGATATGCCCGACAGTGTCCTCGTTTAATAAACCTGCCCTCTTCTCGTGCGGTCGTCACGCGCGCTCCTTTCTGTTTCCTTCACATCACTCACGATCGAGCACGTTTTTTGCCCTTTTTGCGTTTCATTTTTGTCTGCTACCACCTCTAAGCGGTCGAATCACAAAGCGTTTATTTCTGTTATGTTTCCTTGCCAAGGTACCACTTCATCCAGAACCTAGCCGGTCGATCAGAATGAGGTATACTGCAAGTGTCCAAGTTCAAACCAGCTAGCCGTCTTCTCTTATCAAAGAATCACAGGCTGCGTGGCTGAACATATCGCCAAAGAACGGGCTGAGGTGCATTTATAGTGGGAAGTTCCTTGTTTTACGTCTTAGTTGTTCGTCAAACTCACGCCCTGCGTTTCTTCCCCCTCCCTTGGATACAGATCAAATTCAAAACACCCGCCTCTTGTATTAGGCTCGCGCAACAGCAAAACAACGTCTAGAATGAGAGTAGCTCAGCTCGTGCCTTGGGGTGCGGTGCTGACTGGTTTTGCTGCGTCCCCGACCTCGGCGGCTCCCAACGCAGACACCTCTGTCTATCATGACTCGGAGACGGGATTCACGTTCACGCAGTACAACGGAAAATACACGCTCAACAACGCTGCTATTACCTTCCGCGTGGCCGTTCCGAGCGGTGTTCCGGCCAACACAAACTTCGACGTTGTCCTTCAGATTGTCGCCCCAAGGGATGTCGGCTGGGCAGGACTTGCATGGGGTGGTGGAATGACACAAAACCCATTGGCAGCAGCTTGGGGAACGTCGACTGGAGCTATCATCTCATCGCGATGGGCTACGTAAGTGTTTTTTTATTTCATTTTTGTTTTTCCCGGAGCCCAAAAATACAAGACCGTCCCCCTGCACATATACTAACCGTATTGCAGCGGCCATTACCTTCCGCAGGCTTATGCAGGTTCGACATATCAAATCTTCAAGAGAGGCACCAAAAACAACGGGACACACTGGCAGGTGACGGCCAAGTGCTCCGGATGCACCTCCTACGCCTACGGGTCGTCATCGATTATAAGCCGGCTAAGTCCCACCGGCAGCAACCGATTCGCGTTCGCCTATTCGGCGCTGAAGCCCTCCAACCCCTCGTCAAACACATCCGACTTTGGCGAACACAGCGTTATCGGGTACTGGAACCACGACTTTGGATCAGCAGCCAACCCGTCATTTACATCTTTGGTCGCGAAGAACTTGTAACCGTGAGATCCGTCCGTCCTTGGCCTATCAAAGGCCATTTAGATTCTCGATAAGGCGAAGGGAGAAGAGGGGTGAACGGGAGTATGTGCATACGAAAACATTACACACGGGAATGAAAGTGGCTAGAGGGAAATCTTGTAGAAATGAAGGCATATTTATTCATTTTCACTTTTCTTCGTTTTATGTTGATGAGCATCATTTTTAAATTCAGAAAGAAAAATTAAAGGCGGCCCCATAAACCAACACCAAGATTAGCTACTAAGCAAGAAAAGGATGTTGGACATGACACAGGACGACCATTACTCACCACTGTTGGTACTTGTTTTGGTTAGCACCACCTAAACTTGAACTCTAATTTAATTGGCATATAAAACGTCGTATCACTCCAACTTGCTCCTGCTTTCCTCTTCCATTTTTTCTCTCTTTTCCTCAAACCTCGACGAGGCAGCCATCGCAGTCGGATGTAGCGTATATAAAACCCCGTATAAAGGTTGCCAAAGGTACGTTCTCTCTTCCCCATTATATTCTGCTGTCCCCTCAATCTACGTCGTTCAATTCCACACGTTTCCTATTTCTTTTCTCTAGCTCTACACTTTAATTTCTGTTCTAGTGGCCACCTGGTTGTTACGACTAGGCTTTGGGAACTTAAGAAACCAACATGACGCCAGAATGAGACGTGCTTCTAATTTCTCTCTTCTTTCTCCTTTTCAAAATATTTTGTCGTTCGGCCACGTACTCTCATCCTTTCTTCCTTTTCCTGCTCTTCTGCTTCTCTCCCCTCGAGGGTGACTACCTTGCCAAAGGGAAACACAGAGGCAGAATGCAATAAAGACAAACTAAGAACTGAAGGATGTTGAATGTGCCCGTGCCCCCAAAGACAAAATAATAGAAAACAAAAGAGATGAGATATTTAATTGAGAAGGCGTGTTGGGCAAGGGGGAGACTTTAGGGAGACTGAAACCAAAAAACAAGAATGAGGGGAGCAGAGACACAACCGCGTGTGGAACAAAACGAATACAAAAAGGTGCAGTCTGGGGGTACTTTCGAAAAAAGGGAAGAGGGACTCGAGTCTACCGGGGTGGGAGGGACCACAGAGAAACAAGACCAGTCGAAGGAAATATGGAAAGAAAAAATGTGAACTGAAGCAGGGGTGATACCCTCGGCGGCTGAGACTGATATCTCCAATTAACCCAATCTTCGTTCCTCTCTTCTGTCTTGCTTTCCTTCTCTTCTCAACTTTCTCTTTTTCGTTTTTCGTGTTCCCTTCCCCCCCATTCTGGAGTTCCAACGTTTCTCGTTGGAACTCGTCAGAAGAAACCCACGACCAAAGTCAAAACAAAACAAAAAGGAAACGTGAGCAAAAGGAGAAACAAAAGGATAAGATGCTGATGCATCTTCCACTCCCCAAACCAGGACGTCTTGATACCTCTTCCTTCCCCTTGCAGAAAATTCCTTCCTTTCTCCAGTCCTGTCTGCCCCATTGATCGCGTCTCTGACTTTTTCTTCGAATCTTTTTTTTTGTCCGGGGGTTTTAACTTTCCATTCGGTCTCCGTCTCTGCCAGGAGCTGCTGCCAAGAGACCGATTGATTCTTTTTGCTCCCATGTTCTGACTTTCGTTTTGGCTTCACGTTCTTGGAAACCGTCACAGACGCGAGACAAACTCATTGGGCCCATTGAAGAGCAGGACTGGCAGAAGCGATTGAGTACTATACAAGCTCAAAAGGGGCCTTTGTCTACAGCGCTTAGGGTCTAGACAGTCGTGAGACAGGTTAGTTAGTTTTACGGGGAGCTGGGCAGAATTCCTTGGGCGTTGGTTCTCTTGTTTGTGGATGTTACGCAGAGGTCCACAAGCAAACATGCCTCTTAACCACCCATTCTCGGGGGTTTGTCTTATTTTCGGCCTTTGTTTCTGCCCCTGGCAGTGCTGAACAGGCCCAAAGGGAAAAGGATGGCTTCTGGGGAGACCCAGGAGCACTATACAGGGGGAATATGTGAACGCATGCAAGCTGGTGAGGCACAAACCAAGACTTGCAGTTTCTTCGGCTTCACAATTAACACATCCGAACCCCTTCTGTTATTGCACTGCAGGCCAGGGATAAGGGCCGGGGAGGTGTGCCATATTGCAAGACCGTTTTGCTTTTCTTCTGCGCGTGGTCGTTTCTTTGCAACCCCCCGCTTCTGTTCCAGATTTTTTTCTCGCTGCTGTCTCTCTCCCAGTTATTTTGCTTGGTTGGTGTGTCCTCCTTTTTGCGCTTTTGTCAGTGATGAACGGCCCTCTCTGAAGTAACGAACTTCGGTTCTCATGTTGGAGAGGGATTGGGATGCTTTTTCTTTACTTCTGGGCGCCCTTTTGCTAGCGGTCTCACAGAGTATAAGGATCGTGAGTCATCTGATCTGAGGCAAGCCGAAGCACATAAAACTTCCCCCTTCCCCTTGTCAGGACTTCTTTTTGATTCCGCGCGCTCTATTTTCGTCGGTATTTTTACTCGTCACAATTTGCAGTTTCCGAGCATATTGCCGTTCCGAGAGGCTTTTATACTCTAGGTGCGTTGTTTTACACCTACACAATTCACAGTGACACCAAGGCTTTAATTGGATTTTGCTTTTCAGTTTTATTTTTTAAATATAGATAACTGGTAGCATCTCGGTAATGGTAAAGGGGGGAATACAATGGCTTCAAAATGTATAGAGGGATGGTCGGTACCAAGCAAGTGGCGAGTAATATGTTGCTATGAAACGAAATTCAGAAGTGGGAAATTTCTCCCTGAAATGTGGCATGCCAAGTGGTTGAAAGATTGAATGAAAATGATGTTGATGTATGGTGAACCAAGAAAGAAAAATAAAAGACTGGCTGCTTGCAAAAAGCACTATGGTTGATGGAGTAATTTTGTTTGACACAAAGGGAAGGAAAAGAAACGGAGACACCACAAATGCCAAGCAATAAATCACGAAAAGCCAAAAGGGGGCTAGATCCAAACAAACGAACGAGTTGATACATTTTATCAAATTAGTTGGCAAAAAACAACGGTCAAAGAAAGGGAAAGGAAATGACATAAAAACATTGACAAAAAAAAGGGTAGAACAGGGCCTCTAGGTCAGTGAAGCCGCTCCTTGAGGTAGACCACCGCAGCATAGCCTGCACAGCACTGCGTGCTCATGTTGTGCGAGCACCAAGGGCACTTGACCATGGTCGTGATCGCGCCCGAGACACCCAGGTCACGGTCAGTGACCACCGCATCAGGCTGCGCCATGCATTCGTACACCCGCGATGGCATGTCGTGGAAGAACTTGCAGTTGCAACACTCAACAAGCATCTTAGCCATGGGCTTGGACTGCGGTGTTTGCTTGGCAAGCTGCTCGGGCTCGTGAGCCGGAATTCGGAACCGTGGCGACGTTGGCGACTTCCCTGATAGCGGCGCACCTGGTGCACTCGCCGGTGGTAGAGGCAACAACGTCGTGTTGGTCGGAGCTATGTGCTGCCCGCTTGAGAACGACGCGGACGTTTTGAGCGGTGGCCGAGGCAAAGACGGCGTCGACATATTGGTCTTTCCGGACCGGATGACATTCGAGAGCGGCGAGGAGACCAGGGGGGCTGACCGGCGCGCTTCCTGCAGGTACATGGCACTGGGTGAACTGCGCCCGGAAGGGGGTCCCTGGTCAAGCACAGCTGGTGCAGATGCGGGGCCCATCAAAGCAGTTGAATCACTTTGAGAGGATGCCTGAGTATCGTGGTCTCCGGTCTTGGGTGAAGCAGCCGAGCTCCGAGCCTTGGACTTGGGCGGGATAAAGGCCTCGTGGCGGAGAGGGGGCAGGAAACTGACATCGATGGACGTCCTCCGGGGATCGTTTCCGGCAGGAGTGGGTGACGTGGCACGTTGGCCATGGTCCGTTTGCCGTTGAGCCTGCGGGTCATGCTTGCTGTCATCTGCTATGCGAGGTTCTTCGCTGACGACAGACATGTGCTTGGCTTGCCTGCTGTTTCGTTTTTCGACTTTCCGGAACGAGCTCTTTTGCAGCGTCTTTTCCGGAGACGGCTGCAGCTTCTCCTCGACGAAATTGTGACCGTCCAAATAGTCCGTCTCGTCGACCTCCCGCTGGGCGTAATTGTAGGCCGGGGGAGCAACAGCTTCACGCTCATGGTTGATCAGTGCTGGGTGGACACCAAGAGCATTCTGCGCCTCTGCCAACATGGCAGCTTCTTTGAGGTTTCCAAACTGGGACTTCAGCGAAGCGCCAGACTTTTGGTTTGTCAGACTCGTCACGAAAGATTGAGCATCATTGTCCGGCGTTATCGTGGATTGACTCCAAGCCTCGTCAAGGATTCCGAGGCCCTCGGAAAGATTGGGAGTGGACTCCAACATGATGTCTTCGTCGTGAGGTTCAGATGCACGCTGATCAATGTGGCCATTCGGCTGAACTGGCTTGGTCTCCTCGTGATTCTGCGCTCGAGTTCCGGGGCGCTCGACGTTCTCAAGAAGCCGACCACGACTAATGGGTCTCTCAAGGTCGTCAAGGATTCGCCCCTTGCTCCGAGGTCGACCTACGTTGATGTCCCGCACACTTTCCGTTCTGCTAGCTGGTCGGTTTGGCAGGACCTCATGGTTGGCGCGACTCGAGGACGTATCAGTCTTCGAGGTTTCACGTGGCGCAGTTGTTACTTCCACCGTCGATGGGCCTCGGTTGTCGTGTTGCAATGCCGTTGTCGTGAGATTCTCCTGGCTATCCTTGAACATGTCAGGGCTGCCAATTTGAACCTCTTCGATGGTGGCGGAGAGTCCTTTTGCGGACTGCGGCCGAGAGGTATCCGGTGTGCTTGCAGGCGATGGGGGAATAGAAGAGTCATCATGGTAGGACGACGTCGACGAGCCCTCTGAAGGACGGCTTGTGACCGGGACCCTTTGTGACATTGTCTCCTGGTTGATTTCTCCGAGAATGCGAGCGGCCTTGGGAAGGCGTCTTGCATCCCTTTGAGGGATTTGGAGGCCGTGACTGGCGAAAGGCGCGTCGTTCTTCGAGCTTGACATTGATGAAACCGCTGTCTGGGTAGAATTCTGTGAGTGCATGCGTGAGGGAGACTGTGACACAGGCGCAGACGTCGGTGCTGTGCCCAATGGATTGCTGTGGGATTGGAGATGCATCGCCCCCATGGCCCGCTCCTTGAAGCTCCGACCCGCGTTCGTGTTTGTCGTGGATCCGCTCGATGTGCTGCTTCGGCGGCCGATTCGAGACTTGATCGAAGAGAAAATCCCACTGGTTGGGGTCGCCAAGTCGAGGCTGGGCGGCGAATACGTCTTTGAGACGAAATTCATGTAATCGGTATTCGACTCGCCGTCCTTCTCCACGTAGTGATCCTTGTTGTTTTCGGGCAAGGATGGGAAGGCCTCAATTTGCTTGTCGGGGATAGAGCGTGCTGGTGGCTGGTGCTGCTGTAGTGGGTGCTGGTGCTGGTGGCGAGACCGTGATGGCTGTTCGAGCCGCTGCTGGCTTTGCTTTTCCCGAAGAGCCGCGTCCTCTTGTTCGCTCGCTTCCTTGACGCCATTTGGTACACCCGTTGGCTTTGTAACCTTGGACTGCGGCGAGCTTGACCGATGGCCGTTGGACTGCGGGTGTTGTTGTTCGGGTGCGCCTAAATAGGCAAACTGTGTTTGGTTGGGCCCATTCAGCAGGTTCGGGTCGGAAAGGGCCGCCTCTTGCATGAATCCTTTGATAGAGCGTTCGATACTCTGTGCCCTCGCCTTGCGAACGTAGCCTCCAGACCCTGGTGAGTCGACACTCTGTCGACCTCTTTCCCCATTGTCCGTCGTGTGATTGAGAGACTGGTCGGACATGGTTTTCGTAGCAAACAGTCGGTGGCCATTTGAGTTTCCAGGCTGATCATCCGGCTTGGCTGGAACAGGTGTGATGGTTGAGGCCGAGTTCTGCCGACTGTGACCAGTAGGGAGGTTGCTCCGGAGAGCGTGCGACCGCGAAGACGTCGGAGGGTACGAGATCTTGTCGTTGGCTGACGTAGGTCTTTCTTCTGTTGTAGTCAGCTTCTTATTCCCGGGGGGATTCTGTTGCTGGACCTGTGTCGTCGTGAGGGCAGGTTCACGAGAGGTGTCTTGGGCGGTGGTCGGTTCCGATGTTGCTCTTGAGTAGGTAGGGCGCGACATCCCCCAGACTTCAGGAATGAGAGCTTCGCTGGTAGATGGGAAATACCGAAGTACCTTCATACCATATCCGTGGCTGCTGTTAAGACGTGATGATGCTGAGCTGGATGGTCGATCCCGTAGGTTGTTGATCGAATCGGGATTGTCTAGAGGCGGAGACTTGTATAGACGGTTGGCCGCTCTCTTCTTAGAACTGGCTCGAAGTTCTTGGTCGAACCTCTCCTTTTCCTTCTTCCGAAGCTCGGCTTCCTGCTTCCTCTTTTTGTCCTTCTTTTTCTGCCCGTATCCCTCCCAACTTGGCGACTGGCATATTGATGACTGATCGGACTCCTCGGCAATGTCGTCCTCCTCGTCATGTCCACCATTCTTCGTCGGTGTCGAAAACTCAACCGACTTCTCTCGTGGTGTAGTATCGCCGCTGCCGTCTGCCACAGCTGACATCACATCGCTATCGACAGCCATGTCGCGAAGTACCGGCCTCTGTGACTTCTGGCTAAGCTGTCCTTTTTCGCCAGCATCTGTAGGCGATGGTATCGTGATGGAGAGTGGCGACGCGGGGCCAGTACGACGCACAACAGTTGTCATTTGGTCAAGCTGCTGGTGTTGCTGGTGTTGCTGGTGTTGCTGGTACAAAGACTCCCTTGAATCTCGGCGTCGGGTCTGTATAGGTACCGGCGGTGGTCGTATTTGATGTTGGAACGACATAGCCGAAGTGTCGGGCGTTGGCGATGTCTGGGCACGTTGAAGCCGGGCGAGCTATATATGGAAAAGAAAACGAGGTGTCAGATAAAATGAGTACATGAGACGTCTTGAGAAAGACAAAAGCAACGAAGGGGGGGGGGGGAAGCAAGACACAGAAGACGGGGAAATGGGCACACGAAAAAATGGCAAAATGCAAAGAAGTGTAGAGAACTGAAATCTCCGCAGAGGCAAAACACAGGTCAAAGCTGAAGAGGAGATGGGGTTGTTTTACCTTGTATTGCTTTTCCAGATCAAGCATTTTTTGCAAGCTCTCCGATCTTGGAAGAGGCTTATGCCCGTCGATGCGTGTAGCTGCCATGATGGCAAAAACAAGTGAAAGTTCGTGAGCTCAGCCCAGTTCACTGTCCTTTCCCAAGAACGTGAAGAAGGAATGGGAAAAATAGAATAAATAAGAACTCGGGAGTGAATACAAGGAAAGAACGGCGGCGAAAGGTAGGCGGGACAACAACGCCAAAAAGAGTATAAAGAGAATAAAAGGCGGAGACAACGGATCCCAGACACGGGAGCCAGTTACGTGTACAGGCGTGGCATAGACGGTACGTGCGAGCTTGAACGAGTAGCCGTGAGTATCAAGTATGAAGAGAAATAAAACAAAATGACGAAAAGAACGAGCGGATGTTCTGCGCGTCCGGTCGTGACGGGCAGCGGTATGGGGTATAGTTTCGACAGAGGTGGAGTGGGCTGCTTTTTTTTGTTGGCTTTTTGGGCACGCTTGGCGAAATGCGGTAGAAGGTAGAAACGGCGGGCAGATATTAAGAAATAGAAGGGGAAGAGGGGGGGCGTGTGCGTCGTAAGGAAACTGAAAAAAAAAAAGCGAGTATGGAGTTTGAATTTAGGCGCGAGAAAAACTCAAACAGGGTTTGAAGCAGCGGACGATGCCATGGGATTGGACGGCCAAGGAGGATGAGAATAAAAAAAGCAACACGTAAAGTGCAGACGTGAGAGTGGAAACAAAATGGGTGTCGGCGGGTAGGGGAAAAATAGAATGAGACTGGATGGCGGTTGAGAAATAAAGGCAGCAGCTCGGTACTGCTGGCTGGCGTTGATCGTCACCCGGCGAGAACGATGGAGGGGCGTGAAAAGAAGAGAGCAAAGTATTGCCGGGTTGTCGAACTTGGTACGTCTCTTCCTTGTTCGTGAACAGTTTCTGTTTGTTGGTAGAATGATTTATCAAGTAGCTGAAAAGTTGAGAACCAAAGAACGGGGAGAGATCACAAAAGGATATGACGAAGACGAAAAAACTGCGTATTGCCGGGACGTAAAACAAGGAGCCGGTAACGAGACAAACTACCAACGACGCAGTCCAGCTTCTGCGGTCTACTACCACTTGGGTTCTTGTCTTGAAATTCTCTCGTTTGTTGCGTTCTGTGATTCTCCGGACTATCGGAGAAGACTCGCAGTCGTCAAGTGTGGAAGAAAGCACGTAGGCAGGGCGATATTAAGGCTTCGTTTGTCGAGGGTTGGTGTGGAGCGAGAGGCAACGCCAGGGGCGTGAGCTTTTGAGTTATTAAATATTAACAAGCAGTCGACACCGACAGCAATTCTGTAAAGTACAGACACAAAAAAGAGACGAGGATCAAGGCGAGGGGGGTGAGTGACGGATGCCGAAATCGTGACTCTCAGTGCATCGTGGAGGGACGATGTGACGACGGAGACAAGGCCGGAGGTGTCGCAGGAAAGGGAAAGAGTAGGAGAGAGAAAGGTGTCAGCGAGTGTGGAGGATTGGCCGGTCTGATGAATAAATGTGGGCCCGGGAGAAATCGAAGAATCGAGGCCGGGCAAACGACGGGCGAGAATTAATAAGGAACGGCGACAAAGGCAGGCCTCGTGGGAGAATGAAATCGAAGCGAGCGTGGCGATGGTGAGGCGTGGTGAAGGCAGACGATGTGACAGGCAAAGAATTTGGTAAGAAGGGCGTGAGAAATACACGACGAGAGGAAGGCAAGGAGATCGTGAGCAGGGAATATGGCCGAAAACGAGAGACCGAGATCGAGAAGGTGGCGGTTGGCGAGCTGCTGGACGAGAACGAAAGAATCAAAATAGAAAGAAGGTCGAGCGGCTGTGCGGTCCAGCAAGCGGGAAGAAAGATGATGGCGTAGTAAGTAAAGGTCGAAAGGGGGCCAACCGAGAGGCGAGGAGAGTAAATGTGTGGTATGGGTGGAAAAGAAAAGAAAAAAGGAAGAAATAGAGTGGACGTGTAAAGTGAACGAGACTGGGCGCCGCGCGTACCTGGAGATCCGGTAGAAGAGAAAGGCGCAAAAGAGCGGACGAAGGAAGCGCTGGGAGGACACGGTGGGAGGATGCGCAGCTTCGTGGGAAATAAAATAAAGAAGCAATCAATAATAAAAATAAAATAAAAAGGAGCAGACATGCGTGATGTGTGCGTGTACGACCTGCAGAGGTAACGCAATGTGCTGCATATGACGAGATCAAAATGAAAATAGATATAGCTGGCCCCCTTGTCAAGAAAAGGTGGCTGACGGCATGCGCATGGGCGTGGAGGTTACGGGAGGACGAAATAAAGGGGCATGGACAAGCGGTCGAAAAACTAAATGGTTAACATGAAGCCTAAAAACAAGGCCACGGAGAGGTTTGGCGAGGATGGCGTAAGAAATGGGAGAAGAGGAAGGAAGCAGCTGATACGGAAGGAGAAGGCACGAACGGGCATCAGAAAGGGCAAGAGCGCGGCCATAGTGCAAGGAAGGTGCAAACGGCCATAGTCCCAAAAAGGCAAGAACAAAACAAGGGAGCGAAGGTGCATTTGACAGGCAGATCATGAAGACGGAAGCCCGAAAGCGAAAGGTATGCAAGCATCAGCCTCAGCCGGCTGTGGACCAATGGCTGCAGCACATGTACTGGCCTTTATACGACGGAGCCGGGCGCGGCGATTCGCATCATCTTGACTTTATTTCGTGTTATGGAGAGAGGCATATGGCGGCTTTTTTTTCCAGGCCGCGACGGAAGGAGCAATTGCTTTTCTCCTTTCCTCGCCTGCTTGTGGCACCTGCGGCGACCATCGCCACGCAACCACGACATCCACGACATCTACGACACCTCTCGACGCCACGCGCTCCGCGCCATGCCCCTGTTTTCCTCTGCCGATATTTCTGTGCGACTGGCAAGATATGTGCTCGTGAACCCCGTCCGCATGGATCGTGATGGAAGCAAGACGGATTCGCATAGCATGGTCATAGCAAAAGGCCGGAAAAAAAAAACACGCCCCGAAATTGCTCAGAAAACAGCCTCATATTCCATGCCATTTTTTTTTTCTCTCTCAAAATGCAATATATCCTAATTCGAGGCTCACTAATGGATGAAAAAATGAGGAACAGCATGAAACCTTGAACCAAACATCAATCACCATGTTGAGAAAAAGAGGGCTTCTCCGACATTCTCCCAAACATGCTTCACCTCCCAACAAAGGCACTACACTCAACTCACCATCCGACGTCGAATTAAGCTCATTGATTCGAGCCTGTACTTGCCATGGGTCAGCCAGTTTGATGCTCCGTTCCGGTAGTAAATGCGACCCTCCATCAAGACCGCACAGGATACAGGTTGGAGCTACCATTTGCGCAACCTACGCTACAGGCAACGTGCGTCGCGCCTCAACGTGGCTCCTGATCCTTTGACTACGCCGCCCGACCGATCCAGTCGTGAAAGAGAGGAATGGGCGGGCAAGAGTTGGGCGTGGCGGGACGATCAACCGAAAAGACACTGGACTGTCGACGAAACCGGTCCAAAGGCTCGAGCCACAAAAAAGTGAGTAAAAGCGATGATCTTGCTGTTTGGAAAAACCTGTTCTGCTGTTTCTTCAGCTCTTTGCTACGCGCAGATGCCGGTGACCGCTACACGCAGCTCGCATTGGGGAAAGAAGTGGCCAGGCCCAGAGTTTTTCGTTTCAGGCAACCCGCCGGGATTTCCCCAACCCAAATGACCAAAGTTTTGCACAAATCAACAAAACACTCCTTCATACATAACCCTCCTTGGCAGCGGAGCAAAGGCCACAAACAGCCAACCTGGAAGCAGCTACGGGGAAGACGAAACGGGAAGAATAGAGAGGAGGAGCCGAAATGGCCGAAATGAGAAGACGTGCTCAGTTCATTAAACATTGCCTTTTTTTCGTATCATTTGCTTTACGAGGTTACCTATGTGTTGCTCTGCGTTGAACACATGTCTCTCTATTGTTCCGTATTATTCTTTTGGCCCGTATTATCGCGTTTGTACGTATACCTCTCCTTTTCGTCTCTTATTTAAGCAGCCACCGGTACCCGGAGCAAGACCTGTACCGTCAATGGTGGTAAGATGCTGACCCGGATGATCCAGTCCAGTGAAGAGCCGAGACGAACATAAGCAGAGTTGTGTCGTCAACGGAAAGGAAGAGGCACAGCTTCCCCTGTCGTTGTACATTTGTAAGAGATCTGTCAAGGACTGGCAGAACTAGGCCCGCGTTGGCCGACGAAGCCGCCGGCAGTGACACGTTCGTATTGGTAGCAGGGAAAAGCAAGAAAAGGGGCTCCAGGCATGCTACTTGTTCCTTGCCTGTTGCCTGCCTGTTGCCTGCCTGCATTCTACGTGCATTTTGCCTGCTGTCTAGGCCAGGGGTCGAGCTGGGTCGATCGAACGACAGCAAATAAAGAAGACAAATAGAGGCCCGTCGACACGAGTTCCCAGTCGGATCCACAGCAGCATACGAGGAAAATATGATCGAATTGACCATGCTGCAGGTCCTCTCAGGTGCCTTCTGTGCAACGGGAGCGGTGACCTATTTTCAGTGTTATGCATATGCCCCCTACCTTGTGCGCCAGTCGTTCCCTGGCACCGGCTCTAGGAAGGAAAACGATACAAACGAAAGTAGGGGAAGGACACTGCCGTGCCACGTAATGCCGTCAAAGTCATAATTGTACTCGTGTGCAATTACACCGTACCTTTACCCAGGAACCCGCCCGATCCAAAGATCCCGTAACCAAAAAACTGTGCCCAAAGTACAACCACACGAAAGACTGGTATGGGGATAAATAAGATGCATTACGTAAATCAATACCTGACGCCTTGCCCGCGCGTGCCCTCACTCCTTCCCCCAGTCAATCGCCAGCGGCTCCTCTCCGCGCCCTGCCCGCCACCGGTCGGTTGCTGCCATCAGTTCGTCGCATCCCGTCAGCAAGAACGGCCACTTCTTCGCAAACCCGGGCGTCACCTCCCAACTATCAGGCAGCCAGGGATCCGACCATACTATGATGCCACGGCGCTCGACGTCATCAAATCCCTCGTAGAGTCCGCCCAGCAGATCGCAGCACAAGTTGTCTGGATCCCACTGGCCGTACGTCCGTAGCAGATTATCACGCATGGCGGGCGAAGGTACGCTGCTGATCCACAGCATGTCTGGCCGCCGCGGTTCTTGGTCATGGAAGATGCGGCGCTGAAGCGGTGTGGGCCGAAGAGAAACCGGGAGATCGTCTGGTGAGGTGGCCGGGGTCGGCAGCGGGGGGTAGATGTGGTCAAGTATCTGGTCGAGACCACAGTCGGCGTCCATGGCGGAGTGCAGGATGGCGAGGATGGCCATGTTGGTGAGTGTGGCGCGGAGGACGTTGTACTGGATAAGGGTGAGGAGGCGGTGGTCGAGCGAGAGTGGGAAGTGGACAAAGGCGGCAGGGAGGATGAACATGTGGAGGTTTGGGTTTGGCTGGAGGCTGAAAAGAGACGACAGGGAGGAATTTGATCCGGTCGCTGAGCCGCCGCTCGACACATACTGCAGGAGTGGAGGTATAAGCTTCACGCGGCCAGGCACATAGCTGGGCGGTGACGACGAGCCCGATGGTAAAGAAGATACTGTTGGCCGAGGCGTCAACACAAAATATCCCGCCGGTTGTTGCACTCGCTCTTTGTAGAGCTGCAATTGCTGTTCCTGCTCTGGATGGGTTTGGACTACAGGTTTGAGGACCCAAAAGCCGGACGACGCCTGTCCCTGTACGATTTATTAGCCTGTGGGAAATGTGGACGATAATAGCACAATGTGGCTTGATCTCCAGCCGCATACCTCATTTGATGCTGCCAGGGCCGCCTCGGATGCCTCCAGAGCTTTGCGCCGTCGCCATGCCCGCTGGTGCAATCGGTTCTGCCGCTTCCTCCGCTCGGCCTTGTCGGACAGCCCCTTCCAGATATCAGCCTCTCCATCTTCATGTGTCTTCCCCTCTCCCAGGCTGTGCGGCTGTCCGTGTCAGTCATTGTAAGTCAATCAGGTCCATCAATTCGTCCGTTAGAGAGACTCACTTCAGACATGTATGCCGACGTTGCCACGGTCACTTGATGTTGATTTGGATGTGAGTGTCAAGATTCAGTATCCCCATAAGCGCGCGTGTCCGCTGTAAGAGAAAGAGATGGATTGGAAATGCAGTCGATATGGTGCAGGTTGAAGAAACAGGTTGCCGACGACGACGTATGTTCTCCTTCGCGATGTCCGGCTGCTCATGGGCTATGCCCCAAACGGGCAATCGTCGCCCTGCGGTCGTGGTTGCCCTGTGATCCCTGCTAGCACGAGGCCCGCAAGCCTTCCTGCCTTCTTTACACAGATATGCTTACGCGCTAGTGGCCTTTTAGGTTTAGCATGTTTTCGGAGACATGTGCAGCCAATGGCGTGCAAGAGATGCATGGATCGTGGCTGCCGGTCAAAACATCAAGACATCGACGGATGAGAAAGGCAAGTACGTTCAGAGCGACAAAAATCTATAAAGTCGAGGAAGGAGCAGTATCGTCCTTGCCTCGATTTTCAAAGGAGTTTACCGCGTGCTCCAAGGTTTTTTCTTTCTTTCTTTCTTTCTTTTTCTCTATTTTCTGCCGTTTTCAGAACCTCACCACACAGCATACCCTCGCATCCACTTCACGATGGCTGGCGTCACCAACTTCAACCCAGAAAATGACATTCCGTCATTAGCTGGCAAAGTCATTTTCGTCACAGGAGGTAGGTCTGACCTGAGTAAAGCACCAGACGTGCAAGCAGCCTCAAAATGACTGACACATCTCTCGTCACAGGCACCAACGGCTTGGGCCGTGAGTCTATCCTCGCGTTTGCCAAGCACTCGCCTGCCCACATCTACTTTACCGGCCGCGACTCCAAGGCTGCTGCCTCACTCGCTGCCGCTCTCGCGCCCTCCGGTGTTCCCTCGACCTTCCTCGAGCTTGACATGGCTTCGCTTCCTACCGTCAAGGCCGCTGTCCAGCGCTTTTCCCACGGCCGCCTTGACATCCTGATGTGCAATGCTGGTATCATGGCCAAGCCACCGTCCTTGACCAAGGACGGTTACGAGCTGCAGTTTGGTGTTAACCACATGGCGCACGGGGCTATCATTCAGGGCCTGCTACCTGTTCTTCAGAAAACTGCGGACGAGCCAGGGTCCGACGTGCGCGTCGTCTGTCTAACATCAACGGGTTGGCGGGCACACCCAAAAGCCGGCGTAGACTTTAACCAGGTGCGCACGACCATGGACAGCATTATGGGATCGTGGGTTCGATATGGGTACGTTCTATTATATTTACCGTTTTTTTTTTTTTAATATTTTCGGTTGAGATCCCGTCTTGTCTTCTAACAGAACGCAGACAGGGGAAGCTTGCCAATATTGTTTACGCCCGTGAACTCGCCAAGCGCCATCCCAACATCACCGCCGTGTCGATCCACCCGGGTGTCGTGGAGACGACTCTTGTCACGGAGCTCTCTTATCCACGAAAGAAGTTTGTCTATATCGCCAACAGCATCCTCGGCGATCCTATCGTTCGCCCTGAGGAGGGCTGCTACAATCAGGTGTGGGCAGCCGCGGCAGCCAAGAAAAGCGAGCTTGTCAACGGCGCCGTGTACTACCCGGTTGGCAAGATGAGCAACGGGAATCTTGACAAGGTGGCACAGGACCCGAAACTGGCCGAAAAGCTGTGGGACTGGACCAACGAGGAGCTGGCGAAGATATAACATGTGCCGTCGTGTGTGTGGCCGGCCTGACTGTTTGTGTGGCGCGCTGTCCCTGGCCCTTGCTCGACAACGATTTGCTGTTGCCCGTCTGCGATTTTCCAGGGATATTTGTTTTCCATTCCATCTCGCAACTGCTACTTGATCCGGGCTTTAATCTATTCCCCTTTCTTGTTTGTTTTCGTTCCGATCAACCGCAAACATTGACAGTGTTGAATATGGTCTAGATGTTTTGTGACCCAGACTTTGATCGACAAAGACGTAAAAGTCCAGACCGCATACAGTAGGGACGCGCGTACCTGCTTTCGGCTTCGGTTTTATATTGCACTTTGAGCGGTACATCTGAGAGGAACAATGAGGGCGGCTCCATCTTCCGCCTTTGTGCTTAACAATATTTTTCACAATATTTTCCACGTGCTCGAAATAAAGAACGACAATCGCAATAGCCATACAAGTGCCCCGTATGCAAGGAGTGGGAGACAATGTTCCGCTGTGTTGCAGCCTACCTCGTCACACGCCAAGCCGGATTCGGCTCCGGCACCGAGACGAGTGCCATCTGCAATGATGTGATGGGTTGTTTTATGCAGTGCGTGGGAGAGCCAATAAAGAGGAATATATATTGAAAATCACCTCAGCAGACTTCTGAAGATCTTGCATCAAACGTTTAATTTACGCCAACATTGTATCTGCTCAATTTCTGAGAAAACAATGGACCAGAAAGGCTTCTTTGTTCAAGCACTCCCTCAAATAAGCTTTCTCGTCTCGTTTTTGTCGATTGGAAATCAACCCTGCCAGTGTGTTCTTTACCCCCTGCCGGCAAAACTCCACGGCGTTAAAAGATCGTTCCCCATGTGCGATTTTTTCTACATCTCCTAAGGGGCTTTCGTCATCGTTCACTTTAAGCAAAATATAAGCGTTTACGAGCCAAGACTCCAAGAACTGGCAAAAGCCGCTACCCCGTAGTCTTGGCGATCTACAGAAACAAAGCCCCGTTGCTTGTTGCAGCTTTGTCACAGCTTTCTCTTACAAACACATTTATTGGAAATCCTTGGCTTTCGTCGGCAGATTTTTGTGTGGGTGTTCACTCATATGTTCATTGTGCCCAATTATCACAACATTCCGAAAGTTTACATGTATGTTGCTCCTGTCGTCACGGACCATGTCCACTCACTTTCATTAACACGTCACCACCTCACAAATCTCACGAATCTCAAACCGTCCATTCCCGGTTCCTATGAGCCATGCTTACATACCTTCCATTTAAATGCATGCAAGGCACGCCAGCTCGCATGACGATTCTTGAACCCCGGGATTACGAAGATGCCTCTCTTGTTTAGCGACATTTTCCCATATCGTTTATTTTTTTTTTATTTTTTTTTTTTTTTTTTTTTTTTTTTTTTTTTACAACCGGCAAAGAGTACACTCGTTGGTGATCCGAGGCCGCACATGTACACGGGAGAGGCTTTCCAATGCCTGTCGGCCGATTTCCCGCCGACAGGGGCGTGTTGTTTGTGTTTTCTGACCTTGAACCTGTCCAGTGCACCAGACGGTATATGCTTGCAACACTTTTGCCGTGTTTCTAGAAGTCTACCGATCCGTACTTGTCTAGTCCTGCTTGAGAGTCACTTCACGTCGGCAAACTCTCCCACGCCTCACCCGCGGAAATTTTGTCTCCCAGTTTTGCGTTTTTCCTTACCTGCCTACTTCGAGCCTTTTGTCTTGCCGCTTCCCCAGTTTTCTTCTCCACGTGAAATGCTTCCCCTCATTTCTTTTCTGTTTATTTCTTTTTCTTTCCTTCCGTAAACCGAGCGTCGCTACGAGGAATATGCACATAGGGTCTGGAGAGCGCAAAGGCACGTTTCTATGCTCCGGTTGGCCGCTCATCTTCTCGTTTGAGTTGCTTTTACGTATTTTGCCTGCCGTCGACGGCAGCAAACGTAATGGAGGAGGATTGATGAATTCGAGTCCACGTGGCTCCTCTGCGATGATATTGGCTAATGTTTGTTTATTCTTGTAACCGTCATAGGATCAAGTTTCTCAAGTCGGTGTGCACTATTACAATAGCGGACATGATACAATTGCCCGACTGCGGAAAATACGACCGAAGACTCCTAGTTTTATTTATAATTTGTATTTAGAGGGAACAAAATCACGTCAGTTTATTCCTCGGTGATGGCGCTGGTCCAATTTCTGCCACTGTTCCTCTCCCATACAAGCCGGAGCACCTCACGGTAAAGAGACAGAGTATTGTGGGCAATGGTATATTAATTGCTGCTCCTATTATTACTCCAGATCCTGTCGCTTCTATTTATTCGCGTACTGCCGTTCCATGGGGGAGCTATATTGAGGCAAGGCGTGTCTTTTATTGAGGCAAGGCGTGTCTTTTATTGAGGCAAGGCGTGTCTTTTACCGGGCCCAGTCATCCATTCAGCCGGACATCAACAAAAGCAAAGTCCGTGTGCGTGCAGTGAGACAAGACTAGAGGAATGTGAAGGAGTAGGAGCACGCAGGAGTCTCGGGATTTTATTTCTCTAAAAAGGGAAAAGGAAAGGAAAGCATAGCCGCTCGGCCAAATTCACAAACAAGAGAGGGCACAACCATGTTTGATGAGGCCACAAGGGGCCATTCATGTCCTCTGTCCTCTGTCTTCTGTTCCCCGTGGCCTGGCCCCTTTCATTTGGAAAGACCCCGGAAACAAGCAATTTTATATGAGAAGATGCGTCCCTCGAAAGGAGGGTGTACAAATATATTGCCAGGCGATGCCTAGTCTCCGGTTTTTCTTTTCAGGCAAATTTGGCTTTGCGCCACCGCACCCCCGGGTGGCAATAAGCTTCGCCAGTCGTTTGATTTTTGCACGACCCGGCAGTTTACTTTTGTCTCTTTTTTTAATGCCTCTTTTATTGCTCTTTTGCTTGTCTTTGACTCCCTCGGACACGACCTTCTTGGCAGCACCCACGCCCGAAACATGCTCTGTCCTGCTTGTGCTTAGCTAGAAACCAAGAGCAAGCAATAGGACAACTTTGCGAAATCGGACGACTAAAGGGGAAAACATGGCCAGTTTGTTTTCTTCTCTTTTTTATTTTATTTTTCTTTTTTTTAAATTTTTTTACTTTTATTTGTTTTACTTTTGTACTGGTCTTGTGTCTAGTGTATTGTGTCTTGTGTCTTGATATGACTCTCGTAGTTGCAATTTTGTTATTGTTTTGAAACTTTGAACTTCCTGACAGTCAAGGATTGTGTGTCCGAATCAGCGTACTCGTAGCACGGGCTGTTTTTGTCTATTCGTTTTGTCACACCAGTGGCTCGCCCGTGGAATCAAAGAAATGAATAAGGCTGAATTGAATTTGAACGTTCGTCAACCTAGAGACATGGTTCCAGCAAGTCGGGGTCTGGGATAAGGGTGTGCCTCTATTTTGTTTTATTTCTGGTCTTTTCTTATCATCTAGAGAGAGACAGAGACGAGACTGAATGTTACCAGTCGGTTGGATTTGCCTTGTTTGTTGAGTGGGAAGTGTGTTTGCCATACGTCTTCTGGGGCAATGACAGACCGTGATGAAACGTTGCGTCTTCTGAGGCTGAACAACCTTAGTAGTATGATCCTACAGAGAAAAGACTTCTAATTGAAATGGAACAAGAGTCCCACGAGCCTGGTCTTGTTATATTCCCATTATCTTCCCTTCTCTCCAAGGCAATGGAACGAACAGCTTTGCTTAAAATATTTCATTAGTTTCTTATTTTTGAAACTTCTATTAAATGGTTTATAATAATCTTTTCTGTCCGGCATCAACAACCAGGTGTATCCAAAACAGAAATCTCAAATCCCGGCAACCAGCGAGAGCCCTAACCACCGTTGATCCTAGTCTATATATCCATCGAGAAAAAGCCCGTAGGAACAAAAAAAAGATCCCGACATAGATTAGGAGAAGTACCAAGCGCCGAAAATCAAAAGACTGAAAGATAAAATAAAATGAGGTCGCTATTGCTGACTGATGAAATGGGGGACAGGTCTATGCAAAGTATTAAGACGGAGGGGATGATCAAAACAACAACAACAAAAAAAAGATGAACAGGGGGTATGTGACGAGGTCATTGTTCGCGGTGGTCTCTTTCTCACGGCTCAACCAGCTTCTCGGCCGTGGCATCGTTCTTCTCCTTGGCCTTGTCAACCAGGCCCTGGTTTGTGATGTGCTCTTGGTTCAGCGAGTAGCCGCGGATGACGAGCGCCAGAATGAAACAGAAGCCAGAGAAGGCGACGAGAGAAATGTAGATGACACGCAGAGAGTCGCTGTAGGCCTGGATGAGATCGGTCCGCTCGGGGCTAGGCGTCATGGCGTTGATGATGCCGACGACGGACGTGGCGTCGCGCGAGTAGTCGCCGGCGACCGCGGAGAAGGCAGGCAGGGCCAGCAGCTTCTTTTTGAAGGAGTTTTGGAAGATGACACCGCTGATGGCGACACCAATCGACTGACCCAGAGTACGCAGGAACGAGAAGAAAGCAGTGGCCTGGGCGTTGAGCTCGGGCTCGACGGCGGCCTGGATGGAGAGGCCCATGGCCGGGAAGAGCATACCGCTGCCGATTCCGACGGGCACGTTGAGCCAGATCCAGGCTGCAATGGGCGTGTCGGGGGCGAGCAGCAGCAGCAGACCGCTACCGAGCGTGGTCAGGAACCAGCCGATCCACAAGGACCAGCGGTAGTGGCCGGTGATGCCAGAAATGACACCGACGGCAGCAGCAGCAGGAGCAACAGTCAGAGTCTCGGGCAGGACGGCGACGGCCGACACGATGGGCTTGTAGCCCTTGACAGCCTGGTAGTAGAGGGGCAGGAAGTAGAGAAGAGACCACAGGACGGCGCCGTGCAGGATGGTCATGATGTAGGTCAGCAGCATGTCGCGGTTGTTGAGGATGCGGTTGCTGATGATGGGCTCCTTGGCCCACCGCAGCTCGTAGAAGCCAAAGAGGAGGACAACAAAGGGCCCGATGATGAGCGGGACCAGGACTTTGTAGGAGCTCCAGGGGTTGGCAACGCCACCGGTGGTCAGGCCGTACAAGAACGAGGTGGTGCCGGCGGTGAACAAGATGGAGCCGATCCAGTCGAAGCGGCCGAGCTTCTGGATGATGCCACCGGGGATCTTGGACTGGTGCAAAAACAGCACAACAAAGCCCAGGCCCAGACCGATCAGGGGCAGGTTGATGTAGAAGATCCAGCGCCACGAGACATTCTCGGTGAAACCGGCACCGATGAGCGGGCCGGTGACGGTGCCGATGCTCCACATGGCGCTGAGGATCGAGAACCAGGCCGGACGGAAGGCCAGGGGGATCAGGTCGGTCATGACAACTTCCGTGAGGGCAATCAGACCACCGCCACCAACACCCTGGATGGTACGGCCGGCAATGAGGACGCTGAAGTTGTTGCCGAGGGCGGCGATGAGGGAGCCGGCGGCAAAGAAGATGACCATGAGGTAGATCATGTACTTGCGGCCAAAGATGCTGGAGAGGGCGGCGACGGTCGGCTGCAGGACGGTGCTCGCCAGCAGGAAACTGGTGCCGGACCAAAAGGCCTCGAGGGCGCTGCCACCAAGGGCGGCACTGATGGTGGGCAGGGCGACAGAGAGAGTGGTGGCGTCCAGGGCGACGGCAACGGTGAGGACAAGCAGGGCCGAAAAGGCAAGATAGAAGGACCGCGTGGCCTTGAAGACGGCCTTGTCGCCGACCATTTCGACGGTGCCGCCGCCGGTGGCGACAGGCTCGTCGTTGCTGCTGCTGCCCTCGCCCTCGGTGGTGTCGTTGGCACCGGTCGTAGGAACTGCCGGCGTTTGGCCGGCAGAGCGGACAGGCTCATTGGCGTCGCCATCGTCGCGTAAGGTGGAGGCGGCCGTGTTGACGTCGGAGTCGGCCGGCTGTTCGGCCTTGATGACGTCGGCTGTAGACGCCATTGTGTTGATTTTCTGTGCTCCTGTGTGTGTACGACGAATTGGTTGGTGTAGGGATATACTCTGTATGTTCCGCAGGTTGTTTTGTGTGTCGTGTTACTGAAGGGCGACAGTTCAGCTCAAGACGCGATGTACAGAACACTATATCGGGAAAAGAGTGTCACAATAAACAAATGGGGAAAACAATGAACAAGGTGGTCGGGGTGTAATTGTCGAGGTATGTCGAGATCAGGTGGCTGCTGATGTGTTGTTGGTGGTGAGTGTTGATTGTTAGGGTTTTCGATTGTTATGATGCTTCGCCCCTATTTGACCCGGTGGGGAGGGAAGGGGATTTGGATATCTTTATAGTTTCGACGGGAGAGGAAGGAAAGAAAGAGAGAATAAAAAGGGAAGGAATAGAAAAGATGAGACCTAGGATGGAAGGAGCAAACAAACAGGCAAGCACAAAAACAGGAAGTGCGAAAATGTGACAAGGGAAAGAACGACGCAAAGTGAGAGACACGCAAAGCGAGACCAAAACTCAAGACGGAGAGAACGCGGATAGATTGCCAGGGATTACGGGGGAACCAAAGGACAGAGAATCCTCAGAAACATCACAGCCTAAGGCTTTACACGTTTTCTTGGCGAGTGGGAAGTACAGAAGTAGGGACCAGACAACAAAGCGTGGAAAGTAAAATGGGTAGACAATACTCCGAATGCGAGGTCGAGAAAATACCGAACAACATGCTCGCATGCAAAGGCGGACCAACAATTGGACGACGGACCAGTAAAACGTGTGAGATAATAAGACGTTGCAACGCTTGAGACCGTGAGCATTTAGATGTAATACTGAAGAATGGTGTTGGTGTGTAAGGGTCTACGATACGGACGTGCGCTCTTCCAAAGACTCGTTTTCGCAATGAAGGAGCGAACAGATGGAGCAAATCGAACAGCAAAAGAAGCGAGACGGATCACAGTCCAGACTGTCTATCTGGACAAGACTACCAAGTTCAGTTGAGGAGGGTACTGAATGGTGAGACATAAGCGACATGGAGAGAGATGCCCGTTTCTCTGGGATCCAAACAGGGCAAAAGCCGATTGGGGGATCCACAGCTGCCAATGCCACATTCCCGCCGTCAGCACCGTCGCGCTACGCCTTATGGAACCGTGCGCGCCAGTGTCTCGTTGGCTTTTGAGACGACGCAAAAGCTCGAAAGTCTGCGGGATCTCCGTTGGTTCAATTCAAAGTGCGGGCCAATTATTGGGCCCTTGGCACCGGCTCATCCAGCAGCAAAAATTCCGGGACGTTCTGACGGGGCGCGCGGCACTACCAATACAGTAATATTTCCAGCCGGCGTGGTCAGTTCGTATCGAAACGAGTTGCCCAAACGAGCAGCATGATTGTTGGCGGCAGTTCTACTTGCAGCAAGAGGATAGAAGGCTCGTCAACCAACACATCAGATGATGCTTACGAGTTATGCCTTACGTACGCCTTGCATCAGCTGAGTTATGGCGTAGGTAGCTGCCCAGCTATTCTTCTTTTGTTTTTGCGACGTTCAATATGCTGAGGTCGGAAACTATGTCGACTTCACCTTAAATGGGGGTCTCGGTAGGGCCATATGGCGGTCCTAACCAAATCCTATGACGATCTGTGCGAGAATGAAGAGGCCAATGCTGCATAGTGTAGGGAGTGCGTAAACCGTCAAATTGGGATCAAGTATAGCACAGTTGTCCGTTTGAAAACGGTGCATGACAACTTGCAAAATATTGCTGCCTTTATTCCGCAAGATGTGAGCTATGATTCATGATCGTGTGTGTATTACGTGGACGGCATGTTAGCCGGACGCAAGACAAGTCGCACGGACCACAGACGACGGAAAATAGGAAGATTCCAGAGACAAACGAGACAAGACAATCGAGAACGAAAGGCAAATTGATAATCTAGGCGGAGGAAGGCGAGGCTGTGGACACGTCGACACTGCGCGGAAACTTTTGTAGACGGAACAAACCTTGCGAGAACATGACATCAAAATAAAGGGGATGACAAACGACAAACGAGGCGGATTCTCATGAAACTCGCGTGGTTGTGGAATGCATGGAGACGATCCGGTCCTGAACAACCACGAGTCCCGTAAGGCTCAAGTTGTGCGGCGCGGAGGAATTGCGTCGTCGTTATCGTCCGCGTGCCGTGGAATTACGGGAACTATGGAGAATTCCGTGGTGGTCAGGGTTCATTAGGCGTGGCGCTGGCATTGAGCGGGCAGCAAAGCAAAGTGCGACTCTTGTGCGTTCTGGTTGGGTTGGAACGGAGCTCTTGGTGGTTTGGCGGTCGAATATTGGGCCGACATCAGAAGGCTTTGGCACCTGGAGTCAGTGGATAACCACTGGACTCTAGCAGCCTTCAGGCGCTGGCAAGACCGTATTTGGCCTGTTGCGTCTTCGCACCGTTTGAGTCGTTGCCCCGACTTTGGTCCGACTCCGTTCCACATGCATCTTACTCCGACGGCCCCACTGTTTATTTGTCAGAACGATGTTTAAGGGAGCCAAGGAGCGTGTAAAAAAGCATACGACATACAATGAATGCACGCGACATAAGACCATTGCGTTATGAAGTGTTTTGAATTCTTCTTGCTTGCGACTTAATTTGGCTGCCTCATCGACGGATCCATGGAGATGCGACGTCACACGATCCGACCGGGCGGGAACAGATCGTTTGCATCTTGTCCACTGCAGAGGGCCTTCGGTCAAACAAGACACAAACAAACCAACGGAGCCAAACTAAGACAGGACAACCGGGGTCAGGAGACGGTGGTGCGTACGGCGTTCATGTTTGACGGTCTGACAGTCGCTGTTGGTCGACTGTCAACCTGTCAGTCCACGGATGCACACCTTGTATGGTAAGACAAAGTGAGCGACATTTGAAGAGTACTACTCACCGTCAGCGGTGTAATCGAGTCTTCACAGACCATATAAACACACTTAAGCAAAAGGGAATGGTCGTCGTCGGCGAAACTGGGCGGGGAAAAGAGAGCATGGAGGTAAGCACCAAAGATGAATATGAGAGCGCGGCAATGATCCTTTTTGGTGTTTGGGTCACGCCTGGAGCGTTGATAGGATCGGTTGGATGATATCAGAGGGCAGAATGGCTCTGTAGGAGACACAGTCGGTTAGTCGTCAGTCGACATAGCAAGCCGTAAACTACGGCGTAAACTACGGTGCTGGTTACTAGAAAAAGTCAAACTCGCTTTTATGAAGCACCACTTTTTTTTTTAAAAAAAAATTCAATATCTCACAGGTTGACAGACGCTTTTATGTGGAATCCTCTCAGTCCGACATACATGACGAGCGTCAATGTCAAGGTTCCATTGTCCGTGATCCTTTTGGGGTAGTCGTATTCCTGGGAGCCTTATGGTTGGGCTGATCCACCGTATTGATTGATAGGTTCTGGATTCTAAGCCAAACCCAGGTCAACAACAAAAAACATATCGCGAAACAACATGACGTAAACAAAGCTAAAACGCTATTATTTTGACATATTTTAAATAAAAATCCAATGACAAAGAGGCGACACTTGAAATAGCAAAAACCGAAAATAGCACAGAACTGCTATTGTGCCACGTTAATGATACCACCATATGCAGGCCAAGAGCAGACAATCCGCGGAGAGGAACAATTTTGGGCAACGTAGGCCAGTTATCCAAACTATCGGCGTCCTTCGCCTGCATGGCCGGATCGTGCTTAATCATGGCCAATATTGTCCAAAAGTAACCAAAACGGTCATGAACGAATGTAGCGAAGACCGTGATCAGTCCAGCCGGTCGTCACCGCCAGCCTCTGCCTTCGTCCACCGCTCCAGCACAGCTTGTGATTCTGCACCGAGATTGTCGCCCACACTGGCCTCCTTCCACTCTGCCTCGCTCTGCCGCTTGCGTGCCGCCATCCGCCGTGCCTGCATCTCCTTTTTGCTGGGCCCGACACCGGGACCCACGCCGCCCGTCAGCTTTTGCACTTCCGCTTGCACGCCCTGCATCGTGTACGCCGGCACCGACCATGCGCCCGCGGCCGGCTTGAACACGACACCACCAATGCCCTTGGCAAAACCCTTGACAAACCCTTTGCCGCCACTCTGTTCGGCGCCCTGCAGCGGCTGTGTCACGAGGCCCGTGACGCCATCGTACAAGCCAAGGCCAAAGGCTTTGCTGGCCGCGCGTATGCCGCCGCCGAGGCCGTCCACCGCCGGCTCGGCGCCGCCTCTTCCACCATCATCGCCGGCCGTGCCGACTCCCGGCAGCGCCCGGACCGTGTCGTCGTGGTAGAGACGCGGCGCATTGTGGAAGCCACGGGCGAGTCCGAGGCAAAAGTGCAGCGGCGTTTGCAGGCCTGTCGACACAATGCGGCTGATGCTCTGGCCGGCTTGCATGGCCGTGTCAAGTGTGACGGTCGCCGACGGCGTGTCCACTTTCACAGTGGTGGCCCCACCGTCAGTCCCTGCCCCCTTGTCTCCGCCATCATCGTTTGCCTTCTTCGCCTTGCGGAACAGTTCCTGCGGGAAATCGGCCACGGCCATGGCAATGCTGCTCAGATCACCCAGGATGGCTGATCCGGCACCTGTAATGGGCTCCCACGGCTGGTCGCCCGTATGAATATGGTACTCTTGTGCGCGGAACAGCGCTAGATCCGAGTACGCCAGCTTGTTTTCGTGAACAAGAATGGCTGCCGCCAAGGCGCTCAGGCGCACGGTTGTCGTTTTCGTCTTGTTTCGGTACTGCCACACAGCCAAGCGGTCGGGTAGAATCTGGCAATGGATCCGGGGTCTGCTTAGGTGCTTGTGGAACGACTGGGCGCCAATCACGGCTCCGCCGCCGTCCTTGTCGTCACGGATCTTGTCGCCCAGTGCAGCCGCCTTCGTCTTGGTCGTCGGGCGCAATGCCAGTTCAATGGCCGCAGCCAGCCGTTCGGCTGTCAGCCGTGAGAAGGGTACAGGGTCCGGTCCTGCGCCAGCTTGAGCCACCAGCGAGCCCCAGAACGGCTGGTCGCCAAAGAAGGGAACAACGACGGATGGCACACCGAACCGTAGGCCGGCAGCCGTTGTTCCGGCGCCACCATGATGCACCACACAGGCCATTCGTGGGAACAGCCACTCGTGTGGACAGTCACTCTCCAAGAAAAAAATGTCTTTCGACTTGCCTTTGTATGCATCGCCTTCCCCCAGACCACCCCAGCCCTTGGACACAATGGCCCGCGCGCCTTTGAGTCGGCCAACGGCATCGACAACTGTCTTTGTCAGACCGACCGGGTCGTCCACCACAATCGAGCCGAAGCCAATGTAAATGGGCGGTTTACCAGCAGCTAGGAATGCAGCAAGCTCAGGCTGGGGCGTATATCCTCCGCCAGATGTGGCAGCTGAAAAGAAGTAGCCGGCCACTGTAATCTCTGCACCCCAGTCTGGTGGCTTCGGCAGCAGAGACGGTGACCAGCAGTAGGTCGTTGGTACGTGTAGCCGGCCCATCAGGCCGCCCTGGTGAAATGGCGCAACTGCCAGGAGCGGCGACAAAGGTTCGAGGCCGAGATTTCGTGAGCGGAAGCGGTTTATAATGTCGCCAAGGCCTTGCCACGTCAGGCATTCGACAATCGTATAGGAGAGAAACGAGGCAAATCCGTACACAGACGAGGAGACATCTGTGGACGGGAAAGACGATGCGGACGAAATGCACTTGAGGTTGGCCAGTGGGTGTGGAAACGATCGTGTTGGTGTCCATGGCATGGTGAACATGATGTGCAGCGGCACACCGAGACTCTCGGCAATATGGATGTGCGCAAAACTGGGCGGGTTGGCGATGATGGCGTCAGCCACAAACGGCACATCTTTAGCGCCGTGTTCGCTACCACCGTTGTTGTTAACCTTGCCATCGCTGGCATTGCCCTGGTCGTCGGCCATCGATCGCCAACAGCCGTGCAACACGGCCTCAATAAATCGACGGCGCCCAGCGATCTCGCCGTTGGTGTACGACTCCATCGGAGGGATGAGTCCACCGCCGCCGCCGTCTTTGTCGTCGTCACCGTTGTCGCCGTCGTCGCCGTGGTTTTGACCTCCGCCTCCATCATCGTTGTCTTTCTGTCCCGTCTTTCCGTTCTGCACCATAAACGACATCAGTTCGGCCGGGTCGCCGCCGCCAATGTCAAAGAACTCGAGTCGGCCACTGTCGCCGTCTCCATCCCTTTCGGGAGCCTCGACAAACTCCTTGAAGACCGAGTGCGTCACTAGACGTACACGGTGGCCATAGGTACGCCGCAGGACGTGGCCGAGAGCGACAAACGGCTGGACATCACCACGTGAGCCGACGACTTGGATGACGATGTTGAGTCGCGCTAGTTTCGGATCACTTGTGCCGCCTGCATCGGCTGGCGAGGACGAGGACGAGGCTGGCAGGGGCTTGGATACCAACAAGGCAGCGAGCTTGCCAGGGTCGGTTTCGTCGATAGCAATGTCGACTCGGCCATCATCTGCATATACGTTAGTAACCGTTGTCGCCCACGAATCCAGTCTGCAAAAACAGTGAGGAGCAAGTACCCGTGACGGTGGCATCGGCCTCGAAGCCCGAGTGCGACGACAGCTTCAGGTGCTGGACAGACATGATGGTGATAGGGGATATGCGCCGCCTTTTCGTTCAGCCTTTCAATGTGCTTGACCTGTCGTCTATATGTAGGCGATGTCTAGATGCACACCTTGGTTCAGGTAAATAACAATAAGTCGTCCTGTGCACAACAATGTAATAAGAATGCTGTCAGTCAGTTTGCCGGGTGCTGAACGACGTCAGAGCTGGTCTTATACCAATGCCCTCGCATAAAGGCCGCCTGCATGTTTGGGTCGTCATATTTGTCGTCGTCATTGCTTTTTTTTTCTTGGCAGACAACAGAGAGGCAAAACAAATGAGACGAATGGGAGGACATTTGAACGATGTGTGTCAAAACCGATGACGAATGTGGTGAGGTGGGCTTTGGCTATTTGGGCGGTCTGGAGTGGGCAAAGATCGGCACACAAGCAAGGGAACGGGCCTAGCCTGGGGCCAAAACCGGAGAAGACGTTAGGCCTCTGGGGCAGATGGAGGCATTGCATCGACATTTTGGTTCGAAAGGTAACGCTCAGAGGCCATGGATCGCCGATTCTGTCGCCACCATTTAACAACGAGGGGAATGACTTGGTGTGGCTGGAGGCCTACTTGACGCGAAAAGAGAAGGAGCAAATGCTCCAAGGTACGCAACGGAAGGTGCACGTGCCCTGCATGCATTTTGCAGGCAAGTGCGAGTAAGAGGAGTAATTCCAATGACAAATTTGGTAGCCGCATGGCAATCGTCGCGTTGCAAACATGGGAGTTTTTGCACGGAAAACTCCCTCAACGAAAGCTGCGTTTTTATTTCCTTTGACGATCCAACCATGAGTGTTTTCTATGTGAATGCCACCTTTCAAACTTTCATGAGCCACCTGTGAGAGGCACAGCAAAACGAGGACAGGTCCCATTTCCATTATCAACGTACATAAACGAAGCAGCATAAAAGACAATATAATGACAGGTACAGTGAATAAAATATAGGTTTTCAAATAGGACCATCTCCAGCGCTCTCTCCCACTCGCTCAGCCTTTCTCATGCAAAAGGCCATTTCCATCGTTCTTTTGTTCCTTTCGTGCCACGAGTTGCCGGCCAAAGAGGTATAGTGCAGGGCGCATGCCAAAGAACAAAAAGACAGTTGGAAATCAGAGCATTCCGCTGCAGGGATATGTTGCTCCAACAAATTTCCAATATTCTCTCTAGTCGACGAGGTAGCCGAGCTGCAGGTGTTCTCTCCACTTGGGTCGGGCTGGTAGCAGTATACTACATGTGCAAATGCGATTGACGAAGAAGATATGTTGTAGTAGTTTAAAAGTAGTTGTGGGGGTAGGGTGTATAAAGGTTTTGGGGGGGCTTTCGTATCATTTCTCGGCTGGCTGGGGTCGCGTGCTGCTTTCCTCTATCGGTTGTTGGGTTGTCGACATCGCGCTTAGCTGGAGAACCGCCGCGTGATCTTCGCAATGACTGAGAGGTGCGTTAGAGGGCTACTGTAAGAAGCAGGTATGGAAAAACAGGGGGCTGGCTTACTGTGTAGGGCCACCACAGAGAAGATGAAGACAAGCGACAGCACCAGCACAACGACGGGATCGACCTTGAGACCGGGCGACTCGTCCGTGTACAGCCGCAGCATCGTGCTGCTGCTGCCACCGGCACCGGCCGCCCGCGTGCTGGTGGGCCGGGAGTTAGCAACCTTCTCCTTCTGGTCGGCCGCGGCGCGGCGGCGGATCTGCGTGCGCGCACCGCCCGGCGGCGGCGGCGGCGAGGACGATGAGGCGCGGTTGATGCTAGCACCGGAGGCGGCGCCTGCCGGGGTGGGAGACGCAGCACGAGGGGAGGACTAGAGACGGATTAGATTATGGGCGCACGAGCAATTGGATGGAGGAGGAACAACGACGCGCGCGACATACCATGATGATGGATGGACGAAAGAAAAAAAGGGGAAAGAAGCGAGTCGAAAGAATCGAAAGATGAAAATCAATTACAAAAGGAGAGTGTCAAAGGAGAGAAAAGAAGAGTCCGAAAAATAGAAGAAGAACAGAAAACAAAAAAGAGACGACTGAATGAGAAGGGGTGGTTGAATTGCTGATCTCGAAATCGCAAGAAGTGGTAAAAGGGGAAGAGGAAGAAAGAGACGAGAAGTTCGCGTCGGTTTGCGGTTTGCTGTCTGGCGAATTGAGGCCACGACTACCACACCTGCCAGGGGTTGGCAGAGGACGGAGCGAAATAAAGCTTCCTTCCCAGCCTGTCTTGGCCCCTGTGCTCCCCAGAAAGAGTGTCCCGTACCCGCTAGGAGGCTGTTTCCAGAACGCCAGTCGCTCAGAAGCGGCCCAACCTTCAACCAATTGCGCTGGTAGTTGCTGGCAATTAATTGGCGCATGAATGTTTGTCCGGGTCCCGGATTGGGCTAGAATGACCGACAAGCAGCTAAAGGAATACCTAATTACATCCTGAAGCTACCGCGCATTACCAGAGGCTATAGAAACAGTAATTTACTATGGCTCTTTGATGGCCGAGCTCAACACGACGCGACAACATAGTCTCAATAGGCCATTGACGGCATCTGGCAGACGCTTTGAGCATAAATTTTGTGATAAGTTCCTATCCATAACCGAGTTGAGATTCGGAACAAGACGATACACGACCGCTAAAACCAGCCCCCGAAGCATTTGCACCATCTTTTTGTCACTATCGACGATTTCAAAGATGGTTGGTCTGCTTTACATACGGGCATCACAATGTTCAATAGGATTGTGTCCAAAGCAAGCCGCAGACAGAAGACGTGCAGGGCGCAGCAGTTGCAATGTTGGGAATGAAAAGAGGCCAAGAAAATGAGCAGGCTTTGTTTATAGAAAAAAAGAGGACTAAGATGAGTAGATAAGAGATGAAGGAAATCAAAACACATCAGAAAGAAAGCGACAAACAGCACACCAAGAAAGCAGACTAGTTGCATGCAAGGCTCCAGACCCAGAACGAACAAGGAGACAACAAAAGGAAGCAAAAGAACTGTAAACAAGGGAAGAAAAAAGGAGAAAAAAATGTAGTTTGAACGCCGTTCGCTATAGTATTAAGAACTTTGTCGACAACGACCAATAATGGCAATGAGACGAAGAAGAACACTAATATAAAATAAGCCGGCATCAGGTAAAACACGCATTCAGAGGCGCGTCAGTTTCTCTTCGCTATGTTCGTCCTCATTTCTTTCCCCACAAAGTTCCCGTCTCTTCTAGAGATGGTAAGGTGGGAAGCGGCACACCGGAAGGAAGATGTCGGGTATGTATGATTGACTTGTGCTTGCGGTGCTCGTATGTTCGTGTGATCTGGATTGTTTGTTCCTTTTTCGTATGTCAAAGCGGTTTTGTAGTTTCTATAGATGCGAAAATTTCAACCGCCGGGTCGCTCAACGACGCTCTCGCCAAAGCAAAACCAAAAAAGTACGTTGGGATAAACGAAGCGATATGTATAGAGGAGAGCGCGCAATGGTATCCGGAAGAGTGAGAAAGAAGAAATTGCGTGGTGAGGTGAACAAAGGAAAAGAATATGTCAAATTGGCCATGGCGGTTCGTATTCGTTTCAAAGAGTGACATCGAGGACAAGGCTGACGTCCTGGACGGTTGGGCCAGCCAGGTCCTCGAGAACGGGAATAAGGTCGAGCAGCTCGTTGTCGTGGGCGTCCGAGAACCAGCTGCTAATCGGAACAGCGTGTTGCGGGTGGAAGATGTAGGATGTGGGCGAGTTGTCAATAATGATGGTGTCCTTGAGGTCGCGACCAATCATAGACAGATCCTTGACATAGTTGCCCTGATGGTTGAAGCAGCTCTCACGGAACAGGCGGTGATGCACGACGTTGTGGATGTCCAGCTGGTCGAGCAGAGGGTTGCCGTACTTGGAGACAGAAGCCGTGAACACAACCACCTCGTACAGCTCGCCGACACGCTTCATAAACTGGTCGACACCCGGCCGCTTAATCACGTAGATATTGTGATAGTTGCCCTCAATCTCCACGGGTATCGTGAAGTCGGCCTGGTGAAGGATCTAGGAGAATGTCAGCTACATGTTTGGCGATGCTTAGGCTTCGCATTACGATTGCCCTACGGCTGTGCTTACCTTGAATGAACTGTGCACCAGCGTCTCATCGAGATCCAGAACCAAACATTTCCGTCCCTTGAGGTGCGGCTCAATAGGTGGCAGAAGAGCCTTCTGGCGGTGCTGCTCAATCAGTTCGGCAATGTTTGCGTTGTGGTTATCAACCTGCGGCAGAGCGCCCGTCGGCGCCGGGCCAGGAGGAGGTGGTGGTACGTTGGGGAGCACTTCGGGCACCTGTGTCAGGACCTGTGCATTCCGAGCGGATGATGTGGCAACACCTGCGTCTTGCATCTCAACATCGTCGTCACTACCGTGCCCCCCTGCCACGTTGCCGTCTTTGTGGGCCGGTGTTCCTGCTGCAACGCTCTCCCCTGCGTTGTGCGTCTCGTCAGCCGTAGCCTGGTGGCTGGGCGGCTCGACGGTGACGATAGGGGCACCTGCTATACTTCCACCGCTGGTGGCACCGGTCAGAGACGCGCGTTTTGAGTCGGAGTCGCCAAGGGTAGATGTGCCTGCAACAGCTGTTGACGCTGCGGCGGATGACGCTTGGTCTTGCACCGTAGTTGCCCCTGAGCTCCGTTTCTCCTTGGACGACGATGCAACTCCTGATGTGGAACCTTGCTGCGCGCCCGAGGGCATGTACTGAGGCTCGGGCTGCCGTGTCTGGAGAAGTGGCTCGTCCGCAAACGCCTCTTGGCGGTGCTCGTCCTTCTCGTTGAGAGCGACGCGGCCTGCAGCGCTGATCTCGTCGTTGGGTGTGGCCGTCCTACGGCTGGCGGTAGCAGGGCGTGGGGGAATGTCCTTTAGTTTGTTGGCAGGAAGGGGTTGGTCGTCGACGTCGAGGGCGTTGGCATCTTCGGGGACGGTGCAGCAGCCGAAGATTGCCAGGAAGCCGCCGCCCCCCTTCTTCCGCTTCTGGTGGGCGTTTGTTGCCACGGCGGGCGAGCTGGGTTGTGAGTTGCCGGGTGTGTTTGTGGGGCCGGTGACGACACCCGAGTGTTTGCTGGATACGCTGCCGTTGCGATGGCGGGCTAGGAAACTGTTCTTCGATTCTCGAGATTGGCGACCGATGCTGTCGCGCGAGTCGCTTGCAGTGGCGCCGCTGAGACCTGTGGATGTCGGGGAGGGCTGGTTTTTCTGTGAGGACGTTCGAGATGGGACGTGGAGGAGCGCGCGGCCCTTTTTCGTGGCTGCAGGTACGTTTGCGTTCGTAGCGCTACTGCCGCTGCCTTCGTCCAGGGCGTACGATGCCTTTTCGTTGGAAACTTCGGCCACGGGCTGGTGCGGCGTCTGCGACAGTGTATCGCGAGACATGGTCTTCTAAAAGAGTGGAAAACAGAGCCCAACAAAGCCGGATAAGTCGGCCAGGTGGGATTGGGAGATAGAAAAAGTGCCTGCGGGGGGGTTGTTCCTTTTCAGGCGTCAGTGGCTAGTTTCGCTGCTTATTTTGTTCGTAGCGGTCGGTTTTCATTCGTAGGCGACATATGCGGTAACGGAATGGGAAAAGAGGAGGCGTGCTGGCTGAAAGAGGGTGGGGGGACAATGGCCATGTGCGCCAGCCTTGTTCAGAGACGCGAAGTGAAAACACAAGGCAATGCGTGTAGCTTTAGTGCGTGTAGCTTTAGAATGAGGCAAAGAGGGAAACGAAGAAAAAAGGATAAACCAGATCAAATAAGAAGCCTGAGGTGGAGATGGCGGACGGTGGGTGGGTTGAGAATTGAAGAAGGCAAGCCTGTCTCCGCACAGTTTCCTGTGCTGGAGATTTTGTAGACGGGCTGCAAGGAGTGAGGAGAGCAGCGTAGTGAAGAGAGATAATAGTGTTATGGGTGAGGTACGAAGCGTGGTTTGAAGCAGGCGAAAGCAGTCGGCGGCAGGCTGCAGGCCGGGAATGATGCAAAGGGGATATGGCTTTGGGATGGGTGAAAAGTATGGAGGGTCGCATGCGACAGCTGTCTCTCGTCGGTGCGTGTCAAACGTGCGAAAGAACCACACGGGGTGTAACACGAGCGGCAGCTACGCCGCAGGCGGGCGAATCTGCACAGGGACAGCAGCAAGTATAGGAGAGGGAGACGAAAGATGCACACAAAAGATGCCAGCGAAAGAGGAAGGCTACCCAGGGCAGCCCGGAAGAGGATGGGGAAAGGCGAAACAGGCGATGGACAAAATGAGAGGATACCGAGAGGCTGAAAATAGACAGATGTGGGCAGGGAGCAAGTGAGGAAAGGGAGCGCGGGAGAGGATAAATAGCGGCTGGCGGACAGTGGAGGATCGAGACGAGGCAAGGGAAGGCGGCGAGAAGGAGACGAGTCAGGATGCGGCAGGCGAAGCAAGCAATCGCACGCGGCGAAAAGGGGGAAAAGGTTAAAGGGAATGGCGAGCAGAATTCAAGGCTGGGCCGCAGCTAGCAAGCTCGACGTTCGCGGCACTGCGATTGCACTCACCCGTGTCTCTCAGTCGGATTGAGTGTGATATATCCCTTTGTCGTGTTGTTGTTCGCTTTGAGGAGAGCCCCTAATGCGCGGTTTGTTTGGGCGGCCCGAGGCAAGGGCAATTCGGGGCGAGATAGCACCGACAGCACACTGCAAATGTGTCGATCGGAGAGAAACCGAGGTTCGATGGTCGAGAACAAGGCGGTGGTCGAGGGAGGCCGAATAAGGAAATACGCAAGGCGAACGATGCTGTGTATGTATGAGGAGTAGATCTGAGGTCCGCAGATATCGATTCGGCGACGTGGTTGATTTGCGGAGAGGGATGGTGAGAGAGTACGAAAAGTAGGAGGTATGGTGAAGAGAATAGGAACGCGACGACGCGGATCTGGCGAAAAGTAAGAAGATAATATCGCTTGGGGGTTGGGTGGATTTTCTTCTTTCCTCGAGTTGAGAGCGCGACGGGAACAGGACTGGGGGGGACCAGAAATTACACCGTAGGAGGAATCACAGTGCAAAGCCGAAAGAAGAAGAGCGAGGAAGAGAGGCTGGCGCTCTGGTTGAGTTTGGGTCTGTGTGCTGAAGAGTGAGCAGCGGATTGGATAGGAATTACTGAGTATGTTGTAGATGCGGCAGCGGTTTGGGGGCGTATTAGTGGAGGCTTTCGTAGGCAGGATAACAGAGAATACAGGTAGTGCCGGCGCCAGGGCGAATAAGAAAACAATGCCAAAGCAATAGGCCGCGGCGGCGCGTTTTCAACAATGGGCGAATAGAATAGAGAAAAAAAGGGGTTGGCTGTGAAGAAAATGTCCGGAAGAAGATGAAGCCAAATGGAAACTTCGAAAGAGGAAAATGTGCGGAGGGGAATGAAATTAAGAAATTGGGCAAGAGGCAACTTGGGCAAGAACGACCCCCAAGGTACGACAACTCCGTCCAGCGTGTCGACAGAGAAACGGCAAGGGCTTTGCTCTGGGGTGGACATAGTTGGTGGCAGGGGAGCGACACAGGGCAGCAGTTTCCCCTTTTGATTTGTGGTGGAGAGTTGTGCTGAAATAAGAAAGAAATGCTGAAGCACAAAGACACCCAGAGCGGGAAAGAACACAACGCCACGCGCGGATCTTGGATAATCTTAGCGGCAGCTTGGGCGCTGTTCGTGGGCGGTGTCGTATTACGCTGTGATTTACAGCGCGCAACCAGTATTGTTCAGCACGGTGTTCACTGGGTCACCCAGTAATACTGTCACATCTAGGCGGTCAAATCACACAGCGCTTGCTTCCTCTTTCTTGGATGGGGAAGAAAGGTCCGAATCCCTGCAACCTTGTGCGAAAGCTCCCCACATATGATTAGCGCGGTACTTGTATGTCCGTACGTTTTCAGTTCGCATTCATGTACCTCATAACAACGCATTTTAAAAAGCGGGTCAAGCAAATAGCGGCCGTGAAACATCGGCCAATGGCGCTCCGCAGTCCTCTCAAAGTGGGGCCGCAGTGAACGGGTACCAGAAAAGCATGAGCCAGGAACCTCTTCCACCGTGCCAGCACGCTCCATATTCCCGCGTTCTGTTCGTCGAGTGTGCATTCCCTGGTTGTGAACGTGCAAGCTCAGAGTGCCAGGTGCGAATTCGGCATTCGAGAAACCTCGTCGTTCTGCGCCAATAGGCCGGCGTGGACCACCTGTAAGTCGGTATCTGTGTGGGGAAGAGGGAGGGCAAAGGAACAGTGAATTGGCACGCAGATTAGCGCTGCGCAGGCGGCAAGCCGCCGTCCATTGTTCCCCTGCAGCAGGTGCCACGCACGCGGAGTGACCAGCCCGCCCGCCCGCCAGGAGCCAAGAGCCAAGAGCGAAAGGGCTGCCTTGACTCGTTCTAGACTCGGGCGCGTGGCTACGAGGCGCTTCCATGCTGGGCGCATAAATGTTCCAGCTTGGTACATGTAGTCACAGTTCACAGCCAGAAAGTCAGAGTGCAAAAAGGCATAGCGCCTGCAATGACTGCAACATGCCTGGGCCAACAGTGGTGTGGCCACGGCCACTCCCCGCAAGTTGTGTGTATGCGTGTTTTCTTTTGACCTCTCGTCAACCAGCTGGCTCCGTACCATCCGCATGAGAGTCGTCGTAGAGCATGGGAGCATGGAATGGGTGGTGAGCCCCAGATCAGCGACTGCAGCTGCGTCCATGCTGTGATCCAACGCAAAAAAGAGGTGAAGTGAGTTGAGGAGAAAGCTCTGTGCTAAAAATAAATCTCCCACGCTTTTCTCGCCTCCTTGCCATCAGACCACGACCGCTTCCGAAGTCTTAGTCTTGAGGACGGAGCGGGGAGAGCATCAGACGCAGGCCTCTGATTGGCCCAGAGCACCTGAGCTTGCCGCCAGCCCAAAAGGTGACAACCGCAATCACAATGATGGGCGGCGGTTGGTGAGGATGCGAGGGAGGTAAAGACGCTCACTAGCCTGCTAGCTTTACTAGAAACACAGACGACACAGAGTTAGCCGACGGCGTACGCGCCCGGCTCCAGCACATTCATGCATGTTCTGCTGCCTGAGTTGACAATCATGACCAGATGCAGGAAGCCGGTTGGAGGTCTACCTTCTACTCATACCTTACCCCTTATTCCAGCGTGTTTATCCCGGTTGATGTGACTCGTCCGCTCGTTCCCCGGTCCATGCCCATCTACGGCATACGCTCTGCTCGCAGCCGCCTGCACCTCCTCGGAACGGGTCCACGGCGGCAAGCCAACGGCCAGACGAGTGGCCGCGATCTCTATCGGACATGGCCATAGCCACGAGCCGGAATAGCGGGTCTTGGTCTGTCCGTAGCTGGTCTTTGCATCGTGCAGCGTCCCTCCGTGCTTTCCGTATGTCTTTTCAACCATGGCTTGGATAGGCATGTTCGTGTGCCACGGGAGGTGCACTCGAGCTTCAACGGTAGCATTGCAGCCATACAGGTTTCACTTCCTAATCACAGGGCTGCGTTTGAGAAGTTGCTGGTTAACGATCATCGCCTTCTAGAGAATCGTTACAGATGCAAATGTCGGCAGCTTGGGGGCATTTTACGCTGTAGAAGCCCTGAAAGTCTTGGTTGATTACTGTGGCTCACCCCTGTGGCGCTGAGTTCTGCCGCCAGTCATATGCGCAGCAATGACGTTGACCTTTTTGGCGTGCGGAATTGGCCTCTTGGTTAACATGCCCGTGCCACTGAAGAAAGAGACCCACAAAACTCCACAGTCCGCGTGCTTTGTCCCAAGCCCCTTCCCCAGAGCCAAAAGTTACCAAAGGCGCAAGAAACAGGAAAGAGCGGCATGCCTCGGAGAGCACTGTCACATGCCTGTTCCGGCCAGAAACGTTCAAGGCGATCTTGGAATGAGAACGCCGCAAACCCCAAAGCCCCAAAGCCCCAAAAAATAGCAAAGAGACGAGGCCATCTCCATCAATCCCATCAACACATACTCTTGTCACTTTCGACAACCAGTTCGTCATCGTCGACGAAACGCCATCACTGCATCCATCGATCCCCATCGGGGCATCCGTCATCAGATCGACTCCGGACTTATCGTGACATCTCGAGGGCGACAATCGATTGAGTTCGTCCCTTTTTTCGACAGTCCCCGGCCGGACTTGATTCGTGCCCCCCCAACTCCAACAGGCGATTGATCGCAATTAATCGCTCGACACCTCCCTCCATCTTTTTACGCAATGGCGGCGCAGTCCACCCTGCGTCGGTCGGCCGCCGAGGTCGCCATCGCCGCCTTCATCGAAAAGTACGGCGGCATGGTGCAGCGACGGCTCAAACGCACCACCCGCACGACACGCCTGCTGGCCGCGCTGGCCCTCGTGGCCTCCATCGTCCTCGGCGGCGAGGGCGGTCGTCGCTGGTGGCGCCGGCGGCGGCTGGAGCGCGAGCAGGGCTCCAAGCTCGTGCGCACCAACTCGTGGCTGCACAACAAAGACGGCTCGCGCACCATCTACGTGCCGTACCGCGACCGCACATCCAAGGTCGTCATCCACACCACCAAGCCGCTGACCTTTGAGGCGCACCGGCGCCTCTTCCTCAACCCGCCGCGCGTGTCGGGGCTAGGCGTGCCCGGTGCGGACGGCCAAGTACCCGGTGCGCAGACCAAGCCAGGTCTCAACCTGGCCTTCTTGCACCAGTTTTTGAGCTTGATGAGCATCATGATCCCGCGCTGGACGAGCAAAGAGGCCGGCCTTCTTGTGAGCCATGCCGGCTTCTTGTTGCTGCGCACGTACCTGTCGCTCGTGGTCGCGCGGCTCGACGGCGAGATTGTGCGCGATCTCGTCGCCGGCAACGGCAAGCAGTTCTTGTTTGGGCTGGTCAAGTGGTGTGGCCTCGGCGGCTTCGCGTCGTACACCAACGCCATGATCAAGTTTCTCGAGTCCAAGGTGTCCATCGCCTTCCGCACGCGCCTGACGCGCTACATTCACGACCTGTACCTCAACGAGAACCTCAACTACTTTAAGCTCTCGAACCTCGACGGCGGCGTCGGCCAGGGCGCCGACCAGTACATCACACAGGACCTGACGCTCTTCTGCGCGTCGGCCGCGGGTCTCTACTCGTCGCTGGGCAAGCCGCTCATCGACCTGTGCATCTTCAACTACCAGCTGTACCGGTCGCTGGGCCCGCTGGCGCTGACGGGGCTCGTCAGCAACTACTTTTTGACGGCCAGCATCCTGCGCCGGCTGTCGCCGCCCTTTGGCAAGCTCAAGGCCATTGAGGGCCGCAAAGAAGGCGACTTCCGCAGCCTGCACGCGCGCCTGATTGCCAACGCCGAGGAGGTGGCCTTTTACGGCGGCGCCGACATGGAGCGCCAAGCGGTCAACCGCGAATTCAAGGACCTCAAGACGTGGATGGAGGGCATCTACATGCTCAAGATCCGCTACAACATGCTCGAGGACTTTATCGTCAAGTACAGCTGGAGCGCCTACGGCTACCTGCTGTCGGCGCTGCCGGTGTTTTTGCCGGCCTGGGGCGGCCTGGGCGGCGCCTCCGAGCTGCTCGAGGGCGTCGTGGGCAGCGGGAGTGGCAGCGCGGGCGAAGGCATGCGCGAGCGGTCGCGCACCAAGGACTTTATCACCAACCGCCGGCTGATGCTGTCGCTGGCCGACGCGGGCGGCCGCATGATGTACTCGATCAAGGACCTGTCGGAGCTCGCCGGCTACACGAGCCGCGTCTACACGCTCATCTCGACGCTGCACCGCGTGCACGCCGACGCGTACTACCCGCGCGGCGGCAACCCCAACAACAGCGAGCTCTACTCGCTGTCCGACGTGCAGGGCACCATGCAGAAGGGCTTTGACGGCGTGCGCCTCGAGAACGTGCCGATCGTGGCGCCGTCGCTGTGGCCCCAGGGCGGCGAGGAGCTCATGGACTCGCTGTCGCTCATTGTGCGGCGCGGCGAGCACCTCCTGATTTCCGGCCCCAACGGCGCGGGCAAGACGTCCATCGGCCGCATCGTGGCCGGCCTGTGGCCCGTCTACCGCGGCCTGGTCAGCCGGCCCAAGACCACGGGCGAGGACGGCATCATGTTTTTGCCGCAGCGGCCCTACCTCAGCATCGGCACGCTGCGCGACCAGGTCATCTACCCGGACGGCGAGGTGGACATGCGCGACAAGCGGAAGAGCGAGTACGATCTCAAGCGCGTGCTCGACGACGCCCACCTGGGCTACCTGCCGGCGCGCGAGGGCGGCTGGGACACCAAGAAGGAGTGGAAGGACGTGCTCAGCGGCGGCGAGAAGCAGCGCATGGCCATTGCGCGCGTCCTCTACCACGAGCCGCAGTACGTGTTCGTCGACGAGGGCACCAGCGCCGTGTCCAGCGACGTCGAGGGCCTGCTGTACGAGGTGTGCAAGGACAAGGGCATCACGCTCATTACCATTTCAACGCGCGCCTCCCTGAAAAAGTACCACACGTTCAACCTGATTCTCGGCATGGGCGAGCGCGGCGACGAGTGGTCCTTTGAGCGCATCGGCACCGAGCGCGAGAAGCAAAACGTGGAGCGGGAGCTGCAGGAGCTGCGCGAGCGCCTGGCCAAGGTGTCCGAGTGGCGGACGCGGCGGGACGAGATTGAGAAGGAGCTCGCGCAGGTGTGGGTGGAGGGCGGCGAGGCCCCGCTGGCGCCGCCGCCGTATACCGAGGTCGCGGCGCTCGAGTCGTCCGAGTCGTCCGAGTCGTCCGAGTCACCCGAGAAGGGGACACCAGAGGTGGCAGAGGAGAAGGAGACAAAGGCAGATGCGCCCGAGGCCGGTGTCGAGGCGTCTGTCGCATCTGTCACGGAGACCACGGAGCCCAGCATTGTGTCTGTCCCTACAGACGATTCCGAGGTGCAGGGGCAAGCGTCTGCATAGATGTGATGCGACGGACCCTTTCCTATCTGTTCCAATTTTGTATAACCACCAATTGCATTGCCATATCTACGGTTTTTGTCTTTCTTATTGTTGGTTTCTTCCTTGGTCTACATATTAGAACTAATATACAACTATAGTCGCCGGTTAACGGTTATTTTATGTGCACGACTTACACAGTAAGTCGAGAAAGCGCTGGGCCGCGGGTGATCTCAAGGACATCGTGTAACGCAGTATATTGTTGTGCCAGTCCATGGGTGTCCGTGTCATTCTTGTATGTGACTTTGTAGCACGAAAGAGTGCACACTATGAAATTGCGTTCCTCAGTATGAAATATGCGCTCACCGTGGCGCCCATAGCACGCATATCTGTCATGAATCTTCAAAGGCTGCGGGAGGCAAAGTTAGATTCATGCGCCGGTCGCGGTTGTCCTCCGTTTGCTTGATCTTGGCCTGCAGCGGACACCGTTATACAGGCGTGCGCGCGGACCGAAGATGGTGGTTCAACTGAACGAGCGTTGCCGCGTGCGTCAGGTCAACCTGCCGGTCGCGGTCCTGGTCCGCAAGGACCTGGCACCGGCCCTCCTCGATATTGTTGGTGCGCGAGTTGCGGCGGGGCGGCGTTGTTTGTGTTGTGCCACGCCCGGTTGCGCCCCGGTGGGCCCGTGATGTATGTCCCGGAGAGCCGGGTATGCGACCACGATGGGCCACGCTTGGGTCTCCCCCCTCAGTTAAACAGCCGGCTCAGTTTATACGGGTTCTTGCCCCGCGGCACCGGTACCGGCACATGCCGGTTCAGCGCCTGCGCCCATACGTAGCAGCACCAGAGCGCCACCAGCACGTCCCGCAGATCGCGCCGCAGCGGCTCCGTCACCACCAGCCGCGACGCCTCGTATAGTTTGGCCACTTCTTTATGCTCCGCGTCCGTCCACGTGCACACGCCCTTTTTGTACCGCGCCCGGAACAGCACGTTGTCCTTGGCCCCGTCGGCCCAGTGGAACTCGTGTTTCTCGATGCGTGCCGGGAGCGCCTCCCAGGCATCGGTGGGCCCCTCGCGCCACCCAAAGACGCCCAGAGGTGCTGTCCGCGACGACAGGCTGTAAATGAACCATTCGGGCGGGCCGGGCTTGAACAGGGACGGCAGGAACTTGTTAATGTGCCCCAGCACATAAAAGCCGCGCTTACGGACGCGCGTCGACCCATCATAGTCCAACCTCTCCAGCTCGACGCGCTTGGTGGCCGGCGTCAGACCCGCCAAGCCCAGACCTGACTCGTACAGAACGACGCCGGGCGCGTTCTCGGCGTAAATAACCTGACCGTCGAGCACGAGCACCGTCGGCGGTAGAATGTCGGCTGGGTCCGCCACAAACGTGTGCGAAATATCGGTCGGAGCAGATGCGCCGCCAGTGCTGTCAGTGCTGTCAGTGCCGTCCGACGGTCCAGTATCGAGCAGCATCGACGTCTGAACACGATACGGCGCGTTGTCCTTCTCGGCCGGGAAAAGGACGGGCGACTTCGGCGTCGAAGCTGACATTCCGGCTGACGGTTTGTAGCCTGGGAGCGCCCCGTTGCCTCCGTTTATTGTCTCCGTTTCGGAGGATGCTCGTACGACCTGCTCGTAGCCCGGTAGCGTCTCCGTTTTCAGATGGGCCTGTTCCATAATGGATGAGAAGAAAAAGTTACAAGGACAAATAGGGACAAATAGGGACAAATCAAATACGGTTGAGAAACGGTGGGAATCAGTTGTGAGAAAAGTATTGCACTGTCGTGCCAGGGATATTGATGGCAGCGGCAGTGATTTAACACAACAAAGACAGAGGTGAGAGTACAAATAAACGACAATATGATACAGAGTCTCCCTGTAAGCAAGAATGGAGGCTGCTTCGCGACCGATAAGTTGAGGGAACAGCAAAGAAGATGCGGGGGCGATGAAAGAAAAGGAAAATGGCAAAAGCACAATGGGGGGCTATATGACACAAATCGAAAAAGACATAGAGTATGAATAAAAAGATGGAACCACACGGGAGCTTTCTGATCCTAAAATGACGCAAAAGGATGTCAAGAGGACTTACGATGCCTCCGTGGCACAAACGGCATAAATAACGAGACCTGTTGCTTGTAACAGGACAGAGTCGTGCCGACAGAGCCGATTAACATCCCGTGTAACCGTAAAAGGAGAATTGGGAGGGCGTAAAGATTTAAGCGAGGAAAGACTAAGCCAAAGGGAGTGACGCTCGCAAGAAGGATGGTGTGGGTAGAGTCTGTTTGTTTGTTTATTGGTTCTGACGGTTTATTCTTTGTATCCTTCATTGTTTTGTCTATAGATGATGATGCCACATATCTCACGATGTTGTCCATCTCTCGTTTGAGAAGTCCACACATCTTTATTCACTCTTTTCAATGACGCATTTACGTTAAGATAAACCAAGTGTTAATCTTTGCTATTTAACTCTTTCCCTCATTATATATAAATTACCACTGGGCTTTCCTTAACGTCCCCGGTCTCGCCTTAGATCACCGGTACGACTTCTGGGTTGCCACGTACATTCACCTCGAGAGCAAGCCAACCAGTGACGAATCTCAGTCCCATGGTTTCGTTTGTAACGATCACTCACTGTGGAGCCACGACAGTGTTCTCCTTTACAACAAAGATGACGCCGTCATGTGCTCCGTCGTTGGTATTTGATATTAAGAAGTCATGTTAAAAGTTTAATCCCAGTTGTTTGTATAATGAGACAATTTTATTGAATTCATTGTGTTGAAGTCGAATTTATGACTTTACTTAAATATGATTTACAAAAAAATTTAAACATAAAAATGAATAAAAAAGCACAAAACGCCAACCGCGCCAACATAAATCGAGAAAACAATAATATCAACAGATAAGTATCTTATTTAAGGCGCGAATAATAAGACGACCAAGGAGAATATATATTAAAATGTGGTGTAATACCCTGTCAAGCCACCTTAACAGCTGCCAACGGAATGGTGAGACGTTTCACAAAAGACATCCTCTGCCATTTTTGCGGGATGCTCTCATAGTTGTGGAGTTTGATAAGACACATCAACCCCGCCGCCCCTTAGTTGTGTTGTGAAAGTCTTGCTTGTTCTCTACCTACTTTTTCAAAGTCCCTTTCATCTCTTTATACTCATTGTCACACAACGCACAGATACGCACCAGAACAAAAAAAAGACCAAAAAAAGACCATTGTCAATCACTTCAAATCTATCATGCTGAACACAAACAGTTCTCACTAGGTAAGATACCAGATCAACGAATTCTTTTCAGAGACCAACATGCTGTTCACGAGACGGGCGAGCAGCAACCCACGGCTACACCCGTCCAGGGCGGCAGTAGCTGCACTGTCGACGAAAGCCGTACGGGAGCAAGACTCGCAAGGTCCACATCGACAGTGTCGAGTTTCTGGCCCGCAATACGGCGGTCGCTGCGCCCAATGATTTGCGATACCTCTTTGGCAGAGACATCGGCTCTTTTGTCCTCCCAATCCCCCCTCCCCCCCACACACGTCAAGTAGACTATCATTTCCGTTTTCCCTTTTAGTATTGGCGCGTTGTGCTGGGCGTTTGCCCATTTCGTGCTGTGGTTGGTGTCTCGCCTGTCATCTGGTCTGCTGGCAGTACCTTCCCCCCCTTGCGTTGCAGTGGAAAGTTAGCGCCGCGACGTCCCCGGCCGGACGCTAACAAACAAGCTCATTTAACTTTTTTGACCTCATTTCCAAAATTGCTCTTGAGAAGAGACTCACAGAGAACAAAACGAGCGCGAATTATCCCAATACGCCCGCCTGGCCCGAAGGATCGCCCTCGACCTCTGTGTTCTCTGTTTGTCTCGTCCCATCCGGGGTTCTCGGTATGTGGCCGATCCAGCAAAACTGCGACTATGGCAGTTCTGGTTCTCGTTTCCGTTTTGGGCCACCAATGCGACTTTGTCCTTTTGGTCGCCTCCGTACTCCGTACAATTTTGGGCTTAACCGTAAGAGCTGCAGAAGCACCGCATGATACGTTTACGATGCACTCACCTACCGTGCGCTGCATATGCAAGCTGTCCCCTCTTTTCACATCGTGGAGTTGGCATGGACACTCGATACACGTATGTCGCACGACGTGCAGTGCGGCTGAGCTGGACAATCTCGATGCATGTAAGATTCTCTCCGCCCTGCTGCTGTCAAAGTGCAAGTGGCCCTGTGCCTCTCTTGTCAGTAGTCTCTTGGCGAGCCGCTCTCGCCTGCATCCGTGCTTGGCGAGAGACTTTACAACAATGAGCGTTCTTTTCGTATTTGTTTCTAATGGTCATATCCATCTCCCATACTTTGAGTCGTTTCTCTCTCCCATAGCGATTCTTTAACTTTGGTTGCCTCCCTGGCAGTCGGCGTGGACCATGAATGCAGTCTGATCTACAGAATACCTCATAAGGTGAAGCAAGGGAAAGGGGGACACGCACCCCGACTGCACATGGCGTTTCTCCCTCTCTCGTTTTCATTTCGAGGTCTCAGGCCCGTCTTGGTTTTGCTCTTTGATATATATCCACCGACGGAGTAATTACATCCCAAAGATGCTGTAAAGGTATCCAGTAAAGAAACTTTGAACGGTCGAAACGAAAGAGCTCATAAATGAACAGAAAGAGCTGTCAAAGGTCCCTTGCCTCGAAGACCCCCCTCTCGTTCGACTCCTCTTCCTTGTCCTTGTCCCCTCGCGATCCGGCACCCTGGTCGTCCAAAAACAGACCGCAAACCACCAGGCCACAAACAGGGCCCGTCCCCTCAGCTCCTCCAAGCACTGACCCTCTGTCCCATCTTTGCCCAAGGCCTGGGCCCGCTCCGTTTCCCTCGTTTTCTCGCCCTCAGTTCTTCTTCTTTTTCTCTCCCTTTGAAACCTTAATTTACCACGTAAAAAGAGGCGAACAAAGAAAGTTTGCCGGCGTTAGAGGGCTGGCAAGTGAGGGTTGACTGGCTTGCGAAAGAGCCTCGTCCTCGTTCAATATCGCCTTTCTTATTATAACAAAAGGCCCTGCCTCTCTTTTACGTTGATTTACGACCTTCAGTTACGTTGTATGTCGTACAACTATCGCCATTCGTTTTACATCTCTGCATTCAACGGCGTAGGGCACAACTCTGCGCCTACCCCGGATACTCTATACGTTCGCTCTTCTGCCCATCATCTTTTCGCTCGCTTCTCGTCATTTTCTCTCTCTGGCAACCGACTTTCGCCTGTCTTGGCCGCTCATTCGCATTCACTTTTACGTTTCTCGCCCTCGACTCGCCCACACGTCGATCCCCATACGAGGCGGCATACGACAAACGACATATAATATTGCAGAAAGAAAGACATAGCAGGAATTACGTCGAGCAAGCCGAGCAAGACAAGACGGACAGGAGGAGCTGTCCGCACTCTTTAGGCCACGCCTCGTCCGTCTTGTTGTCGTCTGTATCGTCAATTACTGTTGCACTTTTAGGCCATCGCCGCTTCTAAGGAACAATCGATAGCTGTAGCGGGCCCGCGACAATTTCCAAAAGACGTGGACATTTCTGGTTTTCAGTTTGGGGGGGTTTCTCTTTTCATTTGTGACACTCTTCCTTGCTTACCAAAGTCAAGGATTTACGACAATACGAGAAATTGCAAGGTCACCATACCACCCTTTAAGGAGCACTACCGCGCGGGGACCGCGGGAAGAATTGGAGACGGAAAACCGAGAGCGACACATTCTCCTTCTCCAGTCCTTTTTCCTTTTCACTTTTTCTGCCTTTTTACGTCGTCCATTTTTGATCTTCTCCTACCCACGGCGTGCGCCCGCCGACAACATCCTCCACAATGGCACCGTCGGGACGGCGCGCCTCCATGAGGAGTGTCCGCACCCTGCCCATTGTGCACGAGGACGATGACATGGTTGTGGTGCCAACGCCCGAGTCAGCCGCCATGTACCCAGTACGGCAAAATCGGCATTCGGGAATTGTCACGGCATTGCCGACATTGCAGGCCAGCGACGGCGGCGAGGGTGCCGAAAGTAGCAGCGGAGGCAGTGCCGGCAGCGGTTCGGATGAGGAGGCAGATTCATCACAAAGTCCCAGCCCCAGCCCCAGCCAGAGCCAAAATTCCAGTCCGAGTCGAAGCGTCAACCGCACTCCGAGAGCATATAGGGCCGGCAGCATTGGCTCCTACCATAGCCAAGGCAGCCTTCGCAGCTACCATTCACAACATTCACAACGGCAACACCCAGCCCTCCCCGGCGGACCTCTTTCACAGGCCTACCACGGCCCCAACTACCCATACGTCAACCCGGCCTGCAGCGAAAGCAGCGAGGAGAGCGGCATCACGGACCGTAAGCTGGAGGAGCAGATGGCCGGGACGGGCGGCGCAGGTGGACGCGGTCTGCCCAAGCGCGCACAAGACCGCCAGTGGTTTTCAAAGCGAGGCGGCTGGTGGCGGCTGATCCTGACGCTGCTGCTGCTGGCCGTGATTGCTGTCGGTCTCGGTGTCGGCCTCAAGTTTGGGCTCCAGCAGGCCAATAACAACAACAGCAGTGGCGGCGATGGCAAGGGTGGCGGGAATGGCGACGGCGACGGCGCGGGCACATCGACATCACCACCGCCCACGCCGGCCACGCCGTCGGACCAGTTCCCTGCCGGGCGCTACTCGTTCACCGTGGCCCTCACCAATGTCTCGACGGCGTGCACGACCAACGGGTTTGCCTTTGGCTGTGCGCCGTCGTCCAACAACGTCTTCTCGGCGTCCGGATCGCCTGCCGCCCAGAACGCCTCGGCCGTCACCTTGGAATGGACCATTGCCGGCACCACCGGCGGCAGCACCAGCAGCGCGTCCGCCATCACCATGTACACCATCTCTTCGTCGTCTTCGTCCTCGTCTTCGTCCTCGTCATCGCCCTCCTTCTCCAGCATCCACATGACCCTCCTCGACACCGGCCTCGCCTCCGAGCGCCTCGTCTTCAACTTTTCCATGGACCTCGCATACGTCCCCACGAGCGATCTCGTGGATCACCAGACCAGCGCCGCCACCTGCTATTTTAACCAGACCACCCTCCAAGCCACGCTCTGGACGCAGCGCCGTGCCACGTTCCCGCCCACCATTGCAAACGTGCCGGCGCCGACCGAGGCCTCGACCTCCGCGTTTGTACCGTGGCCCTTTGCCGTCGAGATTTCCCAAGTCCAACAAGGCGGCCCTGCGATTCCGGACTGCGTCGACTACCACGGCAATTCGCTGGGGGACTTCAGCGTCCCCGACGGTGGCGCGGCGGACGTGTGCGGCTGCTGGTACTCGAACATGGTCGGTGGAGGAAGCAGCAACGGGACGTCGACAAGGTAGTCAAGTTGGCTGGGAACTGTCACTTTGATCAATTATGACTCTGTTCGATACCGCCTTTTTTGTTTGTTTTGGCATATCTGGCGTTCATCTGTTTTTGGCGTTTTCTTGTTTGGCCGAGTCCATGGTCGTTGCTCTTTATGCTTCATATACCCTCCATCGTCATTGGTGTTAGTTTGGTCTGTTGACAAACGCGATAATGTAAATAATATAATACGAATTTAATCATCAAGGTGAACAAGAATTGAGAGAAGAAAGGAGCAAAGACAGTCAACAAGGACTGTGAATCTAAATGGCAACAACGTCCGCCAAGAACAGACGCGACAACTCCGTCTCCAAGTACAACGAGAGCCTTCCGCCTAAAGTGGAAGGCCCGGCCGAACGTCGGTGCCTTTTTGGAGCTCTCCCCGGTTTTATTTTTATTTTTATTTTTATTTTTTTGTTCCCCTCGCTCTTTCCTTGGAGACGGCTTCCCGTGGCGATCGTATTGTGGCCCTCTGTTTGGCGGTCTTTCTTCTTTTGGGTACTCAGTGGATGTCGGATGCGGGATGTTTGGAGTTTTGTGTGGGTTTTCCAAGAAAGAGGGGCAGGCGCGACTAAGAGGATTTATCCACGAACCGCGCTTGGAGAGACAAACGAACTGGCATTGATTTTTCACAGCCTTTCTAGCCTCTAGCCTTTTCATTTGTACATGTACCTGCACAGGACAACTATCTTGCGCTAGAAACGTCGCCCACAAAAGCATCCACAGTAGTTACCATTCAGGCTAAATTCATCGCGCGCGGGAGGGGAAGGGGAAGCCTGGGATGAAGCTTGCTTGGCCTTGTTGTCGGTCCAGACGCTTTTTTGTTCTATGTCATATGTGGGCGTTTGTTCTTCGCATCTTGCGCCTGTATTTGTAAGAGGGGGGCCTATTTATCCCAAATGTGGGCTCTTCAGGAGAGGCAAGTTGGAGATCACGATATCGTGGACATGCTCCGAGTACGGGTCGCGCCTTCCTCTTGCTCCTGCCTCGACGTCTTGTACGCATCGCCCAATCTAGTAATTCTCACGCGCGGGTGAGTTGCCTTCGTCTTTCAGTACCTGTCGAGCTATCTATGCAAGTACAAGGAGTAATTACAGTGACGTCCACGGAGAACATAGAACGGCAGTGCAGAGTGGACAGCGGGACTCAAAATTGACACCAAGTTTTGCCCCAAGGTGAATGACCGAAAAAAGACCCGCCGGACTTCTTTGCGCCGCCGTTCGCCTCCTCACGTCATAGCTCCGGTAGCTCCTTCCCTGTAGAAACGAGAGCAAGTGCGCGCCAACAGGGCCAGATATGGGGCTCTCGCCGGGGTATACGGCACGGACTGCCATTCTTGCGGCCAGCCCAGAATGTGTCTTTTTGGTTTGAAGTGGAAGAAGAAATAGTTTGACAGAACGAAAGCAACGTAGGAGGGCGACAAGTGACGTCTAGCGTGCCGTGAAAGGCCAAGAATCTTGGAGATCAGAAAAAGAAAGAAAGACAGGACAAAAAAGCCTTGGTGGTCGCGGCTCCCTGCCAGCCGGTTTGCCTGCTTGCCGCCCTGCCGTCTTCATCGCCCGTTGTGTTTGGGAAAGGGCATGTGTTGTTCCGCACCTTCCATCACTGGTCTTGACCCCGAGCGAGGAAGTAGTCTCCATCACCCCACCACATGGATGTGGTGTTTGACCAGCACAGCAGGCGCATCCCACGTTGCGCCGTAACAGCTACCCCCCCATTTGTCCCTTCCTTCGGAGCTTCTCGTTTTCTTATATAACTCAAACAGACCATCCCCCCTTTGTCATAAACTTTATTTCCCGATTGTTTTGCTTCTTTTCTTCTTCTTTCTCCCTCTCCTCTCTTCTTTTTTCTTCTCCCTTTCGTCTCTATTCTCTGTTACTCCAACTTTCAACCCCTCATCTAGCAACACATCCCAATCGGGCAATTTTTGAACGTTAGTCCTGCCCTTTCGTGCCCAGATCGTCCTTTGCGCGTCCCCAACAAAACAACCTCAGAGAGACTCGCTCAGTGCATTCTTCAGCCTTTTCTAACACAAGCAGACAACCGCAATCATGTCGAGTCCCACCATCAAGCTCAACAGCGGCCATGAGATGCCCCAGGTCGGCTTCGGCCTGTGGAAGGTCGATAACGCCGTCTGTGCCGACACTGTCTACAACGCCATCAAGGCCGGCTACCGTCTCCTGGACGGCGCTTGCGGTGAGTTTTGCTGTCCTTCGTTCCCGTTCGTGTTGCTCTCTGCTTCCTCTCTTCGCGCTCTTTTGCCCGCTTTGCATTCGCTGTGACCCCGCCAAATGTGCCTTGCGGCACACAACCCCTCCTGTGCCGTGTCTGCAGCCATGTGCAATTTTGTCTTGCGCAATCTTATGCACGCCCTGTGTTGAGACGGGACGGCTGGGAGGCGGGGGGATGGGAGCGAAGGGGGGCGAAGGGGGCCGAAGGGGCGAACGGTCGAAGGGGGGTGCTGCTCACTGACTTTCTGGACGAACATACACTGACTCTACTCCTGTCTCCAGACTACGGCAACGAGGTCGAGTCTGGCCAGGGTGTGGCCCGTGCCATCAAGGAGGGCATCGTCAAGCGTGAGGAGCTTTTCATTGTCTCCAAGCTGTGGAACTCGTTCCACGATGGCGACCGCGTCGAGCCCATCACCCGCCGCCAGCTCAAGGACTGGGGCATCGACTACTTTGACCTGTTCATTGTGCACTTCCCGCTCGCCCTCGAGTGGGTCGACCCCGAGGTCCGCTACCCGCCCGGATGGCACTACGACGACGCCGGCACCGAGATCCGCACCTCCAAGGCCAGCATCCAGGAGACCTGGACGGCCATGGAGTCGCTCGTCGAGAAGGGCCTGACCAAGAGCATCGGCGTGTCCAACTTCCAGGGCCAGCTGCTGTACGACGTGCTGCGCTACGCCAAGATCCCGCCCGCCACGCTGCAGATTGAGCACCACCCGTACCTGGTGCAGCCGCGCCTGCTGCAGCTGGCCAAGCGCGAGGGTGTGGCCGTGACGGCATACTCGTCGTTTGGCCCTGCCTCGTTTGAGGAGTTCAAGATGGCCGACGCCGAGGCGCTGACGCCGCTGTTCGAGGTGCCGCTGATCAAGGAGCTGGCGGCCAAGTACAAGAAGTCCGCGGGCCAGATCCTGCTGCGCTGGGCAACCCAGCGCGGTCTGGCCGTCATCCCCAAGACGCAGACGGCATCGCGGCTGGCCGAGAACCTGGACGTCGTCGCCTGGGACCTGGACGCCAAGGACGTGGACGCCATCTCCGCGCTGGACAAGAACACGCGGTTCAACCAGCCCACAAACTACTTTGAGACGGACAAGCTGATCCTGTTCGCTTAAATGGCCTGTGCTGCTGTTGCATGCGACGTGTCAAAGTCATGATGGGCACTTGCTTCTGTCGTAGGGTTTAGAAGAAAAAACACGTTTTCACGAGAACGAAAAGAAATAAAGATCACTGCAATGATAAACGAGGTGAATCATTTGTGTTTTTGACAACTCGTAGGCCAATAGCCGTATGTGTGTGAATGTGTTACGAAATTGAGTAGACGTGACGAACTGCAATATACCCAATGTCCCAGTCATATAACAAAGTAAGAAAGAGCCCTACAAGAAAAGAAGCGAACGAACAGGACTTCGTGTACATAGTATGGTGTCGGTCATTTCTCTCGGATAAAGGCTAGACTGTATTAGTAGGGGGGCTTGTGGATCAATGCACCTATAACATGACGCAAGGGGAGACATACTAGCATCAATCTGCTGCACCTGCGGCAAGGCCATGCGCACTTTGTTGCGGTACAGCGCCGGCGCGCGCAGCTGCAGCGGGTTGCCTTCGAGGTAGACGGTGTCGAGGTCCTTCTTGTCCCGCAGGCAGCGCTCGACGTCGGCGAAGTCGGCGACGCGGTTGTAGCTGGCCCAGACCTCTTCGAGGGCAGCGAGGTGTTCGATGCCGGAGAAGGAGGTGAGGGCGTTGTTGCTGACATCGAGGACGCGGAGGCGCGGGACGGCTCCGCCCGACGCGGCGCCGCCAGAGGCGTCCGAGTCTGCGGTGGCGGTGGTGTCACCGTTGGCGGCGGCCGCCTCGCCCGCCTCTGCCTCTGTGTCTGACGGCTCGGCCGGCCGTCTCAGGCTTTCGAGTGATTCCAGGGCATTGTGCGAGATGTACAGCTCCTCGAGCGTCGGCACACCGTGCAGCGGACGCAGGTCTCGGATGCGGTTCGACTGCACGCTCAGCAGCCGCAGCTTGGGCAGGTTCCGCAGGCCCTCGAGCGACGTAATCTTGTTCTTGGCCAGCCACAGCTCTTCGAGGGCGACAAACCCGAACCCGGCGAGCGGGGCGATCGAGCGGAGCCGGTTCGAGCCCAGCTCCAGCATGCGCAGCGTCGCCGCGGCCGGGAGGTCCGCGAGCCCGTCGAGCGAGGACACCTTGTTGGCGACCAGGTACAAGTCGACCAGCTTGGTCAAGGGGGCCAGGTGCTTGATGTGCTTGATCTTGTTGAAGCTGAGGTCGAGGCTCGTCAGGTTGGGCAGCTTCTCGACGCCGCGCATGTGCGACACGAGGTTGTCGTACACGTCCAGCTCCTGCAGCGTGTCGGCCACGGGCGCGAGCCCCGACGACAGAGACTGGATGCTATTTTGGCGCAGGCACAGGCGCACCACCTTCTTGAAGCGCTCCAGCCGCAGGGCGTCGATGTCGTGAATGCGGGCGTGCGTGGCCAAGATTTCGTCCGTGTCTGGGTCTTCGTCGTTTAGCAAATCTTCGTCGGCGGCAATTTCCTCGCCAGGCACGACGTTCTCGTCGTCCGAGTACTCGGGATCAGACAGGGCTTCGGGGTTGGCCAGAGCCACATTGTGGTGGCCCGACGGGTCCCCGGTTGCCGTGGCTCCTGTAGTCTCTGTAGTCTCTGCAATCCCTGTAGTCCCCGTGGCCGGCGTGGGCGACGCGTCCTTCTTGGGCATTCGCAGCTTTCCGTCCCAGCCCTTGCTGTTGCGCAGTCCAGGACTGGCAGCGGTCGACGTGACGCTGTCGGCAAGCTGGTCCTCCCCGTCACCCTTGTCACTGCCGGCGGGTGTGACGCCTGGTGCAGCGGTGGTGCCGTCGGGGAGGGTGATGTGTGTCTGGGGTTGGTGAGGTGTTGTCGGCAAGTCATGTCGCGGCGCTGTCTGTGTCGTCTCCGTCGTCTGGTCCTCGGAGACTGCCACGGCCGGCTGTTCGCCGTCTTGGGCCATGGTCGGGGATCAATGACGTTGGGCGCGTATGTGTCGTGCGGTGGCAAGGTCTGGGATCGTGAGTATCAACGTCGGTGCTGCCAGAATGTGGCCAAGTCGAACCAAGTCACCAGCGAGTCGTAGAGACGCCGTAGGTTCGTTTCGTCGTCAGGTCGCCGTCAAATGGAGGCGGCTCGTGTTGTGGTTTAAGACAGTTGATTGCTTTGTAACGTCTGAAAATAGGTGCCGTTTGTCGAGCCGTTATGCAGTGTCACGCTGGGAAGCTTTGTCGCGTCAGGGTGTCTGTTCGTGATTTGGAGTCAAAACAGTGCCAGTTGTGTCTCAGGGTCATTTCGTTCGCCACAAGGTTTGGTAGATGACAAAGAGAGAAAGGTTCTTTAATGGGCTTGAGAAGGAAGAGAGGGGCGAGATTTGCCCTTGTTCAGTACTGTATGTGTAGTTTGGTGGAAGTTGATGGCGGGGCACGAGCTGGCTAAAACGGGCGGTGCAAGGCTACCGCCATCTGCTGTAAGTGCATTTCGAGAGAAAGCTAGGCGATCGGTTTAGAGCATCAGGCCTCAGATAGCGTCACGGGCTCCTTGGACGTGTTCTCGAAGCCGAAAGAAAGAATGAACACGAAACATGTGGCTGCGTGAAGTGGCAGTACAACGTCTTTTTAAATACGGAATATTGCTGCGCGCCTAAAAGGCTGATATTTGCGCTTTCAGTGACAATGCACAACCTGCTTTATATATCTCCAACCGCACCGAAGTACGCAGTTTTGCTGTGTTCGGGCTGTTGTGTCGCCTTGCACTTGGAGCTGATCGACGGTCATCTGCCCCGAAAATATGTTGATATGCTGCAGAAACATTGTAGAAACTTTTGCACCCCAATGAAGCCTCACCTTCTACGCCGTAGCACTCTAGAGAACGAACACTTGCCGGGCAAAACCTGCCGCCAAGCTGGACCACGACTATGTCTTGTCCTGAGCCGCCACAGATGGCCTGAGAGCCCCGTCGAATGAAGGTTATTGGATATGAGAAGAAAGTCCTCCTGTTGGACTTTTGGCTGACGGCCAAGAAGTGATCGGCCCGTGACGGTCCGTTTTGGCTGTGCGGTTGTTTTGTAGTGTTCTTGTTAGTGACGGCGGCCGAGTCCGGCTGGGCTGTCTCCAGAGGCTGCCTAGTTCAGGGCGCCTTGCAAGTGTCAACATTGAAAACGAGGCTGGCATGGCAAACCTCCGGAGCCAACAAAATGAACAAATACCAAAAACCAAAACAAGACCTGCAATGCAAGGCTTTGAACTAGTCGAGACCAGGACAATAAATAATAAACGATCTACTAAACACTAGAACTAATACTGTGTCGTCACGTTCGCATAAGTGTACGTACGACAGAAAGGCGACCAGATGCCTTTTTGACGAGCCAAGCCGCCTCATTTCCAGTTCCCCTCTTTTGCAAGGTGAAATTTCCGTCGGCCACTGTTTGTGTGCCTGGCTGCTTATTGCCTGATCGTGGGACAGGATGTGACTTTTGTTTCTTTAAGATTTTATCACTGTTTTTCTTTTTTCTTTTCTGATCCTTCCCCTGCACATGACCAACTTTGGCGGAAGTGGAACCAGTCATTAAAAGCAAGAGTTATCTTTGAAGGTATTTCCCGTTTCGCTTCTGACTCCGTCTTGGCTCGACCAGGGCACTATTTTTAAAGTGTTTGCAGGGAGGGAGCAACTTGAGATGGTGGGATAAAGAAGAAGCCGAGTGAGACCGGGAGTGTGACTGTGAATCGTCAGTCTTAAGTTTTCACGGGCCGTCTTCGGACATAGTAGTCCAAGTCTTTTTTGTTCAAAAGCACCATGAAACATGCAAAGGACATTGGCACTGCCCTCATTTGATGATACTTTAGAGAAGCCATACCTTTATTTGGTTAAATGCTACTCTCTCGCTTTAACAAGCAGCCTCGTCACCTTGACGACTTTTCCTCGCAGTTTTGCTCCCCGTTTCATTATTGGTCACGACAAGCGGATATATTTTGACGCACGCATGGCACAGGGTTGAAGTAGCAGACCCTTCACCGGCTGGAACCCTAGTCGAAAACAGACGTTCGGAAAAAAAAACATTGAGACCAAGTGCCAAATAAGGCAAGCCAGGCACCCGTACATCTGTTCAGCCATGGTCCATGAGGGTGGATGGATGGGTGGATAAGGTGCTAACGGCAGGCGGGACAACAACGTGCACAAAGGTGTGCGAGACTGTCGTGCAAGTGTGTGACTTTTCTTTGGAAAGCTCAAGATGCAAAACAATATGCACATGAAGCGGGCCGTCTTAATTTCTGCGCAGTGAGCAGCCTCACATATTGGAACGTCTTGTCCGAAGAGTACGCCGTATGTCGTGCTCCGTATTCAAGAACAAATAAATCTAAATGCGTCTCTTGACAACTTTTGATTTTGTTACCCTCCCAATGTCTAAGGTGTCGGGTGTTCCACAGGGATATTGAATACTGGTTCCCTGGTAATTTATTCCATAGCTGTTCACGGGCCAAGTGGCTGCCTTAGATATCTCCAGCTAGTACGACGCACAACGAGGCCCCCTGGATCTCCCAGATGGACAGTTGTTTGAACAAGAAGAGGGGATTTCTCACCCCCAACACCCCCAACAAGAAGTCACGGCTCGGATTGACCTGGAGGACACCCCGTTCCCTCCCTCTCGTATTTATCTATTTTATGTATTTAAACTGGCCCAAGAAATAAAGGCGGATGCAAGCCCGAATGCAGGTTCTCCGGCACTTGATCCGAATGCAGATAGAGCAAAAGACAAGAAAGGGGCTAGGATAACAGTTGGGGATATATTCACGAGATGCGATGACGAGCATGTACCCAGTTCGCAGCAGGCAGCAGTGCACAAATGCACGAGGTACAAGTGTGATAGCAGGCTAGTGTATGCCACTGTGTGCCTTGCCCGATTGTGTGGGTTTCGTAGTGGATGGGTGGATGCACCAGCGGGCTGCAGTGCGACCGCTAGTCCGTTTGAGCTAAAGGCGGAGCGGTACAGCGAATACGCAGGCCCCTGTAATACAAGGATGCGCAGATATTACAGCGCCTGAATATCAATTTAATCCCCTGTAGGCATCACGTGCGGACGTGACAGTTTCGCACTTGACCCAGTTGACTCTTTCTGGCAAGTCGCGCCCGGGAACGCGCCTCGGCCAAGAGCATCGCCATCCATTCTTCCCTCCCTTGTTCCCCCTATTTCTTTTCTTCTTTCGGCTTCTTTTCTGTCCCAAAACTCCCAAAAGTCCCTCACTCCCCTGCGGCCCACCCTTTTACGCGTTTGCTCCTTTCCTTTTTCCTTGGTCAGTTGCTGGCACTGTGTTGGATTTCGCGGATGTCGCCAGTCGGTCCTGCCGCACAGCCCATACAAAAGCACCCTAATCCACCCAAAAAGGCAGCCAGGCAGACAATCGAGCCTCACGCAACTGTTCCCCTCTTTCCCCTTCTCTTTCCTTCCCTTTTGGTTCGCTTCCTTCACAGTCTCGTCCACAACGCACGTTCCTTCCTTCATGCGTGCATTCTTGTGCTCTCTTGCAGGCTTATATAAATATTGGCGAATCCCGCCGCACTCGATTTCTCTTCTTCTCAGATAAATCTCTCTCGTAGTCATTAATGGCCCATCGCCCATCGCCCATCGCCCATCGCCCATCGCCCAACAAAAGATAAGTAATCGCCCAACGACGAATTCCGTGAATGTCAACATACACATCAGTGACAATATTCACATTGCATCTCGACAAATCAACCATTTCCGTTTCTAGAAAACATTATGAACTGAACGCTTATTATTTCCATCATTTATTGTCTGCATCTTTATTGCCTCTCCTACATCTGATTAATTTATTTCTGTTGCTTTTCGTCTCTCCTGCTATTCGCCGCATCCATTTGTTTCCTTTTCCCTCCTTTTCCCTCCTTTTTCCTCTTCTGTGTTTTCTTCGTTCCCCCATCGTCCCACAGTTCCGCCATCATGTTCTCGCGGTCACAGAACAAGAGCTTCTCCAAGAGCCAAAACATAGGCAAGCCGGGAAGCACGTCGTTCAGCAAAGATGCCGGCGTTTCCAAACACCGCCGTCATGACTCCTCCCGTCCCGGCCGCCGGCCGCCTACTATCGGGTCTGCCGCTGCCGTTGCCGCTTTTGCTGAGGGAAGCAATCATCATCGCAGCCAGACCTCTCCAACGTCCATGACATCGGCCATTGTCACGCTCGTTGTCGGCCGAGAACAGCGCATCTTTGCTGCTCACGAGGATATTCTCTGTGCCTCGCCCTACTTCCAACAAGCCCTGCACAACCAGCCGCTCTTCTACGAGCAGAACTCGCCGTTCTCGTCGCCGACCACCCCTTCTTCCCCCGCCTCACCCCCCACAGCCAGCAAGCGCATCGCTCTGCCCGAGGATGAGCCCGAAATATTTTCGTCTGTCCTCGAGTATCTCTACAAGGGAGACTACTATCCGCGCTTGCTGCACAACAAGCGACGCAACTCATGGGAGCTGGAGCGGCCGGACACGGCGTCCGCCGACCAAGGCGTGGAGGCCACCATATTTCACCACGCCGTCGACGGCGACCTGCTCAAAGACACAGTCATGTACTGTACAGCCGAGCGGTTCGGCCTCGACGAGCTCAAGCGCATCGCTCTGCGCAAACAGGGCCTGCAGAGCGGCATCCCTTGCAGCACGATCCTGGCATCGGCGCGCTTTGCCTACGCCCACACGCCCGAGACGGACTCCAAGCTGCGTGCCCACTACCTGGCACTCATTATCCGCAGCCGCGGCACTTTCAAACGGAGCGGCACCATGCAGCTGGAGATGTACAATGGTGGCTCGCAGCTCTTCTTTGACCTGTTTGTGGCGCTCTGCAACCACGTCGACGACATATCGTCGGCCCAGAGTCCGCGCAGCAACCGTTACTAGTGTGGAAAGAGTTGTGTTATTTCCTTCTTCCTTGACCTGCTTGTCTCTCCGTCTCTTCTCTGTCTCCTGCCTATCTCCTGCCTGTCCGTTTGCGTCACAGAAAACATGACCAAAAAAAATACCCTTCTGTGTTTTTGGAAACTTAATCTTGCCGAAGAATAGGGAAGCGCTTTTCTTTATTTTCTCTTTTGTTGACATCGTCTCTTCCTCACCTTGTATTCGTACTGTCATTATTTTACGATAAAGATCTACTGGATGTTCGGGGTTTGTTTTCGTCTTTTATCTTTCATCATGGTCTTCCTTTTCCAGCTTTCTATTTTTTACCTCCTTTGGTTACTCGAACTCTTCTCTCTTGGACGCTTGGGAAGTTACAGAAGACTATTTTACGGCAAAAATGCCAATATTGGTCACTTTGATTTGGTTTTTTATTTGATTTTGGATATTGTTTGTTTTTTGTTTGCAATACGGTTCTTTTTTGTCTTGCTCCAGCCACAGACGGATAGCTACAGCCTCGGGAAGGCCAATCGTGCCATCTTCGTTTTGATATCACTATCTTTACATTCTATTCTTATCAAGGGGCCGTAACGAGGCACCCAGTTATGTCCCAGTCTACAAAACAAAAGAAATACTGCATCTTGGGCAATCACACGTTTCCGTCATTAACGCCAACTATCTGCGTACGTGCCCTCGTCAAAATCAAACCATACCATTTGTGACACTTGGCTCGCCCCTATACCGTGAATACTGGTGGAAATAGGTGTAACGTCAGTTGAGATCCTGAGTATGAGATGTGGAACTTGACATTCGTCTCCTGAGGCATGACTCGGCTCCGGTAAGGTCTTGCAGACGTAGGGCGGCATCAGCATTTCTGAGGCGGCGCCGAGATGTGACGGTCGTATCTCGTTCTGCGGAGTGTACTGTACTCGTGTAGCTTTTGTCGCCATCGACTGTGTCGTCGTCGGGCGCAAACACGTCTCCACTTCATGTCCCCGTCCCCGCCACCGTCCCGGTCCTCATGGTTAGCATCGCATCCAGCTGTCGCTCGTACGCCTGCACGTCCAGCGGGCCCGTCGACCAGAGGATGAGCGCTTGCACGTCGACACACGCGGGGCCTCTCCCTCTGTCGGAGGCGGTGGTGGTCGGAGCGGTGTGCCCCGTCACATAGCCCATCACGTTCACCCATGCGCCCACCGTCGTCTGCTCCGCCGTCAAGCCCTTCAGCACGAGGTCCACGTTGACGCGGGCACGGACTGCATGAGCCGGCACGTGGGTGCCGCTACCGGTACTGGGCGTCGGTGGCTGGTACGGGTGCTGTAGCGTGAGCACACCTGTGATGGGATCGTAGTCGGTGACGCTGCACAGTCAGTGTCTTTGATCGATGCAGGAATGCCGATGCCGTGCATGGAATGGAACTTACCAACCGAGAAACCGAACTTTCTGGCCAGTGATCTTGGCTGGCAAGCTGGATAGAAAGCAAATCTCAGAAGCCGACGTCGAGGGCATTTCCGTATGTGAAAGTTGTTGGATGTGAGGATGCCTAGTTGGAAGGGACGTTACGATAAATGCATTTTGATGTTGGATGATCACCTCATTTCCGGAGTCAGGTACATTTGTTGCCTAGGTTCTTCCAAAAAAAGAAAAGAAAAAAGATAGAACTCTTACGATTTCATTCTTTTTCGACTTAATTTACCAAAAAAGTATATTCGAAATTTGATAGGAAACTGGGATATTATCACAACACCCTGTATTCGACTGGTTGTCTTCGTCTTTGGTGGTGTTGGCTGTTGTGGTCTCAGTTGTCGTTAGCGTGCTTTGCACGCATTGCGCATCATTAGATGGTAATTAGTAGCTAGAAATCGCGTCACGTGCTCATAGTTTTCTAACAATTGCATGGCGGGGTTGTCCATTCCAGCTACTTTTTGCGCGGCACATGGCAGACCATGTCAGGTGGCGAGATGGTGGGACAGTCGCAGGCACTAACCACCGAGCCACCACCGAGTGAATGTGGCAGCCTGGCCACACAGAAGACAGGCTGCGTTCTATGGGCTTCGGCTGGTGGCTACCTACCACGCTACGTATTTGGGGCCTTGCATCATCATTATCATTGGTGGTTGGAGGTCCCCTCTCTTTCTCCTCCATTTCCCGGCCCAAGGCTTCGTCCGTATCGTTTCTTCTTTTTCTCAACCACACCAACGTCCTCCCTTCCCGACGTCACCACCTGCGACCGGTCACCGAATTACCCTGCGACTCTTCTTCTCTACGTAGACAACGCGACGACAAAGACCGACGACCACGCGACTCCTGCGACACGGCGATAGTTGCCACCCCGCGGCATCTTCCATCTTGCGTATCTGATCTGATCTGTCACCAATCCCGCCCCCGACGCACCTCATCGGTTCTATTTCGGAAAGGGGAAACATCCCAGTGACACTACCGCCGACTTTCGTCTACAGTCTCTCCCTTCCAATCCTAGTGATACTCGACGAAACGACACTTGCCGTCGCCCTCTCGTCTTCTCGAACCTTATCTCTCCATCTAGCCGACAAACGACACCACACCCGCTCCGTGATTTTGCGTAACGCGGCTTCGATATCCTCCTCCTCTCCTTTCCCTCCCGTCCCCTCTCTTACCTTGCCACATTTTCACCATGTCCAACGTTTGGGGCTGGTTCGGCGGGGGCGCCGCGCAGAAAAAGAAGGACACGCCCAAGAATGCCATCCTCGGCCTGCGGGCGCAGCTCGACATGCTGCAAAAGCGGGAGAGCCATCTCCAGTCGCAAATCGACCAGCAGGACGCCCTGGCACGGAAGAATGTGACGTCGAATAAGAATGGTAAGTTCCGCTGCGAAGCTGGCACTGGCAGATGAGGAGGCCCCCGCGATGGATGACGATGCTAACAATCATTCTCTCTCAGCCGCGAAAGCTGCGCTGCGGCGCAAAAAGGCGCACGAGCACAGCCTGGAGCAGACCCAGGCACAGATCGGCACCCTCGAGCAGCAGGTCAACGCCATCGAGTCGGCCAACATCAACCGCGAGACCCTGGCCGCCATGGAGCGCGCGGCCACCGCCATGAAGCAGATCCACGGCGGCTTGACCCCCGAAAAGGTCGACGAGACCATGGAGCGCATCCAGGAGCAGAACCAGCTCAGCGAGGAGATTGTCAATGCCATTACAAGCAACCAGATCGGCGAGGCCGTGGACGATGCCGATCTCGAGGAGGAGCTGGAGCAGCTGCAGCAGGAGCAGCTCGACGAGAAGATGCTCGACACGAGCGTGCCCGTATCCGATGCAGTCCACCGACTGCCGGCCGCCGCCAATGGCGAGAGTATGTTGTCCCCAACTCCCCTGCAAACACGCTTGCCGTGGTCGGACACTAACGGAACAGTCAAATCAACACCAGTGGCGGAGGAAGACGACGAAGAGGCCGAGCTGCGCAAGCTGCAGGCCGAGATGGCCATGTGAGCGCCTTATAACCCGGTGACGGATGCGAGGCGACATACGAGGGCGACGACAAACGACGGAACGGAAACGGAAAGCGAATACCCAACGGGACGCGACAAACAACAGGTAACGACAGGCGGCAACAGAAAGCAGATGGCCAAAGAAAAGGTCGAGAACTAGAACGAGATACAATCACCAACGGACAAGACATGCGAGAACAAATGCGGACCCAAACCAAGGAGCGACAAAAACAGAGAAGCAGTTTTCGCTAAATGGACCCTGTGCTCCGTGGACACAAAACCCTACATCGCATCCTACAACATCCACAGTGCCTACATTCCCGATGTGCATGTAGAACAATGGTACGGGGTGTATGGTTTGGTAGAGTGCGATTCCGGGAGGGGGGAGGGGGGGTTATGTTTGTTTTGCATGGTCCTGCATCCCGTTTTCATGGTCCTGCATCGTTCCTCGATCCTATTATACCCGGCCCTGCAGTCAGCTCCGGAAAGGGAGTTGATGTGAGCACGTCTTCTTTTTGATAAACGGCCCTGTCAGACGCTCATACCGAAGATGTGGCCGGCCCTTCCATGCCTTCGCACGGGTTGACGTGTTCAAAATGACTTGCATCGCATTCTGCTCCGTTACTCTTCGACGCGAATCGACCGTTCCGAGCTTCAATATTTGCTTCTCTGCCGCATTTTACGCTGTCCTTTGGATGCGTGCTGCTTGCTACCCATCTTGCGTTTTTGGCGTTTTCGTTTTCTAGCAAATTGTTCCGTCCTGTCTCCCGCCCTTGTACTGTGTATCGCACTCTCCAAACGCCCTCCTCTGCGCGTACCCACCCACGCTCTCTACTATCTATGTGTTATTTCTACCATTATTTTTATTCTCCTCAACAAAGAGGGTTTGGGCGTTGGCGTCTTTTGTTTTTGCATCTTCCGTTCTTTTCACTTTGTAGGGGCTACTTGTTTTCTGCCTGCGTCTTCCTGCTCTTCTCACATCATCTCCATGTTCCGTCCTGGGATATCTTTGCGAAATTCTCTTTTTTTTTTTCGTCCCGTCTATTGCATGCAGCTCTTCTTGCTAGCAAATCATTCCTACTAGTTCTTCTTTCGTTGCCGCAGCCCCTCGTCCATGTTTTTATCGTAATTTTCTTGCAGAGTATAGAAAGACGAAATTCAAATGTAATGAAAAACATGCGCTCTGCCGCGGATAACCTCAAAAATATGCAATCATAGAATTGGCTGACAGCCACAGCCCGCAGATCTTCCACGGAGATCTGTATCTGGACACTTGTGGCGGTCTGTATGTGGTATAGCTGTAAGGATGAAGCACTATACGAATAGCTCTTGGATCGGAGGCTGGGATGCCATTGCTCTTCTTGCTTTTGCGTATGGGGCCTGCTCACCGCGTTTTTGACTACGTGGCTGGTGATGCTTTTCGGGACGTGCAATTTTGGCTTTGGCTTCGTCTTGTCTTTTGGTCCACGAGAATATCCTTCTCCTTTGAGACAGCAAAATCTCATTTAGTCACCGTTTTTGTTATTGCCTTTCGTTCTCATCTCGTAAGTTTTCACCTCTCGGTCGCGTGCTCCACTGGTTACTGTCTAATACAAAGTCACAACCCCATCTTTTGGCGTCTTTTTCGGCGTCTCACCGCTTGTCCTCGGCCAGTATGCATTTACTCCGAATGTGTTTCTGTTCAGACATGTTGTGAATTTGTTTTACTTTAATCATATAAGTTTTCATACGTATACGCAGTGCGGAGCACGGAGGATTTGTGTATCTTGTACTCTCCTTCTCTCCCATCTCATTTAGATAACTGGGGTGACCGTGAAGTGCTCGCCGCATGCCTGCACGGACTCTCATCCCAACAAAAAGTAAGTGGATGGTTCGTTCCCCTCTCCAAACATCTCCAGAAAGGCAATGTGACTTCTCCGCCAATGGCGCCAAGACCAAGGCCCCAGAATGCGAGTGGATGGTCTCATCTGCGAGCTTCTCTTTTTGGTGTATTTACCTCCCTTTTGGGCATTGGAATGGCTGGTCTGTCTCCATTGGGCTGGCGACAAAAGGTAACTGACAAGAAAGTATTTCGTAGGAGTGGGCGGCGACAAAGACATGCTCTCTTTCGTCGACGTTCCATCGCTGGCTGTGGCTGCAAGCGCAATTCTCATGACCTTGCACTTTGTTCCGATCGGCAAGACGACTTTGTAAGTGTCTGGCTTTCTCTCTCCATTCACACATTGTTTTCTCGTCCGGTACCGCTCTGGTCCTGCAGTGTGACGATGCAAGGCCGCTTTCTGGCCCACTCAGTACGTTGTCCCTACATCGTACTGTCGCCCGTCTACTGAGCAAGCAAGCTCCGAGGGCCGATAGTCCGTTGTCTCATTTTCCCTCTCCTCCTCGTCATGCGTTGTCTTCGCAACTCTCCCACCTGTCATAGCCATTACCATTGTTGCGTGATAGCTGCCGTGGGCCGACATGCGAATCTGCTTCGATGCCCCGTATCGCACATCCCGCGCTTGTAGCACTTTGTGCTGTGCGTGTGCTGTCCAGATATGTCGTAGGCGCCCGTTGGGCTGCATTTTTTTTAAAAAAAATAAATAAATAATGGACAGTGCCGTGGCTCCATTTGGGGGTCATTAATTCTGTCGGCTCTTTGCTCCTCAATATTTGAGGCGGGCCGCCGACAGGCCAGAAACGACGCCACGTATCACAGCACCACACAATGTGATTCCACGCATTTTTTTGCTGCATGCTGCACACTGCGCACTCCACGCAAGCAAAAGGAGCATCCCGCTTGCGCACCATGCATACTCCTCGGCTCGGCAAGCGTGGGATAGTCGCTCGTTTTCGTTCTTCCAAATCGGTGATTGCATCCGAATGGCCACTCTTGTCTGCTGTCTTTTCCCTTGAGTTCGAGATGGCTGATTGTTTTCATCTTCTTGTTTCTCATCTCTGCCTCGCCACGTCCCATTTTCTCTCTTCGCCTCGTTTCTTTCCCCACAACCTCGATAACCTCGCAGCAAAATCCCCACTCGTCTTCCCGTCCTTCGTCCCACACCAACCGCATCAATGCCAGCAAACCCAGTCGCCCGTCACCGTTTTTTTTTGTCTGCCCAACTACGTACTGTTCGTGGCTGTTGTCCCGCCTCATCTTTTCTGTTTATTAGGCATACGGCTGTCAACGAGTGAAGTACATTGGGGAGGGATATTGTCTAGGACAGCGCAATGCTTAAACCAATGACTGATAGGTTGTTGCTGTCTGTTGTTGGAAGGAGACTATGAAAGTGATGAGTGAGGAAGGAACACGCTGCCACGGGCAAGTACGTCGTACAGCCGTGTGCCTCCTTCCGTTTTGACGCAGTACATATGGGAAGCTACCCAGTTTCCTTAGGCTCTATTTTGCTTAGTGATACTGTATGCTGTGCCAGGCTGCTCTTGCCTTAAGCAAAAACTACTGTTTATGTAAACAAACACAGCGTCATGTCGCACGTTTTCCCACCGTCACCCCTTGCGCTCCTTGACAATATCGTTCGTCCCGCCTCGTCAAACCGACTCGACTCGACACGTAGACACGGCAATCGTCAAACTAGGACCTGGCCACACCTCTCCAAGGCTCCTTACAAGATACACCTCGCATTTCCCAATTGCCTGACGATAATCGTTTCGTTCTCTTTGCTTGGTCGGCTATGGAAACTGCCAACAGCAACCTCTTCAAGCCCAGACCCTTCGGACTAGGATCAGGGTGAGTCGTCCCCGGGGAATACTGTCGTCGGAGGACTACATACATGCTAGAACCATGACCGGAAGAGTCCAGGGCTATGTTCCCAGAATCGCAATTGATGCCGAACACCCAGAAAAGCAGAAAGTAAGCATGGGGTATCGTACCAACGGCAACAGCAACGGCGACATATAGCCAAGGATGTCTGGTAGTCGACTCCCAAAGATCTGTTATACGTTGTGATGCCCAAAAGTCGGAAGGCCGGTAGGCCTGAAGGTCCTTGAAATCTACGACAAGCAACATATTCCCACAAGACTTGGGCACCAGCCCCGTGAGCACTCGTTGACTTCGTCCCAGTCGCTCACACATGCATTTGGGTTTCGTTGGCTTGTTTGGGCAATCCCCACACTTTTCCACTTTACCAACACCCCCTGTTGCCGCCTGCAAATCTCCTCCACTTACACAAGACGGTGGCCGATTCGTTTTGCTCAACGTCTCGAGCCTTTTACGGAGCACGAAAACAGAGCACACAAGCACGAGCATCGAGGACAAGGACATCTCACGGAGAGGCCACCCCGTTTTGAGCCATCTGCATTGCATTGGGCAGCCATTGTCCCATTTTTCGTTCCGTATGCTGGCCACTTACCGCGGACAGTCACGCACCTGTTACTCCTTTACTTTTATGCTGGTCATTACTGGTCATTCTCGCCTCTTCGTGTCTTGTCCGCTGGATGCCAAGTTAGTGCAATGTTGGCTGGCCTCACTTGGGCCTTCATCTCGCCTTTGGACCACCTCCTTGTTTCTAGTTTTCTTTTTTGCAGCTATGGGCATTTTCATACTGTTTATTGTCGGTGCAATCCTGCAATTGTATTTCTTCGCTGTTTTTCGTACCCAATTCTGTTCAGTCTGTTGCGACCCGCCAACGAAGCAATTTCGAAAGCTGGACGTGGACACGAGCCAATGGACAGTGTGCACGATGTGCTGTCCGCATACCCACCTCCATACCGAGATCACAAGAGCTTGTAGCTTTTTACTTTTTACGTTTTTTTTTCTCCGCTCGGTGCCTGATTGGAACACCAGCTTCTTATGATAACACCCCGTCTAAGTGCAGAGCCAAATCAACCTGCATGCAAGGACCCGCCCAGGCGACTGCCACAACAGACATTCGTCTTACACACCCTTTTCTTCCCGCAGAGGAATACAACGCATTTGCTGTTAGACGTCGACTGGACGAAATAGTGCACGAGCACCAGCACGAAAACTGACACGGATCTACGCAGTCGACGAGGCTGGAATGGTCACAAAAAAAAGAGAAAAAAATGAAGAAGTAACAGAGAAAAAACTCCAAAGACGGTACCTTGTTGACAGGGGAGGCCCGAGAGCTCCAACGACGTTGGGTCTCTATTGGGACTCCAGCAACCCAGCATGTCCCCATTTTTACCCTGCATGTTTGTCTTTGTTCCTTTCGTCTGGTTCCTAATTTTTGACGACCCTTCTCTGGGGTGTTTTCTCTTTCCTTCTTTTCAATTTCCCTCCCTCTCTAACATCAACAGTTCTACGAAATCTTCATTGTTTGTTTTGTTATCCAGTTTTTCTGTTTCCCTGCCTTTTCATTTGCTTCTTGTGCTTGCAGTGCTTCTTGATTTTTTGTTATTTTCCTTTGCATTTTATCATTGTCCTTTCTTAGCCTCTGCCATTTTGCATCCATATCCCGCAGCATCATCCCACTACAGCACGACAGCACGACCACACGACAAAACGAAGAAACGATCCGACGGACAGACAGACGCACCTTTCACCCGCCATCCCAACCTCTCGGAAGACAAGCCACATAGCTTGATTTGCCATCTCCAAACAATCAACATCGCCAATCTTCATTTGCTACGCCCAGCCGTCCACGAAAGATCGTGGAATCTTGCCTTGCATCTGTTGGCCCCCGTTTCCGCCGCCACTTCCTGTCCCTTCTTAAAATTTATTTGTTAATTTCACTCCCCCCTTTCCGTCTAAACATTACTGCCTTTGCACACGATTCTCGTGTTTAACTGCAGCGAGGTACTTGACAAGCAGGCGCTGAAAGGCCCACTTGACGTTCCTTGCTCCACGAACAAGAATCGAGTCATTGTGTTGAGTTTGAACTATCAAATCACAAATCTGATCTCTCAATTTTGTCCCTTTTCTCCGTTGAGAAGGACGTCTCCGAATAAAACCAAAGGTGTGCCTTCTTCGAGCCACTGAAAAAAGATCTAAAAAAACACGAAAACAAACAAATTCTGAAAAAAGGAGCGAGCTTACTCGAGACCTTCAAACCCTACCCAGCTGCCATGGAGGACATGCAGCGCTCGCTGGGTGACAGTGTCATCGTCAGTGAAGCCCGCATTTTTGACCCGGCCAATGTCCAGGTGGCCAACTATGACCAGCTCGTCGTATCTGATTTTTCCAACATCCAGTACCTCGAGGTCACCGACTCAGAAGCAGAAGACGAGTCGGAGTACAATGACGACGGTGACGATGCAGAGGATCGCGAATACTCCCACACTCCAGCCGTCAACTCTGAAGGCCGCACGGCTCCGACAACTATTCTGACGCCCGCCCAGAAGCGCAAAAAGGAGAAGCGGAAGTCCAGGAAAGCGAAAACCAATGCGGACAACAGCAGTATGTCTACGACCTACGTCTACTTTAACAAGCAAAATTACTAACACACTCACAGATGCAGAGGAGGTAAAGTCACCAGCTACCGCTGGCTCCGAAGAGGATGGCGACGTTGCCACCTCATCTCCAGCTGGCGCCAAGGCCGCTTCGGAGGACTTCTGGAACCCCAAGATCAACGCCAAGAAGAAGAACAAGCGGGCCGCCCAGAAGGCCGCCCAGCGCGGCGCGGTTGCTGCTGCGGCTGTTGCAGCCGATTCGGCGACCGCCAGTAGCAGTGGCACTGCAAGTGGCGTCACATCGTCGGGCGAAACTGACAAGCCGGCCACCGGCAAGAACAACAAGAACGACAAATCCGGCGGCAAGAACAGCAAAAAGGACAAAAATAAAAACAAGAAGAACGGCAAGGGCGCCACAAAAGACGTCAAGGTCGAACCAACAAGTGAGGCCGCCGAGGCGCCCGCCGAAGCCCCCGCCGAAGCAGCTGCTGAAGCACCGGCTGAGGCACCGAAAGATGCTCTCGAGGCAGAGGAGAACGCAGCCCCCGAAGCCACCACTGAAACTGCTGCTGAGCCTGCTGCTGAGCCTGCTGCTGAGCCTGCTGCTGAGCCTGCTGCTGAGCCTGCTGCTGAGCCTGCTGCTGAGCCTGTTGCTGAACCCGCTGCTGATCACACCACGGATGCACCGCCTGCTACGGAAGCACCCAAGTCAGAAGACGTGCCAGTAACTGCACCTGAAACGGAAGTTGCCGAGTCCGAGCTCACACCAGCTGGGGAGGACGTTCCCGCTGCTGCTGCCACCGCTGCTGCTGAAGCTGCACCTGAAGTACCTGAAGCACCTGAAGCCACACCGACCGGTGAGGCTGCTCCTGAGGCTGCTCCTGACTCCACTGCAGACACATCCGTTGAGGCGCCTGCTGAGGCTCTTGGCGAGACACCCGTGGAAGCAATAAAGGTGACTGAGGCCGCCACAGACGACACGCCAAAGGATGAGCAACAAGAGCCGCCATCGCCCACGCCTTCGGGCAAGCGTGTCCACTTTTCGGACGATAGCAAGGAAGGCGATGACGTAGTCAAGGCCAAGGAGGTGACCGAGCCAGCTAATGAGTCTGCTGAGGCTCCGACTGAGACGCCTGTGGAGACCTCTGCAGAAGCCCCTGCCGAGACTCCCGAGGAGGTCGCCTCTGAGACTCCTACCGAGACTCCGGACGAGGTCCCTACCACAGAGCCGAGAGAGCCTACAGAGACTCCAGCTGATTCCGCCGCAAAGGCCACCACGGAAGCCACCACGGAAGCCACCGTCGATTCAGCTCCCGAAATGGAGAAGGCCGACGAAGCTCCCGTAGAGGCACCCACTAAGGTGGCCGAGGCTGCCGACGTTTCCGCCCCTGAGGTAACGGAAGACAAGGAAGTCGGAAATTCTCTCGAAGAGGTTGCTCTTGTCGACGGGACTGCAACCACTGAGGAGGATGTATCCGCTAAAGAGGTAACACCTTCTGAAGCCGTCGAGAAACCAGACGATGATCCTCTTGAAGGTGCTGAGGAGCCCGCAGTGGCACTTGCCGCCACCACTGTTGACGAGGTGACCGAAGCTCCCGATGAATCTACCAAGGAGGTCGAGCCCGAGATCAAGGCTGAGGCACCAGCAGAAGAGCCAGCCTCCAAACCGGCCCCGGAAGTTGAGACCGATGCCACCGTCGTTGAAGCCGCTCCAGTTGAGACTCCTCCCGTTGATGCTGGATCTTCCGACACGTCTGGTAAGGAGGAGGAAAAGGAAGAGATAGCTGATGCACCTGCGGCTGAATCATCAGAAGGGCCAAAGGCTGAGGAAGTTGAGGCGCCCTCAGCCGCACCCGAGCAGGCTCCTGAGGAGACGGCGGTGGTAAAGACCGAAGAGACGGCCGAGGAGAAAACTGAGACCGTTTCTGAGCCGACACTTGAGCCAGCCTCCGAAACAACCGCCAAAGCTACTGATGAACCCACCGCCGAGACACCTGCAGAGGAAAACGTTGATGAAGCAGCTGCTGAACCCGCTGAAAGTCCTGCAGAGGCCGCCGCAGGCGATGCACCAGTTGAGCCGGCTGCCGCTGCTGGGGCCGAAGAAGCTGAAAAGGCCTCCGAAGCCGCCGCACCGGAAGTTCCTTCTACCGAGGAACCTGCCGAGGCTGGCGCTGACGCAACGCCTGCTGGAGAGGAACCGCCCACTGTTTTGGAAGTGGTTCCTGCTGAGGATGCTCCCGCTCCATCGTCTGCGGACAAAGAGATCAAAGATGAGCCTGCTGCCGAAGAGGACAAGCCGGAACCTCCTGCCGAGTCTCCTCCTGTGCCCACCTTGGCTGATGAGCCGGCGGGGCCTGCTGATTCCGCTCCGGAAGCAGAGACAGACGCTGCTGCGCACGTCTCCTCTGAAGAGTCATCGGAAGCCCCCGCTGAACTTCCCGCTGATGTTTCCGCCGATGTTCCCGCTGAGGAACCCGTCGAAGAGTCTGCAAACGCATCTTCTGAGGCACCCGTGGAAAAGGATATCAAATTGGCCGCCGCAGAGTCCGACGAACCTGTCGAATCCGAGTCCAAGCCTGAGGCAGACAAGGTTTCCAAAGATGAAGACGAGGAGAAGGTCGCGGAGGTTGCTGAACCTGATTCACCTTCACCTGCCCCTCAGGCGGAGGTTGAGACCGAGACCGCACCTCCTGCCGAAGACAATGACGCAGACGATAAGTCCGAGGTTCTTCGTCCTCCTGCTGAAGAGCCGGCCAAGCAAGAGGTTGCCAAGGAAGAAGAGACCGCTACCCTCGGCTCGGCCCCTGAAGCAGTCGTGGAGGCTTCGAAAGAAGGTGACTCCACCGCTGCTGAGGACGCCCCTACCTTAGAAGAGTCGCCAGAGGAGCCAGCAAAATCAACAGAGACTGCTGAGACAAATCCAGCTGACGAGCCTGGGAAAGTCGTTGGGGCACCTGTAGAGGCTGACGAGGAAGCATCCGAGCCAACTGCCCAGGAGCCTAGCCCTGAGACGTCTTCAGCAACTCCCAACGAGCCAGTCGTCGAGCCTACCACTGAGACTAATACTGAGACTGCTACTGAGGCTGAGGCTGAGGCTGAGGCTGAGGCTGAGGCTGAGGCTGAGGCTGAGGCTGCTCCCGAGCCCGTCGTCAAGCCTTCTGCTGAGCTTGAACCCGAGGAGCCTTCTACAGACAGCAAAGAAGATGCTGCTGCAGGTGTGGCCGCGGTTGCCGCTGTGGCCACTGCTGCTTCAGTAGCCATTGCCGTGTCGTCCGATGTTAAGGACGAGACTTCTAAGGAAGACGAGAAAACAGCCGCCCCCGGTGCTGAAGCAGAAGAGTCCACTTCACCTGCCGAAGAAATCAAAGAGGTCGAGACTATCGAGGTTCCTGCGGCCGCCATTGAAGAAACTGACGCTCCAGCTGAGGCAGCAGCTCAGCCAGAGACAGATCCCACCAAAGAAGTCGTCGAGGACGATCCAGAAGCAGACGCGAAGGCTGAAGAGTCGGGCCCCGTGAAGACATCCGATGAGGCCACGCCTGAGGAGACAGTATCTGCTCCTAAACCGGAAGCCGCAGCGGAGGCGACTAATGAAGTGGGAGCTACCACTCCCGACGAAGCCCTATCCAAGGCTGCCGAGGAACCTATCGCAGCTGCTGCCCCTCAAGACGAGGCAACTGCCGCAGATGGTATCCCTTCCACGTCTGAGGAGACTCCTGTTGCTGCACCTTCCGAGGAAGAGGCAGTAGACGAGACTCCTAAGGACGAGCTTTCTGTCCCCAAAGAAGCTGCTGCCGAAGAGGCTGTTCCTGAACCTCCTGTTGCCGAGCCTTCCCTTGCCCAACAAACAGCTTCTCCCACCATCGAAGCTGACGTTGACGTTGAGGACGCTGGCACGCCTGAAGTATCCCCCGAGGAGCCGGCCGCAGAGTCTGCTCCACCTGCGGATGCGGAGGACGAGGAGCCTGCGACTGAGAAGGAGGCTGACAAAACACCTGAACCAACGGTCGAGCCCGAAGCTGCTCTCGCTGATGTAGCCAAGGCCGAAGCCGCTCCCGAGGTTGCCGAGGAAAGCGAGACTGTCAAGGAGGTCGCTGAGGAGTTTCCAGCTGAAGAGTTGACGGAGGAAGTTACTCCCGCACCCGACGCTACGGTCGAGGCCAAGGATGCCTCTGTCGCTGATCCTACCGAGACGCTCGCAGAGGAACCAAGTGTGGCTCCTGCTGTAGAGAAGGAGACCGAACGTGTCGAAGAAGACACCAAAGAGCCAGACAACAAGCCGACATCTGAGCCCATTGTCGAGGCACCTTCCGAGGAGCCGACGGCGGAGCCGGCTACTGAACCTGAAGCAGTGGAGGAAGCCAAGGAGGTCGAGGCTGAGGAGACACTAGTGGAGACAGCGGTTGCCGAACCTGCAGAAGAGAGCGAAACCGTTGACGAAGCTCCTCCTGCTGAAGAAACTCCTCCTGTTGAAGAAGCCCCTCCTGTTGAAGAAGCTCCTCCTGCTGAAGAAGCTCCTCCTGTTGAAGAAGCTGCTCCTGCTAAAGACGCTTCTGAGTCTCACGAGAAGGAACCAGCTACGGCGTCCGTTCCCGAGACCGATCCTAAGGTTGATGTTTCTCCTGCTCCTGCTCCTGTTGAGGACACGCCGGCTGCCGAGGACAAGTCTGTCGAATCAACTCCTGAGGATTCGAAGGAGATTGCTGAAGCGGCACCAGCGGAGCCTCTCGTTGAACTTACCGCCGAGCAAGCCGACGAGTCGCCTGCAGTCCCCGTAGAGGCTGTCGAAGAGCCAGCTGAGGCAGCTCCCGAGCCTGTTATTGAAGCCACCCCTGAGACCGCTCTTGAGACTACCCTGGAGCCTTCTCAGGAAGTTTCCGAGGAAGTCGCGCCCGCAACCACGGATGAGTCCGCACCCGCGCCAGCTGTCGAGACTGTCCCTGAGACCGTCCCCGAGGCACATGCCGAAGCCCCGGCTGATGTTCCCGCTGAGGCCACTCGTGAGATTGCCACAGAGGAGCCCGTTGTCGAGGTGGCCCCTGCACCTGCCCCTGCACCTGCTGCTGAGCCGGAAGCTGAAGAAGCAAAAGACACCGTTGCGCCCATCCCCATTGTCGTTCCTCCACCGATCCCCGCCGACACAGACAAGTCAGCCGATGTTGAGAGAAGAAGAAGACGCCGCAGTTCGAAAGGTGAGTTAGACCCCGATTCCCACGATGATACCCCTGAAATTGTGCAAGTGAAAGAGGAGGAGGACGAAAAGAAGGACGTGAAAGAGGAGGAATCAAAATCAACAGCCGATGAGATACAAGAGGAGGCAACGCAAGAGGAGGCACCACAAGAGGAGGCCAAAGAGGATCAGGAGGAAACGCAGCTGAAGGAGGAGGCGATTGATTCTGGCATTGCGCAGCCATCAGAAGTCGACAACACACACAGACAAGAAGAGTTGGAGCCGCAGGTGACGGAAGAGGTACAGGAGGAAGAGATGAAGGAGGCAGATGCACCTGTTGTTGAGGATGAGAAAGGAGTGGAGAAGGACGAGCCGGTGGTGGAAGAGGAGAAGCCTGCCATTCCTGCCGCGACAGAAGAAGTGGAACCACATCATGAACCGTCCACTTCTCAACTGGCAGCCGTCGGCGGCGGCATTGCAGCAGCCGCTGTTGCTTCGATTGCCGCGGCCCACAAGATGTCATCGAACGAGACAACACCTGCCGAAGACAGTTCCTCCAAGGAAGCGACAGTGGTCGAGGCCGACGCCGACGCTGAACCAACTGAACCAACTCCCGCCCAAGCACCAGAGGCCATTGAGGAAGGGAACTCTGCCCCTTCACACGACAGTGTCGACGCCTCTGAGGAGCCCACGGCTGAGCAGGCCCGTCTTCTGATAAGAGATGCCTCCCCAGTGACCGCCCTCAGTGAAGGGGCCGATGTCGATGCCGCCGAACCGATCATTGGCGAGGCCGTTACTACTGAACCTGTCGAAACCGCTGTCACTGAGCCCGCGGACGTTGAGGCTACCTCTGTCAATGCTACCGTCGCTGACTTCGAGACACTTGCCCAAGTCAACAACACTGTGACCTCTGAGGTCGCTGCAGCCGAGGAGCCCGCTGAGATTGAGTCGGCTGAGGCAAAGGTCGAGGCACAGCCAGAAGCCGCCGAAGCCGCCGAAGCCGCCGAAGCCGCCGATGAAGACAACTCTGCCCCCAAAGAAGCGTCTGAGCACGAAAAGCCAGCGGAGATTGCAAAAGAATCAGAAAATAAAGCGGTCGCATCAGAGCCACTTGTCTCTGAGCCAGTTGCCAAAGCACCAGACATCAAGCCGGACGCCGACGAGGGGAACGCTGCTCCTACCGAGTCTACCACTAAGCCGACTACTAAGACATCCACTGTGGTTCCCGCCGAGACAAACGCAGAGATCATCGCCGAGGAGCCTTCGGAAGCCCTCGTTGAAAAATCTCCAACTGAGGCCGTAGATGATGACGAGACCATCCCGGCTGAGACTACAGCGGATGCTGTCGCCGAGGCGCCGGCTGAGATTCCAGACAGTGCTCCTGTTGAAGCCTCCGTCGAAGCTGCCGCTGAGACTCCAATCGAGGCCGCTGTTGAAGTCTCCAGCAACACAGTTGAAGTCCCTCTCGAGCCTGTGGAAAAGACAGAAAAGGTCGCCGAGGAGATAACTTCCGAAGCTCCTGCTGAAGCTGTGGAAGAAGCTCCTGCTGAAGCCGTTGAAGAAGCTCCTGCTGAAGCCGTTGAAGAAGCTCTTGCTGATGCTCCTGTCGATGTCACTACTGAAGTTCCTGCTGAGGCTACGGCTGAGGCTCCCGTCGAGATTCCTGACGAGGTTGTTGCTGAGGCTCCTGTTCGAGTCGCCATCGAGGAGGTCCCAAGTGATGAAGCTCAGGCCGAGACCACAGACAAGACAAAGAAGACGGAAGAGGCAGTCGAAAAATTGACACCGGAGCCTGCCGTCCAACCTATCACTGAGCTTGTCGCCGAGGTACCTGTTGACTCTGTTGCTGAGGCTACAACTGACGTCCATGCCGAGCCCGAGCTGCATGCCGAATCCCGCGAAGTCCCAAATGTCTCCGAAGCAGAGCCTCTCTCGGACGTGCCGACAGCAGAGGTTCAATCTTCTCTGATGGAGACAGTTCCAACCGAGACTCAAGAAGCCTCTCATGCCACCGAGGCTGCCCTCATCCCCAGGCAGGTCGCTGCCACAGTCGAAGCTCCCCTCTCAGAACAAGCTACTATCACGGAACTTCCGTCTTCTCCAGAAGTCCCAGAAGTCGCTGTTGCAGGGGTTGCCATATCTCAAGACGATGTCGAGTCTACTATGGTTGAAGCCCCGAAAGCCGCTCCAGAGCCTGTTACTGCGGGTGCTACGGAAGCTCCTGTTGAGCCCACGCCAGTAGAGACAGAAGCTCCTGCTCTAGAACCGGCAACTGAAGAATTGGCTGAGTCCTCCGTCGTGGAAGACACCCAAGTATCTGAGGAGGTGGCACCCACTGTTGAACCGGCTGTTGGGCCACCTACTGAAGAGGCTCTGCCAGCCGTTGCAGCAGCCGAGACCAAGGACTTCTCTCCCACCGACTCGGCTGAGCCCAAGCTGGTCGAGAAGACGATTGAGGAGACCGTCCCAGTCGAGGCGGAGAGTGTAGAGCCAGGCCCAACTGCCGTCAAGTCCGATTGGCCCGATGATACCGCCGAGATTGCTTCTGCAGAAGTGGTTTCAGTAGAAGCAGTTCCTGCCGAGGCGGTCTCGGTCGAAGAAACTAAAGTCGAGGACGGCACTGTCGCAAAGACTGTCACTGAGGAGTCTTCCGCCAATGTTGTCGAGGAACCTACCGAGGCCGCCGAAAAGGCTCCTGCTGAATCAGTGCCAGTCCAGTCTACTCCTACAGAGGCTCCTGCCGAGCCGTCTTCTGAGGAAGCTCCGTCTAAGTCTGTTACCTCTGATGAATCGCTTATCGAAATCATTGCCGACGACCCAGTCGAGACAGTTCCGGCCGATGCCACTGAGCCGCCAACAACGGTCGTTGAAGATTCCGAGATAACCCCAGCCGAGCCAGCCGTCGAGAGCGAGGTGCTTACCACTACTCACGATGCCCAACCGCCAACAGCAGAGGTGGATGTTCCAGTCGCCGAGGAGCCTGTCGCCGAGGAGACGTTCAAGGAAGTCCACGAGTCTTCAGAGCCACACGAAGAGGCCACCGAGTTAGACACCAAGCCAGCCACAGATCTGATTGTTGAATCCGTGGCCAAGTCCATCACGGGGCCAGCAGTTGAGCCAGCAGTTGAGCCAGCAGTTGAGCCCACCGTTGAACCCAACACTGAGCCCGTTGCAGAGCCCATTCCTGAGCCACAATCGACTTCCACAGAAAACCCCATCACACCCGCGACAAGAGACATTCAGTTGCCGACCAATGAAACGGGTGCCCTCGCCACCGCCCAACCCACAGCATCGACATTTTCAGCAGCGTCGCCCAAGGATGTTCTCCCGCATGTCGCCGCGGCTGCAGTCACCGTGGCCGCCGTGGCCAACATTGTGGCAGTAGAAGGTGATGTCGGCGAAGACGAGGGGGTCAAGGAGGACACAAAAGAAGCCATGGACACCACCGCGCTTGCAACGAAGTCGGATCCAACCACTGCTGACACTGAACCCTCTACAACTAGCTTGGACCGATCCGACGATGATGCACACGAATCTACACATGTTGTGGACACAGCTCTTGCACCTCTGGATGATGACCAAATTCATGGGACGAGCGGTGAAGTTCTTGCTGCGCCGGGTGTTTCTGAAGCTGAAACGGTGATTTCTGAGCAGGTTGTGACAGAAGAGGAGGAAGAGGAGAAAGATGAGAAGGTGGAACAGCATGAGGAGGCAGATGAGCAGGCAGTTCACCAGGAAGTGCAAAAGGTGGCTGACGAGTCTCTCACCACTGAGAAGACACCAGCTGAGCCCGAAACGATCCGCGACATCGTCGAGGAACCAACACAAGAGGCAGTGCCCGAGACAGCACCAAAAACAGCAGTCGACGCTCCTCTTTCGACTCCGGAAATCGAGGCTGAGCCACCCATAGCCGATCCTGTCAAGGACTCTCCCACGCATGAGCCTGAAGATGTGCCTGAGGATACAGCTACTGAGGTCCCAGGTTCTGAGCGAGAAGTATTCGACGCTGCTCCTGTTCCCGAGGCTGCTGACCATCTTGTCGTCAAGCCTGTCGTCGAGCCTCTCGAGACTGTTGTCAAGCCTGCTGTTGAGACCGTCGGTGAGCCTCTCGAGACCGTTACTCAACTAGACGATGAGCCAGTCGCTAAGCCAGTCGCTGAGCCACTGGTTTCAGAGGCTGTTCCTGAAAGCGACGCTACTGTCGAGCCAGTTGTGGAGCATGTCACCGAGCCCGTCATCGGGCCGTCTGCAGAGCCTACAGAGGTTTCTCGAGAGCCTCTTGACGCACCAGAACTTCCAGAGGCTGTTCTTGAATCCGAACCGTCTGCTGAACCTGTCGTTGAGCTTGCTGCAGAGCCTGTCGTCGAACGTGCAGAGACCCCTCCTGAGGCGGTTGCTGAGCCCGAAGTTTCTGAAGCCGTCCCTGAGCCAGAGACTTCTGTCGATCCTGTTGTGGAGTCTTCCGGTGAACGCGTCAAAGGGCTTGTCGTCGGGTCCGAGGATGTCCCTGAGCCCGAATTGGCTGCTGATGAGCATTTTGAAGAATCCGCGGAGACTGTTCGCGACCCAATTCTTGAGCCGGTTTCTGAGTCGATTTCTGAGCCGGGTTCTGAGCCGGGTTCTGAGCCAGTTGTTGAGGCGGTGGAGGCTTCTGATCCGGCAGAGACGGCCGAGCCAGTTCCTGAATTTCCTGTTCAACCTACTACGGAACAGGAGGATGAGACAAATGAGACATCTGAACTCGCCTCGGAGACAGCGGTCGATACCTTGGGAGAACCGACAGAAGTTTCCGCCGAGCCTACTCTCGGGCCTGTTCTCGAACCCGCTGCTGAGCCTCCCGTGAATCCCGTTGATGTGCCGGTCATACACAATGTTGAGGCTACTGCCGAGCCGGTTCCCAAGGCTGATGAGACTGTCGTTGAACCTTCGCTTCAAGTGTCTGCTCCTGAGCCAGCTGTCGAAGCTCCCTCTGATATTGTGACCGATGCCCATGGTGCGGTCACCGAGAAAGGGGTCGACCCGACGCCTGAGCCCGAAACGGTTCTTGACGCCACACCATTCACCTCTCCGACCCGCGACATTGAAGAGCCAGCAGCAGCGGAAGCTGTAGTCGAGGAGAGCACAAAACCTACGACCGAGCCCGTACCAAACGCCACGGAAGACGCTGAGGCAAACAGTGCTGAGCCACAAGATAAGATCGACGCCAACGATGACATAGTCTCTTCCTCTGAGGCCGTACCTGAGGTCACCGCCGAATTGGCTCCGGCAGAAGCATCCGTTGAGACTGCTCTTGAGGCACCTATCGAGGCAACAATCGAGGTTCCTGTCGAAGGTCATGTCGAGACCGCCGTTGAGACCCCTGGTGAGGCCCTAATCGCCGTTGAGAAAGACATTTTAGTACCTGTCGAAGGGCCTACTGAGCCCTCTGAGGATGTCAATTCGCCTGCCGAAGCTGCTGCCGACCTATCAACCGGTGTTCTTGTTCAAGATCGTATGGCTACCTTTGAAGTTCCCGCTGAAGTCCCGGCTGAGACTGCGGCTGAGGACGAGGTGCGACAGGAAGTCCATGACACCCCTCAACAAGAAGCTGAAGAAATGACTATGGGTGATAGTTCTATTGTCGAGGCTGAAGATGTCGAACCAGGTTCAGTCAGCGAGCCGATCAAAGAGCTCAATGCTAATGACGCACCTGCTATCGACGAGCCTACGGAGGAGAGTGCCAGTCAAGAACCCACCGTCTCTAACGAGTCCGACAAGCCAGAAGAAGTCACTGCAACGAGCAGCACTCAAGAGACTTCTGCCCTCCACTCGTCAGAAATCATTGTGCCTCTTCCTACGGAAAACAGTGTCCTGAGCCTTCCTGATGACAATCCTCCGGCCGCCGCGGAAGAGGTAGCTGAAGACACCATGGATGTACCGACTGCTAATGACACCTTTGACGAGGACTACGTCATTGTCGACTCCGCGCCAACCGCCGAGGACCAGCCGAGCAAGCTGCATGACACTGACAAAGAGCCTGCTGATTCATCGGAGGAGAAGACAGCCATTGAGGATCCAACTGCTACGGAATCTTCTACTAGGGAATCTGCTGCCAAAGCCGCTGCTGTCGAGGACTCTATCGAGGAGCCTGATGCCGAAGAGCCTGCTGTTCAAGAGCCTGCTGTTGAGGAGCCTGCTGTTGAGGGGCTTGCTGTTGAAGAGTCTGCTACGGAACAGTCTCCTGTCTTTGAGGAAACAGCCGCTGCAGAGACAAAAGCACCAGTCAAAGAAAAGCCCTCCGCTGCCACCGCCGACCCTGGCCTTCTCGCCGCTGCTGGTATTACGGCTGCCGTTTCTCTTGCCGGTGGTGCTACTGTTCTTGCACAGAGGGCCGACAAAGACGTAGAGAAGGAAGCCGAGCAGCCAACTAGCATCACAGACTCCACACCAGAGCTTGTCGAGGAGGTCCTATCTCAAGAACACACACAGCCTGTCGCGTCCCCGGACGAAGAGCCCATAATCTTGTCGCGTGAGGTGGAGCCACCTGTCGATTCGGCCAAGAGCAATGATGAGGCTACCTCCGCTGCAGATGCTGTTGTTCCCGAGCCAGCTACTGGAGCTCCCGCTCCTGTTGAGATTGCTTCTGCTGAGGCCTTGCTTGTCGGAGAGGATGCTGTCCTCAAAACTGCGCCCGATGTTGATTCAGAAGTTCCAATCGACCCTGCTGAGGTTGCTCATATCGAGACCGCTTCCGTGGACGCATCTCCTGTCGAACCTGAAGCTGGTCCATCAACTCCTCTCACCCCCGACTCCAAGGTGGATGAGGCTCCAGTTGCTCTGAACAGTGACAAAGACAAGAAGGAAGAGGCTTCTATCACCGTCACGGCACTGCCGACATCAGACCTGAGCCACTTCTCCGAAGTCAGTCACGCCGTTGGATTGCAACAGGTCGTGGCCACGGTCGAGATTCTCCCAGAGCAGTTGAGCCCCATTGTTGAGACGCCTCAAGTGGTGTCCAAGGAAGTCACGGCAGAGGTGACGGCAGCCGCCAAGGATGCTCCCGCTCCCATCGCACAAGAAGAGTCGTTTGAGCACATCACTGCCCCTGAGACTGTAATCGAGACTGTACCGGAGTCTCATCCAACAGAAACTCCTGAATCTTCTGCTCCTATCCAGAACCCCGCAGAAGAGGACTCGCATCTCAAGGAGAAGATTGCCGCCGCGGCTGTCGGTGCTGCTGCACTTTTGAGCGGCGCTGGCCTTGTCGGCTACACTCATGCCGAATCCGCCAGCAAATCCAAGGACAGCAGCAGCCACGAGCGTGACGTCGAAGAGCTCGAAAAGCTGGCGGCCCTTGCCCCGTCACCCGTCCCACCCGAAATGCTCTCATCGGGTGAGCTTGTCAATGCCGCCGAACCGGAGGCTGACGTTCGTTCCATTTCATCGGGAATCGGTGCCTCGCAGGTGCTGGACGAGAAAGCACCCCTGACTGAGTCGTTTACCGTCGTGGACCAGCTGCCCAAAAAGGGACCCAAGGTCGAGTTCCTGCCACCCCGTGCATCATTGTCTTCGCTCGCAGTGCGTCCGGGCGTCAGCTCGGAGCTGTTGCGGGCCCCGACGCCGGCGGTGGTCATTCCGGACCTGGAGGATAAGCAAGTCAAGGAGCTTGGACGTGTCCGCAGCATCAAGAAGCGGCAGAAGCAAGTAATTCGCGATACAGAGGACACAGTGGCGGCAGCAGTGGTGATATATGCGACAGCAGAGGTGTTGAGCCGGCCCGGATCGCCGACGTTGAAGTCGTTGGATGTGCCAACAAAAGTGGAGGGGAAACAGGTAGAAGACAATAATGTAGAGCGGGGACAAAAGAGTGTCCGGGATGGCGAAAGCGAGGTTGTGCCTCTTGTTTTGGATTCTGGAGTGGGAGAAAAGGGAGAAGATGGCCAAACGGAGATTGGACGAAAGGATGGAACGGATGGAACGGATGGAAATGGATATACACAGACACACGAGAGAGCATTGCGCGATTCTGTGGCTGACCTCTTTGCAGACGAGAAGCTGACGGAGTCGTCCGCCGACTACAACGCCACCCGGTCGTCCCGGTCGCGCGGCGGCGAACACCACTCGTCGCGGTCCAGCCGCGATGCGAGCAAGGAGGCCACCTCGAGCAGTCGTCATCGGCACCGCAGCCACCATGACACCGGTGGACGTTCTCCCCCGGAGCGCGAACGCTCGCAGCCGACCACACCCCGGCGCCAGGATAGCGGGTTCTCGGTGCAGAGCGGACACAGCGGCGGCAGCGGTGGTCGTGAGAGCAGTGGCCGCGATGGTGCTGGGCACAGCTCGAGCAACTCCTCGCCGCGTAAGTCGTACCGTTCCTCGCGCGACCGCGACGACAAGGATCGCAGCCGTGTCGAACAGGACGCCGAAGACCGGTACCGAGCCGAGCGACGCGCTGCGCGGCATGCCCGAGATGCGCACGAGAAGCTTGCAGCCGCAGCCACAATGCCCGGGGGCAGCAGCAAAGGTAAAGAGGATGATACCGAGAGGCTGCGTGATCGAGAGCGCGACCGGGACCGAGACCGAGACCGAGACCGCTACCGTGAAGGCGATCGCGACCGCGAACGGCGCAGTTCGCGCCGCCACTCCGGCCAGCACAGCAGCTCCCGACCGACGACAGCTGATGTTGGATCTGCCCGTGTTCCGAGTGCCTCTGCAGCACCAAAGTTCTTTGACGTCAAACATGCGGCCAGCACCGTGGAGCCCAACTTTGGCTTGCACGATGGTAACGCCCCTCAAAGCATCGACAACACTGCCAGCACAGCCAGCCCAGACACTGCCCCAGCACCAGCACCAGCACAAGCACCCACCCAAGTCCCGTCCTCACCGTCTGCACCACCTGCTCCACCCATCAGCACTACTTCACGAGACAAGGAGAGACGCGAGTCAAAAGAGTATCGCCGCAGCAGCGACCGGAGAGTGCAGGGAGACAGGGAACGAACTGAAGCACAGACAGAAGCACAGACAAAAGCACCGTCCAGTTCTGACAGACACGACCCTCTTCCCAAGCGCTCAAGTACAACCCGCTCTCGCTATGGCTCAAGCAGACGCTCCGAAGAAGCGGCCGCCGTCGACCCAGCATCGACGACAACGAAGACGGCATCGACAGCGATACCAGCAGTTTCGACCTCGGCCTCGTCGCCGTCCCGGATGCGCCCCCAAAAGCAGCACTCGCAGCATGAGCCGTCCTCGTCGTCCCGCGACAAGGACAACGGCAAGCACTACAGCCACGGTCACAGTCACGGTCACGGTCACGGCCATCGTCATCGTCGCCAGAGCGCTGACGTCGGTCGCAGCTCCTACTCGAAGGAGACACCACGAACAGTGCCTCCCTTGGACCGGGAGGCGACCGAGTCCAAGGATCAACCAGTAGCCCCGGATGTTACGGCAGCAGAGGCGACAGCATCGTCGTCGTCCAACCGGCCCGGTGCGCACGGTGCGGCGGCCGCCGTGGTGGACGGGAAGCACCGCCAAGATCGGCAGGAAAAGCGAGACAAGGCCAAGTCGGGCGAGGATAAGAGACGTAGTCTGCGGGCCATGTTCAAAAAGTTTCTTTCCACGAAGGACTAGGAGGGAAGATGGTTAGAATGTGAGGCGCGTTGTGTTGTATTGTTGTCGATTCTCTATTTGCTCATGATTTTTCTTGCGCATTGGTTTTGTCATAGACGTCTCTGCATCTATGCGTTTGTGCGTCTTATGTTTGGATATGGCTCTGTTTTTCTGTTCCTTTTGTTAGCCAGTTTGCTTCTTTATCGCAAGTTTGCCCACGAACCATGTATGATAACGAATATCACGACGAGTTAAATTTCAATTTCCACAGTTGATTGCCCAAAATGCTATGCCCTCGTGATGTTATGCGCGCCAACATCTCGTCGTCTAGAGCTTCGCCGCCTGTTGCACGTTCGGTCCGCTGGGTCCTTTCGGTCCATAAACAATAGCCGTGTCAATCGCCAATCGCTGCTCAATAGGATCCGATTCTGCCACCTTAGCCGCATCCGAATCTCTGCCCAAGAAACCCTTCCTCAATAAGTACCGCTGGCTCATCGCCGCAGCCGCTGTTGATCCGTCGCTGTGTGCGTCGGCCGATAGTAAGCCCGCAATCAGAACCTCGGCGGCGCTGAACAAAATCGACCGCGCGTCCGCCAGCAAGATGTCGGCCGAGGTCGTCTCAATACGCGTACGCAGGGCCGCCCACGCCGGGAGCAAGAGCGACGAGGCGACCGTGTCGCCCACCACAGACGTCTTGACCAGCCACTCCAGCGCATCCAGGCTGGCCCTGCCGGACTTGCGGTGCGTCAGCGTCCGCACCAAGTCCGTACTTAGCACATCCGTTGTGCCTTCCCAGATGGCGTTGACGGTGCCGTCGCGGAACAGCCGTGCCATGTTGAGCGCCTCCGACTCCGTATTCATGAGGTAGCCGACGCCACCCAGGGCCTCCATGCACACGGAATGCAGCAGCGGCACCGACTGCTTGCAGACGTACGCCTTGTGCAGCGAGCTGAGAGCGCGCAGCAGCGGTGACACGGCCGGGGCTGGGGGATGCACGAGGTCGCTGCCTGCACCGCCAGTAGTGCCGTGCTTTCCGCTCTTGCTTGTGCTTGGCGTTTGGCGCTCGTCCAGGCCCATAATGTGCGCCGTGTAAAACGTCAGCAGCATGAGTCCATGGTAGTCAATCGTCAGGTCGGCCAGCGTGCGCATGTGAAGTGGGCTGCGATACAGCAGCAGCCGCGACGCGCCGCCCGCCGCGCCGCTGATGGTTCGCTTCAGCGAGTACGCCTTGGCCACGGCCAAGCCGCGGCCCGCCAGGCCCAGACACGCAATTGAGCAGTGCACGCGCGTAATGCCCAGCACCGTCGCAATCTCGCGGATGCCATTGCCCTCCTGGCCGATCATCCACGCGCGCATGCCCTTCAACTCCAGCTCGGCCGTGGGCACGGGCCGCGTCCCCGACTTGTCCTTGAGACGCTGGATGCGCACGCCGTTGAGCTCTGTGTTGTTTTGCGTTTGCTTCCGGCGACTGCCCGTGGCGACCTCTGTGGCGGGTGCCGAGTCGGGACGCCGCCGCCGCATGGGCGCGTAAAACGCCGACAATCCTTTGCCTGGCTGTGTGCGCGCCAGCAGAATCGTCATGCCCGCATCTGTGGCCGACGAGAACCACTTGAACCCGTCAATGGACCATGGTCCCAGCGGCAGCCCGTCCGCGTCAACATCTTCACCAGCGCCCTGACCATGGTGCTGTCGCTGTTGCCCAACAAACGTCGCCGTCGTCTCCGTCTGCGACACGTCCGACCCGCCCGGCCGCTCTGTCATCCACTGTCCACTCGTCCACGCCTGCTTTGGATCGCGCGATGTCAGCCGGTCATAGGCACTCTGGAGTACCCTGCGCTGCGTCTCGGACATTTTGGTCTCCGACGACGCCGACGTCTTGGCGTCCAGTGCCAGATGCCGCTGCAGCAGCCGTGTCGCGCCGTCCGTCATGGCTCCCGGGCATGTTGTGCTCGCACCCGACGGCTCCCACAGGTGGCACCGCAGCATCTGCAGCACACGCGCATGCGCGCCGTACGCCGCATGGTCTTGTGTATAGTTGTACGCCACAATGCCGCGCTCAATCCCAAACGCCTGCAGGCCGCGCCAGCCTTCGCCCGTCACGAGTTCGCTCGTTGGCCGGCCCATGGCATTGCGTCCGCCACCGCGCAGGTACGGCAGGTTGCGCTCAGCGTCGGTAATGAGGTCAAAGATGTGCGGTGCGAGGACATCGTCCGCGAGCTGAGCGATTTCAGGCTCGACTTCGTTGCGAATGTCGGCAGGGATCAGCACTGGGGCAGGTCAGCGGACTCGTCATGACACGAAAGCATCAAAAGTGAAGGAAAATAATAAACTAAATCAAAAAACACACATACGATTCAGAACACGCTGTACACTGATATCGTCGTAAAATTGGTTTGGGAGCTCCGGAAGCTCCTGGAAGAAGCCCGTATTAGAGCTGGATGGTTCCATGGTGGGCGTTGTCCTCTGTCCCTACAAGGGGCTGGTGACGAATCCGAAACGGTGCAAAGGTCAAAAAGCGTTCAAAAAGGAGACGGACAAAATTTGACGACAATCAGACAAGTCGCGACTTCCTTGGATTGCTGTTTTGGGACTTGCTTCGTCTTCTAATACTCATGGCAGGTCCGCCTTGCAGAGTATTGCTGTTCCCCGTCTGCTCTTTCCCTACTCCACGCCTGCCGAGGCACCACTGATCTCCGCCAAATGACAGGTGCGGAATTGATTCCTCTATTGTTCCCCAGCCGGGGAAAGAGCAAGGCAGGTTTAGTGCATGCATGTGCTGTGGGTGACGTCCCATAACAGTCGCCCCCACCTGACGGGAGCCTAGCCAATGCACGTGCTCACGCAACAGCTCCAAAGCACTTTACGCCAATCTGCGCCCCTCTTCGCTGGCTCCAATGTTCGCGTCGCGTCTTTCATCGCCATTGTCAATTCACACCCTCAGCATAAGGCATACGCAATGCCCACGTAACTACCATGGCAGCGCGCAGCGCGTCGGTGCGATACGAAGGGATCGTCATTGATGACGAGTCCACGGCATCCGAGCTCGATGTCGATTCCGACCTCGATCTGGGGCCGTTCGACACGCCAAGACCATCCAAAGGCGTCAAAAGACGACGATTGCATGTAGCCGACCATGTCGACGACGAAGAAGAGGGAGCTGAAGTGGTGCCGGACGATCCGGATCGGGGCCCAGGGAAATGCCCTCGACCAGAAGATATAAGTGTCAAGATCGAGTGGACCGACGAGTCCGACGGCGAATACGAGCGGCTCAAAAAACGCAAAAGGGGTGGAGGAGGCGGTCGAGGTAGAGGCCGGGGAAGAGGGCGCGGACGAGGCAGGTCGGCCGCGGCCGGGCGGAAGGACGCCAAGGGAAAAGGAAGGGCCGAATCGACAGCACGTGCAGACAATGACGAGTTCGTGAAGGGGGAGAACGAGGACGAGGAGGGCGTCACCATTCCAGAATACATCCGCACGCGCCGCCGGGATTTCGACAAAAGACGAGCGCTCCTGAAAGACGCCGGCCTTCGGCTCCCTCCCGATTACAGCGACATCTACTTTTCCGACGACGACAACGACCGGCGGCGTCATCGTGTTCGTCCAGATGGATCCGGCCGCACCAAGAGCAACAGTAGCCGTCTGCCCCAGACATCGCTCCAAACGCGGCCCCAGTTCGACAGCAGTGTGCGGCCATCCCGCGAGCGGAAAGACATTGTGCTCGAGTTCTCGGCGGGTGTCATTCCAGCTTGCATGGCCCAGTACCTACGGGACTACCAGGTGGCCGGTGTGCAGTTCTTGCACCAGCTGTTTGTCTACCAAAAGGGCGGCATCCTGGGCGACGATATGGGCCTCGGCAAAACCGTGCAGGTGGCTGCCTTTTTGACGGCTGCCTTTGGCAAGACGGGCGACGAGCGTGACGACAAGCGCATGCGCAAGATGCGGCGTGCAGGGCCTCCTGCCGGTGCCATCGGTGACGGTGACGGCGACGACCCCGACAGCCGTTGGTACCCGCGCGTGCTGGTCGTGTGCCCCGGCTCGCTCATTCAGAACTGGCGCAATGAGCTGCAGCGCTGGGGCTGGTGGCATGTTGACCTCTATCACGGTTCCGGCAAGGACGATGTGCTGCAGTCTGCCCGTGCCGGGCGTCTCGAGATCATGGTGACTACGTACACCACCTATAAAAACAACAAGGGCCGCATCAATTCGGTGTCCTGGGATGCCGTCGTCGCCGACGAGTGCCACATCCTCAAGGAGCGCAAGTCCGAGATGACCAGCGCCATGGACGAAGTCAACGCTCTGTGCCGCATTGGCCTGACAGGAACGGCCATCCAGAACAAGTACGAGGAGCTGTGGACCTTGCTCAACTGGACGAACCCGGGCCGCTTTGGCACGTTGCGCGAGTGGCAGCAGACGATCAGCAGGCCTCTGACCATTGGCCAGTCGCACGACGCCACTCTCTTCCAGCTGAGTCTGGCCCGCACGACGGCCAAAAAACTGGTCCAGAACCTGCTGCCCGAGTTCTTTCTGCGGCGCATGAAGTCGCTCATCGCCCACCAGCTGCCGCGCAAGACCGACCGGGTCGTCTTTTGCCCACTGACCGACCGCCAGAGCCAGGCCTACAAGAACTTTGTCGACAGCGAGCAGGTCGAGTTCTTGCGCCGCGTGTCTGAGCCGTGCGATAATCATCCGCACCGAAAGCGTGGCTGGTGCTGCTACAAATATGTCTCCCCGGTACCTGGAATGAAGGTGAGCTGGTTCAGCCTCGTCTTTCCGACGATCCAGAACCTGCTCAAGCTGTCGAATCATCTGACGCTTCTCATCCCGTCGGCTGACGGCGTCGTGGGCACGGCAGAGGAAGATGAGCCGGATCCCGACGACGTTGACGAAGAGGAGGAGGGGGAAAATGAAGGCGAGCAGGGGAATGGCGAAGGCAGCTCACGGCGGCCATCCTCGACAGCATCGGTTGCCGCCAAAATCAAAGCCGTCTCGGCCGCCAAAGCCGCCAACGACCGTTACAAACGCGCCATGGCCGTCCTCAAGACCTGCGTGCCGGACGACTGGGAGACGCTCTACCGCCAGCGTGACTCGCTCGTCAACTTGGCGAACCCCGACTTCTGCGGCAAGTGGAAGGTGCTGCGCAAGCTGTTGCGCTTTTGGCATGAGAACGGCGACAAGGTGCTCGTGTTCTCGCACAATGTCCGCCTCCTGCGCATCCTGCAGCACCTGTTCCACAACACGAGCTACAGCGTCAGCTACCTCGACGGCTCGCTCAGCTATGATGAGCGCCAGCGCGTCGTCGACGATTTCAATGCCGACCCGGCCCAGTTTGTCTTTCTCATCTCCACCAAGGCCGGCGGCGTCGGACTCAACATCACCTCGGCCAACAAGGTTGTCATCTTTGACCCGCACTGGAACCCGGCCTACGACCTGCAGGCCCAGGACCGCGCCTACCGTATCGGCCAGGTGCGCGATGTCGACGTGTTCCGCCTCGTGTCGGCCGGCACCATTGAAGAAATTGTCTACGCGCGCCAAATCTACAAGCAGCAGCAGGCCAACATTGGCTACAGCGCGTCGTCCGAGCGGCGCTACTTCAAGGGCGTGCAGCAGGACCAGACGCGCCAGGGCGAGATCTTTGGCCTCAACAACCTATTTACGTTTTCTGCCGACCAGGTCGTGCTGCGCGACATTGTCAACAAGACCAACATTGCTGAGGCCAAAGTGGGTGTGCACCTGACGGCCATTGACATGCAGCAGGCGGCGGCCGACAAGGACAATGAAATGCTCGTCAAACTGGAGGGCGCCGCCAGCAATCACCAAATGGCCGCCATTATAAAGTCTGAGGGAGCCGACGACGACAGCGATGACAAGAACGGCGCCGCAGACAAGAAACCCGACAGCCCGCCTGGCAAGCGAGATGCGATTCAGGCCATCCTCGCAAGCGCCGGCGTCGAGTACACACATAACAACTCGGAGGTGGTCGGCAGTAGTCGCGTCGAGGCCCAGCTGTCGCGTCGCGCCGAAATGGTCCTGGCAGAAGAAGGTGGTATGGACGGTGGCGGTGGCCGCGGCGACGATGACGAAGACGACGGTGATCTGGACGGCCACAACACCAGTCGCGTCAGCGTCACCAACCGAAGTGCCTACTACGGCCACGACCAGAGCGACAGCGGTAGTCATATCGACAGCCTGTCGGACAACGACAGCGTCGCAGCCCATGAGGCGAACGTCGGAGACATCAGTTCGACCATGGCCGACACCAGCGCTGCTTTCCGCTCTGCCCGCGACGCCGATTTCTCAGGGTTCTATGCGTCCTTGCTTCTTGGCCAACGCCTGCAGTACAACCCGCCCGACGACGTCATGCGCCGCCAATTTTGCACCATGGCGCGCGAGGCCGGCTTCGCCACGGCCACGGACTTTGCCGTGGTCGTCGAGGGTTGGACGCCCGAGCAGCGGCGGCAGTGCCTCGAGAAGTTTTACCGGAAGCGAGAACTGCTGCTCCGCGAGCAGATGGAGGCCTCGCGGGAGACAGAAAGCGAGGGTGAAGGAGACGAAGAAGGTGGCCTCACGGTAAGGGAGCAAATCAAGGTTGACGAAGAAGGCGACGAGGATGAACCGAAAGAAGGCGAAGTGGCTTCCTTGGTCGTCATCAGCGAGGACGTTGTGGAGAGACGCGAGCGAGTCATGAGAATGGACGACTCAGACGACAACGGCAACGGCAAAGGAAAAGAGAAAGAGAAAGATGTCAAGGACATCAAGGACACCAAGAAGGTGGAAGATGATGCCGACCAGTTGAATGGCAAGAAAGAAGCCGACGAAACGAACTCATTACCACAAATAAAAAAGGATGACGACGGCGACGACAAGGGCCCGGTCAAAACAGAAGCCGCCCTCCCCCGAATCAAGCGCGAACCGCACAGCAAGACGATCCTGTCGACACAGGCCACGGCTACGCAGCCTACGCAAAATCAGGCAACACCGTCAGTCACGTCTGTCGCGTCTGTGCGCATCAAGCACGAGAACAACACGGCACGGTGGGAAACGAACGCAGCCGACGAAGCCATGGCGGTGGACGAGGCTGCCGGGAACTCAAAGGACGATACCGTTGTCGTCTTGCTCTCCAGCAGTCCAGTTGCTGCTCCCGCAGATAGGGAGCTGGAGCCTGCCTCGGTCGTCGAGGTGCCCGACCAGCGGACGTCGGTGCCGCCCATCTCGCTTACACGCTCGATCCATGAAGATATCAGCGACTCGGACGACACGGATGAATTGTAATTTCGTGTATATACTTTGTACTTTTATGATGATATGATACCCTATTTAGAATTGACTCCAGAGAAACGGTTTCCCATGCACATTTAAAATTTATGACGTAACAATATATAACTTTTGAGAAGTAATGCTTATGTTGTTGTGTGCTTGTATTGATGAATATGTGGTATAATCATAAAGCATTGTTATTTACTGTTTGAATTGGAAATTAAATAAGAGAAAATAAAGACGTTAATATTTAATATCATGTCAAGTTTCCATTTTCAGGTAAAAATCAAGGCGAAAACTCACACGGTAAATATTAATTTTTTTATTTTATTTTATTTTACTTTACAATACTGACTTGTTTAGAGTTTCGATATTGACCGGGAGCTTGTGAGATAAATAGCATATAATCAATAGACGCTCGAACTGACAATACTAGCAATTCCTATAACATGCCCATCCCTGTCCTGGTATGTGTTGTTTTAAGAACGGACTCTCTCACTCGGGAGTTTGTCCGATGTTGCAGCCACGCCGATACCTTGCTGTTGTTGATGTTGATAAAAAGAGACAATGAAAAACAATGAAAACAGAACACAGTTCAAACTTGGAAAATCAAATATGGCAGAACATGGCCACATATACCCCATACACCCTTTGAAAATACGAGACTCCACGGCATCCCATGTCTCCCTAAAATCGTACATAAACATTCATCTTTACTGGGTTGCATGGCTTTACGCGGCATCCACAGTACGGGCCTTCTTGGCCTCTTCGTCCGATCCGTCAGCCGGCTCCTCGGCCTTCCGCTTGCCATTAGTCGAGGAGGCATCCGCTGACGGGGCAGCAGGAGCAGGGACATCCTTAGCCTTCTTGCGGACCAGGCCCGTCAGGTCTGTGGCGGGCTTCTTGGCATCGCTGCCAACGGCACTGCCATTGCCACTGCCACTAGCACTGCCGAAGCCACCCGCAGCGCCGCCGCTGAGGGCGCCCAGCAGGCCACCCAGGCCGGCACCCGCAGGGCCGTTGACAGCCGCGTTCAGATCAATGGGAGGTTTGCGAAGGTCGACAAGCTATATTTCGTAGTTGAGCAAAAGAGGTCAGCATTTGGTCAAAGTATGGGGAAGACCGTTGAGACGGGTGCGATCATGATATGGCTGTTGGCCTCGAATGGGAACGAAAAGAGAATCGATCCGCAAGGCCAGCGACGATCTGGAAGTGCAGGAAGATGGGTGACCGAATACACCTGGGGTCGACAATGTAAAAGGCACAGGAAAGGGACGGAAAGGGGACAAAAGCAAAAAAGTGGCGGTCCTACCCGTTGCTCCATGTCGGAGATGATATCTTTGACCTCGGTAATTTGCCGACGCGTTGAGTCGTTGTCCTCTGGCGAGTGCAGAGTGGCCAGTTCGACCTCCTTGCTCTGGAGCTTGAGCTTGGTGCTGGCAATGGCCGCCTCGAGCTCGCGGGCCGCCTCGTCGCGCAGCTCCTGGTCGACTTGCTGTGTCTGCTGCTGACCGCCGTCGGCAGCGGCGCCGTTGCCGTTGTCGTTGCCGTTGCCTTGTCCATTGTTCGAGTCCTCACTAGCGGTCGTGACAGACGCAAACTCAAGAGCCAGAGACAGCTTGAAATGGGCCTCGGCAATGATTTCCGAGTCTTCGGACAGGTACCGCTTCTTGTAGGCCAGAGACGCGCGGGAGTCTACAATGGCATTCGGGTATCTGTTTTGGGAAGAAAGAAAATAAAAGGTGAGAAGGTGAGTTGCAAAAGAAGACAAAAAGAGTTGAGGCGTGTGGTGTAGATCTCTTTTCAAACGACGAGTCTTCTTTGGTTCACCCTCCTCCTTTCGCTCTCGTGCATTGATTTAGGCGAGAGTGAATTCCTTCCTTGCGCACAAAAGCAGAATATCTTACCTCTCATTCTCGAGCGAGATCTCGGCCAGGAGATCGTGTGTGTCGGCGAGACGCTCCAGGACGTGGCGTAGGTCGCCGGACACGCCTGTCGCAATGGGAGACGCAGTCTCGTCGCCGTCGGCCTTGCTCTCTTCAATCTCCTTGCCCTTGCTAGGGCCTCCCGCTTCGACTCCAGTGTCCGTGGCGCCTTCCTTGTCCTTCTTCTCCTCGAGCTGTCTTTCAAAGAGAACGCGCGACAGGTCGAGCACCTCAAAGGCCACGGCGAGGTCGTCTTCCTCTTCCTCATCGCCCTCGCCGTCATCGTCGCCGCCCTCGGCATCCTCACCCGCCTCGTCGTCGGACGCATCCCACTCCTCGTCGCCGGTAAATTGGAACAGCGGCTTTTTGGCCTCGAGCGCCGCCGCCTCCTCCTTGGTCGCACCCGACGACGCGCTCGCCACGGGATCGCTGTCGCTGGCGCCACCGATGGCGTTGGCAATGATGCCGGAGCCGCCCGCGGCGGACTCCTTCTTGTCTTTTTGCGCCTTCGGGGCCTTCTTCGCATCCTCGCTCGTCTCCGGCGCCTTGCCACCTAGCACGTCGCTCTTGCTCTGGCCGACCTTGAACAGGGCGCGGCCGTACAGGAACAGAATCTCGGCGTTTTCGGGGTCCATCTCGCCGTTGATCTCGGCCTGCATCTCGGCGGCGCGCGCATAGACCTCGGCGGCCTCTTCGTAGTTCTTCTGCTGGCTGTAGAGCATGGCGGCCTTGGCGCAGAGGTCGGCCAGCGAGACCTTGAGGCTGTAGCCGACCTGGTCGGCGGGGAGTTCGGACATGGCAGGCGTGACGGCACCCGAGCGAGGGCCGCCCGGGGTGCTGACACCCGAGCGAATGCCAGCCGGGACGGCAGACGCGACGACGACGGGGGGAGCAGTGGATTCAGCTTTTGCAGCCGCAGCTGGCTCAGCAGGAGGGGCGTTGTCGGCCATGGTCAAATTTTGTTGATTTGCGTGTCAAGTCAGGAACAGGGACAGGGACAGGTACATGTACATGTACAGAATAAGTATTGTAACACCTGTCTGTTGGTTGGATAATCGATGGATGGACCGCGCAGACAAATGGTCACAAACGAACAGGCGCGATGGCGGATGGAAGATGGTGAACAAAAGGATGTAGAGACGAAGTCGTCGTGAGAGAATTGGGGACAAGAAATGCTGTCAAGGGAGCAGCTTCCAAATTGTGGGGAGGCCCTTTCTGCAGATGGGATGGGCAAGTCGACAACTGTTAATACACAGGTGGAAGGCGCGGCCCTGCGATTCGAGTGACGAAAATGGCAAAGATGGCAAGGGGACAAAGTCACGAGTTGCGATCCTTCCGTATTTGTTCAATTGCAGGTTTTGCGATTCGTGACACTCTTTCCGTGTCTTGCGTTCAGTCGCTCTTTCCTGTCTCTCCACCTGAGCTACTCGTGACACGCGATGTGAGCGCAGGAGAAAGAGGAGAAACTGGCAGCTGTGCCCCGCTCTGGCGCACCTAACGTGTCTGATTGGCGGATGGTGACATGGATGTAGAGAGCTTTTTGGGCAGGCGTGACTGAGACGAGCTGGAACCGTCTGGGCGTGTTTTCAGTGCTTTTCTATGTATGACGACTGTTAGGGCGGTTTTTGGCCCCTTCCTGGTTTTTATGGGGCACTTCAGTGGGCCCATTCCATTGGGTGTGGAGAGGACCTGACTGGCCGAGGACCAAAGGCAGCTAAGCCGAGGGGCTCGAGGAAGCTGCGCTCGGCGCGCTTTTTGCATTTGCATGAGGTCAAATGGAACTGAAGACGCACAATAATGATAGTTGGAAACTCGACATGGCATTGGAATAATGGACTATGTGTGCCGGGCAAGAAGGCGATGGCGAAAGGCGATGGCGAAAAAATGACACAAGATATCAAAAGTATGTAACTGGAACAAAAGAAAACGAAAATAAAAACAACGCGTCAATGTGCTTTTTCAGCTACTTTTTACACGAGTGCCAGAAGAGTCCAGTCTAAACCGGGACACAGAAGACCGAAAAACGACCAAAGCGAGAGGACAGAGAACACAACAGGTCACCACCCGTTTAATGGAACTGGTCCTCGGTCACACCCTTGCCCATGGCAGCCGTGGAGCTGATGCCGCCGGTGACCATCTTCTGCAGCTCGTCCACGTAGGTGGCGCCCGACCACTTCTGGTGCTTGACGACATCGACGCCGCCGTCCATCTCGGGCTCCTGGACAAGCTCGCCGTAGGCGCGCATGCCGTTCTGGGCGTAGGCGCGGGCGAACTGGTTGCTGATGAGGGCGGTGGTGTGCAGGCCGGCCAGCGTGATGAACTGCCAGCAGTAGCCGAGCTGGGCCAGGCGGCGGATGTACGTCTCCTGCTCGGCGCGGGGCATGGCCGTCTTCCAGTTGAAGGAGGGGCTCAGGTTGTAGGCGAGCTTCTGGTGGGGGTAGACGGCGTGGACGCCCTCGGCGAAGTCGGTGGCCTGCTTGTAGTCGGGCAGCTTGCTCTCCATCCAGATGGCGTCGCAGTAGGGGGCGTAGGCGATGGCGCGGGCGATGCCGCACTCGCAGCCGCCCTTGAGGCGGTAGAAGCCCTCGCGCGTGCGGGGCGCGTCCCAGTCAAAGTGCAGCGCGTCGGCGGCGGCGGCGCCGAGGGCCTGGCGGGCCGCCGCGCGGGCCTCTGTCAGCGACTTGCCCTTGGCGGCGGCCTTGTAGGCCGCGATGGCCGACGCGCCCCGGCCGGCCTTGGCGAGGGCGTCGGCAACGAGGTCGTCGAAGCGCTGGAGGCGGGCGTCGGCCAGCCACTTGTCCTCAATGGCCTGCAGGGCGTCGCCGCTCTTGCCGGCGGCCTCGGCCTGGGTCATGAGGTCGTTGAGGGCGGGCAGGTTGGGGTTGGTGGCGCCCAGGATGTAGGCGTGGTCGCGCGGGTCAATGGTGGACGAGATGAGGGTGGCGGCCTCGGCGTCGGTGCGCGCAATGGCCACGAGGTCGACGCCCATAATGTCGGCCTGCGCGCGGATGGCCACGAGGCGGTTGATGTGCTCGCTGGTGGGCACCAGCACCTTGCCGGCCATGTGGCCGCACTTTTTGGTGCCGGGCGCCTGGTCCTCGATGTGGATGCCGGCGGCGCCCTTCTCGACAAACAGCTTGGTCAGTTTCATGACGGCCGTCAGGCCGCCGTGGCCCGTGTCGGCGTCGGCCACAATGGGGCGCAGGTAGTCGACGTGAGGCGCCTTGTTGCGCTGGTCCTTGGGCAGGCTCAGGCGCTCGTGGCGCTGTTTCCGGTCGTGGAACAGCTGGGCCGTGAAGAGGTGGCCGACCTTGTTGGGCACGGTCGTGTAGGGGTAGTCGGCCAGATCCGGGCCGGGCTCGTCCGAGGACGACGCGGTGGACGACGACTGCCAGCCGGAGACGTAGACCGTGTCGAGGTACTGGGCCATCTGGGTGACCATGGTGGGCTCGAGGCAGCCGTAGGTGTAGGAGGCGTCCTTCTCGGCGAAGCGCTTCTCGAGCAGGCCCCAGAGCTTCTTTGCCTGGGCGTTGCTGGGGTACTGGATGGGCAGAGTGCCGCGCTTCGACACAATCTGCTCGGCGGTGAAGGGCCGCTTGGTGTGTCTCCAGCGCGGCTCGCTCCACCACTGCTTGACCTGGCGCACCTCGTCGGCGAAGCGCTGGTCCTCTGCGGCGGCATCAATGGCCGGCGGCAGCATGTTGTTGGACGCCATTGTGTGTGTGTGAGAGAGAGTGTGAGAGAGGAGAAATGAATTATGGAATCACCAGTCGAGATGAATGATGACGATGAGGAGAGGGAGAACGAAGGAGGATACGGAGATGACCCAGAATTGAGGAGGGAAAAGTACAATTGATCAGAGAATCGATCAGAAGACCAGAAGAGAAATGAAAAGAAAGAAGGCCAGACCTGTACTATATAAAATAGCTTCCGTTGTTGTCTCGTCCCTTTGCCCTTTGGCCCTGCAAGCCTGTACGGCTGCTGTACGCTCCGTCACATGTTCGGCTACGAGGACACCTGGGCACGTTATGACTCTTTAACGCCATCCAGACGCGGATGGCAGAAAGAGAGTGAAGACGGTCTCCAAAGGCACAAGGCGCCTCCACGCTTGCTCCACGCCGAGCTAGCTCTAAACCACACGCCCCCCCCTAGCCGGCCCCGCGAAGGACATCCCAACGTGAAGTATTTGGTCTCTGGTTTGTACCGTCTCTTTTTCGTGTACAGTGTGCTCCGCACGGGTACTTTGGTCTGAAGCAGGGCCAATTCACTGGGATGGCACGCCCTTGTTGTCTTCAGCAGATGGCTCGTGGTAAACAGTTTGCTTCCCACAGATGCCTCGAGAATCCTCAAAACTCAATGGCCTCTCAGACGGGACTGCCGTTACTCGGCCACTCGTCTCTTTCTGCTCTTTCTCGTTTCCCTTTCGCCTTTCTCTTTTTGTTTCTGCGTAAGTCTCCCTTTCATTCCTGAGAGAGCCGCTTGACCGACCGGTTACTGGGTTGAAAAAGTGGAGAAGGGGGCGTCGAAAAGGAACAAGAAAGGCCATCTTCCATCACTACCCTTTCGTTGGGGTGTGGGCTTAAACAGCCGTCGATTGTCAAGTGGCAAAGAAATACAAAAGCGCAGCCGTAGAAGGACACTGAACTGAAATGCCTTAGTGTTGCCCGCAGCTTACACCAGCCAATCAACTTACATAGCCCGCGGCTTCCTGGTGACGAAGCGGCCACTGTCGGCGCTGGGACAGGACGAGTCCGCTGAGTCCACCGCACTCTAGGGACGTTACAGGGGAGAGCAGGACCGCATACGCCCCCACTCCACTCTCCTTCCACATTGCCGTAACGGACCCGATGTGCGAAAATGGCCCCCGAGACTTCACTTGGTGCATATCGTTTACCACCGCCAAAAGGAGAGGCCTTCTCGCTTTTTGTTGTATTTCTTAGACTATAATTACACACTTTCTGGCGTCCTCTGGGCCACTTTTCGGGTCAACGGTGGCTCTGCACACCTGCTTTTGCGGATCGGCCAATCACGGCAGCAGGCCACCCGGCTTTTGCCCGTGATTCCTGGGCTTTGAAGTGCATCTGGCGTTTTGAAGCACGAATACATTGTTTACTTTTCGCCTTCTGCTCGCTCCTCCCTTGTCTCTCCGTTCCATACACTAATTGTACAAACATGGACATATTGCTGCGGGGGGACGGCAAGAGTGGTCTGAAGCTGGAAGGCGTTTGAGAATGAGAACTTGTTGTCTTGCGAAACAATAGTAAACATCAGATGGCGAATCTGGAAGACGGTGACCGAGAGATGAAGACGGCATGTCCTATGTTCGTCCCGTGTCCATTCATATAGCGGACTCTTAACAAAACACGGCGTACGGCAAGTCGTGATGTCAAAACTTCCATTGCACCGGACAACCGCATATAGACATAAATTGGCAAACCCACACTATGCAAATAACCGATTCTCCAATGCTACTGGCACGCACGACCATTCGTTTCCGGCGGTTGACATGTCTTGCCTCCCACCCAAAAAGCATGTGAAATGCCGTCATTCGCTCATTCCAAGGGCCTGTGCCAGGCGTCTACTCGGTAAGATACGACGTACATTAGTACCTGCCCTGCTGCCCTTCGAACTGCCCTCTCGCCTTGGTCACTCGTTCTCCTCGCTGACCTAGATTCCGAGCATCAAAAAGGCAGAGAACACGAAGAGAAACGAGAGTCAGCAGCTTATCCCCCTAAAGTCGGAGTACCTAGGTGTCGGTTTGGGCTGGCATGTCTCGGATTATGTTGGAGTATGGATCTGGGGAGACGCCACTTTACTACTCTAGACTGGGGCCAATTTTCGGCTCAACGAACCTCGGTTGTCTTGTTTTCGTCATTACTATTTACGACTATCCTCTTTCGTGCTGTTCTGTCATGGAATGATGATTGAAAATAGCTTGATTGTTTTCAATCTATCTAAGATCCTTCGGATCAACTAATCTATGATATCTTCCCCCCTCTTCCCTAACGGATATGCCATCCGTTGGGAGGGGGACAAGTCACGTGTGGATCCTTATAGATTACACGTGACAGTGTCCCGGGGAGGAATGTTGTCGTCCCGATAGTTAGGAATAAATTCTTATAAAAAGTAACGTAGTAAAATAAAACGATATTATAAATTATAAAGTAGTAGAAAATTAACGTGATTATAAAGTAGTAAAAAATTAATATTAATAAAAAATTAATACGAATTTTTTTTTATATTCTTTTTTTTTATATTATATAATTTAACGAAAAACTAAGTTTATAAACGGGGGTATTATTACTTAAAGATTAATAGTTTCCGTATAAATTAAATTTATTTAAGTAAAAATATCTTTCATTATTATTTTAAGTAAAACGTTTATATTATCGTCGTTTTTTTTAAGTAAAACGTTCGTTTTATTATATTCTTCGTCGTTAAAAGTATTATTTATAAATAAAAAAGATTCGTAAAAAGTAAAAGGTAGTTTTCGGAAAAGGTTCCCGTTTTTAAAAAAAGGTTATAAATTATCCTTTTCGTCGAAGTTAATAAGAGTTTTAATTTCTTTAATAGTTTTATACCGTATACGGAACTTTATAATAATATAGTTTATATTTTTAACGATAAGTTTAAAAACGTCGTTAATATTAGTTTATACGTTATTAATAGTTTAAGTTTTTGTAAATATAAGGTTAAGGTAAAATAAGGTAGTAAATTAACGAATATATTTTAAAATATTTATACGGTCCTTATAAAGGGTTTTATAACTTAAATTGGATTAAAAGTTTTTTATCGGTTTAATTATTAAAATCGTAAATTTTAATATAATTAAACGACGACGTTTATAAGTAATTATATAAGTAATTATATAAGTAATTATATAAGTAATTATAATATTTAAAGATTAATTTATAAAAACGGTATAAGTGATTAATATATCGACGATTCTTTTAAAAAGTATAAAATAGTTAAGTCGTTTAAATTTTAAGTTTCGTTTAAAAACGACGAGGATTTCTTTCGGGACGTCGTATACGTTAATAATAAAATAATCCGTTAAATAAGATTATTTAAAAGGTCGGTTAATAACGTTTAAAAACCGTTTATAAAAAAGAGTTTATATAAGTGGTTTATTTAACTATAAAGTTTTAATAATAAAAGAGTCGGTTTATTAAATATATAAAACGTATATATTATTTCCTTCTTCGATATTAATAAAAAAGTCGTATATACGTAACTCGTAATCGACCACGGTTAATCGTAATAGTTTCGGGGTTATAATTATCGACGTAATAAAAAATATAAAGTTATAATATAAAAGACGTAGTTAAAATCCTTAAAAAAAGAGAGTATAAAATATTAATTATTAAATAAGTAAAGGAAAGGTAACGAAAAAGTTAAAAGGTATAATAGTAATTATTAAAAATATTAAAATTAGTTATAAATATATTTAAAGGTAAATATTTTATAAGGATTTATATATCGAACTTGGGTTTTAAACCGTAATATCGGATAAGTATTACGAAAGTATTACGTCGAATTTATATACGGATAATAGTACCGGGTTAATTATATAATAGTTAAGTTACTACTAGTAATTAACGTTCGAAAGTATTAAAGTAAGTTAAAGTAAAGTAAAAGACTAAAACGACGTCGTAAATTCGTTACGATATAAAAAAAGAAAAACGATAAGTAAAACGGTCGACTCTTTCGATAATTTAAAAGAGACCGGTTTACCGTAAACGAAACTTGTTTAATTATACGGTTATAAATTAATTAATACCGTAGTATAATTTAAAGTAAACGTAATCGTTAAGTAAAAAGAATTTTAATATATAACGTTTATTAAAATACCGTTTAACCGATATAATTATAATAGTTAATACGTTTTAAAGGAAAATCCGTAAAAAAGGTATATTTAACGGTTTTTAATTTATTTATAAAAGTTAAGTCGGGTCGTTAAGTTAAAAACTTAAGATAGTTTAATTTAATAAAGTGTTAATAAATAAGTAATAGTGTTAATTATATTAAAATTAAATATTTAAAAGATAATAAACCTATTTAATTATATCTAAAAGTAATTATAATACGTAACGAAGGAAAGTTTAAGTAGTTTAAATAATACGTTCCGTTTAACCGTCGGATTAAAAGTAGTATATTATTAAATAAAATAGTTTAGTTTATAACCGTATTTAAATAGTTATTTAAAGATCGGAAAGGAATTTTAGGTCGTAGTCCGAAATGATTTCTTTAAAGATACCTTAGTTCGATAAAAATAAATATATAATTAAAATAATTCCTTAAGTAACGGTTATATTTATAATATAATCGGGTAATAAAAGGGTTTATTTAATAAAACGGTCGATTACGATTAATAAAGTATCGTAATTTTAATCCGAGAAAAGGAGACCGAGTATAAAATTAATAAAGATATTATTATATAAAATATTTAAGATTAGTAGTGGTTAAAACGACTTATATAACTTATAGTGTTAAGTTTAGTTAATACGATATTAATAGTATCCTTTAATAAACTTAAAGAAAAGTCGTTATATATATAAAATATAAAATTACCGGATAACTAGTAGTAAAACGTTAATACTCGAATAATAGTTGTCGTAGGTTATTTTAAAGATATCCGTAATATAAACTTTAAGGATATATAATCGTAGTAAAAGAGTGTAGTATTAATAATAAATAAAATCCTTTCGTATATAG